GTGTGTGAGCTAAATGTTCTTCAGCTGAATTATGAAACACAGAGAGTGTATGTCAATTTATGGTAATAAATGTATGTCTGTTTGTGTCCGGCTTTACTCTTTACGTTTAGATAGTAGTCGTCGTCGTCACTCGTCAGTCCACTCCTCACCAATTATATCCCGGTTTGGTTTAGCGTATAAACATTTCCAATCGGTTTGACTGGTTAGCTATTCTTTAAACGACAGCGTTTTCAATAAGGAACGACGGAATTGGGGATAACTTGTATTTGGCGGTTGAAGAAGGAGCGACGAGGAGATTTCCGATTTTCAGCGTTTCAGAGGGAAGTAGTCGACGAAGGAAGTGTCTCGTATCCTTCCCCACACCAACCCCAACTCTTAAAATCTATCTTCTGTCATCATGTACTGTACTTTGCGATTTCCGGTGCCTCTTCACGTTCCCCGAACTCGAACAATGGCTTCCTGTAAGCCGAAACGACGCCGTTTGCAGCATTTGCGCTGCTGTGCTCAGTCTAGTCTTCGTGAAGGTGACGAAGACGAAGGTGAAGAAGAGGCCGATGATCAGAGGTGTTACATTATATCTATTTCACTTTCTTTCTCCAGTTTTGACTCTCGAGAAAATGGATTTTATTAATTTACGGATGATGATTGCTCATTCATTAGTGTTGGAGTTGAAGGATTAGTGTCGATTGTGGTGGAGAGATACGGAAATGGCTCTTCGAAAAGGTCAGCTTCAGGTTTCTCATGTTCTTATTATTAGCTGAATAAGATTCATCTCATCTCTTTTATCTAATTTAAACAAACTGACTATTTTGTGCAGATATTTGCTAGATGATGATGACTCGCCTTTACAAGGCTTTCTCGAAAAGCGTGAACCTAATAAGCCTGATAACATATCTCAGGGATCAGAAACGAACACGCTCTGGCTTCCTGATGCTGTCAAGGATTTTGTTTTTCCCACCGGCTTTCCTGGTACTTCTTTAGCTGTATCTTCCTTTTCGGGAGTCTCAGAATGCTAAGCTTGTAGAGGTTTTTCAGATCCTATTATGATCATCTTATTGAGTGAATCTCATGGCAGGGTCTGTTTCGGATGATTACTTGGACTACATGCTGTGGCAGTTCCCTACCAACGTTACCGGCTGGGTTTGTAATGTATTAGTCACCTCAAGTCTCCTCAAGGCATGTCCCTAGCAATTTCTGATTTATTGCCTTTGTCTTATCCTTGCTACAAGGTGTTGATAATGTTGCAACTTTTTTTTTTTTTTTTTTTTGAAATTATTATGCAACAATGCAGGCGGTTGGCGTTGGCTCTTTCTCAGGAACTTCTGCTGCCGCTACTGCTGCTGCTTCTGCTGCAGCCATCAGGTTTACTTTTTTTATGTGAATGCAAACTTAGCTTCTTTGCTGCTGCTGCAAATCTCTTGTTCTTATAGTTTTCTTCAAACTATGTGTTGTCTCTTCAGATGGGTATCTAAGGATGGAATTGGAGCTCTTGGCCGTCTTCTTATTGGTAAACCATGGCAAGATTAATAAATTGTCCATGGAGTTATCTCAGAACCTCTTCAGTAAGAAGGGTATTTTATTCCAGGTGGACGTTTTGGTAGTCTTTTTGACGATGATCCTAAGCAATGGCGCATGTATGCGGATTTTATTGGCAGTGCTGGAAGGTTTGTAGTAGAGTCTTTGAATTCTTGGTAAGCCATATTTGGTTCAGACTATGAATAGCAAAACTGCGTTTTTGTTTTGCAGCTTCTTTGACCTGGCGACACAACTATATCCAACCCAGTTCCTACTGTTGGCATCCACGGGAAATCTGGCCAAGGTATTCATACAGATTGTTATTAAGAATTCATGTCGGCTAAGCTTTAAATGACAGAGTCCACGTACTTAGATTTCAATATGAAATAGGCTGTAGCTAGAGGATTGAGAGACCCTTCATTCAGGGTGATTCAGAATCATTTTGCCATCTCAGGAAATCTTGGAGAGGTAGCAGCCAAGGTACTTCTATAATCAAAACCCAATTACAAGCGAGTAGCTATGTGTTCACTCTTTTAGCAGAGTATCTAATTTTTGTTCAACGTCTCAGGAAGAAGTGTGGGAAGTTGCTGCTCAGCTAATTGGTCTTGGTCTTGGCATTCTGATCATTGTATGTTACTTGTTAGTTGGCCCATTTTCTCAACTCTATTCATTAGTAGTCCCCATTGGATCTCGTTAAAATCATTGTACTGGTTTCATGTTGAGCGTTTGTATACTGTTATCTTGATGCAGGACACGCCGGGCCTTGTAAAGTCATTTCCCTTTGTGTCACTTACATGGACGAGCATAAGAATTGTTCATCTCTGGCTTCGCTACCAGTCACTTGCAGTTCTACGATTTAACACAGTAAGAGGTTTGAAATGGATTTTCTTATAACCCCAACATGAGGAAAACTCAGATAAAATGGAAATTCTTTGATTTGAAACATTGTCAGGTAAATCTCAAGCGTGCTCGTATCCTGGTACAATCTCATGTCGCGCACTCCATTGTTCCGGGTAAGAATTTTCCTCCTTTATTTTTCCAGTTTATTATCCAACCACCAAGTAAGACCCATCTTCTCTCGTCACAGGATTTGCTGACTGCAACAAGCGAGAAAACATTTTGCTATGGCAGAGATTCATGAAACCTCGGATCATCTTTGGTGTGTCTCTTGAGGAAGTATCTGGTCTGGAGAAATCTGTTTTTAAGGTAATTTATTTTAACCACATGCATATATACTCTTGAGAGAATCTTCTATTTGTGAATCCAAGTTTCCCAATCCTTGATTTTTCTAGGTCAAAGCGCTCCTTAAGATATACACCCAGGAGAAATATATTCTAACGTTGAATAAGATGGACAAGGATACTGAGTTTTCTGTATCCTTTAAGGTATGTGCGTGACCTAATGGAAAAACTTAACCGTTTCTCTTTAACTAATAAACGAAACACCAGACTTGCATATATCGGACTCAATCATGATTCCTCCTTGCTGTGCGAGAAAATATTACTCTCTTTTTTTTTTTCTCTCTCAAGTAACCTGATATAGATTCATTGGTGGTTAATTAGTTTTAGCATATAACGCAGGTGAATGCCACAAGCAGAGACGTGTTGAGATGTCTTTGGCAAGCATATTGGTTATATGAGAACATGGAAAATAGGTTTAAAGACAAAGATAGTGTGTTCCACTGGCTGAAGCAAAGCTTGTCGGAGATGGACAACAAGTTTGAGGATTTCTTGTTCAAGTTGGATACTGCTGGATGGAATCTGCGTGAATCTAACTTGAAAATTCCAAACCAAATCCTCATCGACCTCGAAATGATCGATTGATTTTCCAAGGAGAGTCATCACTCATCACGCAATCTCTTGAACAAAAGAAAATAACACTGAGGTAAATAATACCAAACCCTGTCAATTTGAATATAAAGTAATTTATCATCTTTGACATCAAGTGAATCTAGGTGATTTACAGAATATCAAAGTTTGGTACAACTAACAGTTAGGATATATCAATATCAGGAATCGTATGGCAACTTGTATTGTATGACATGAACATGATCCATATAAAGTATAGAGGATATAAGTATTAATAATATCTTCTATTAAGTAAGTGTGGGTAATGGGACAAATGGTGAGGTTTTGTTTAGACCAATGATAGAGAATGATTGTGATTATGCCTGCTTTGTTTGTACTTGAATCGTCAATTCGTCACCAGTTTTGTGCTTGCGTTTCTTTTAGAGATTTAGAGGACGTGGCCCTTCGGAATTATAACGAAAAAAAAGGCAACATTTTATAATTTGATTTAGAACCAAAAATGTCTCTCAGCTAATATTATCTGATTTTAATTAGAAGAGAACTTATCACAAACATGGAGTATATTTCTATTTGTAGCTTAATTTTATTCTTTTAGATCCAAGTTGTTTTAATTTAGTAGCCATTTACGACTTTAATCTGTTACTTGTACTCTAGTGATCTAAACTACTACATCAATCTTATGTAATTTATTATTCTATGAGAAGGAAAAATTTAAGTTGCTTTATTCATTTTATCATTAGCAAGTTGAATTAGCGGTTTGATGTGAGTGATCATCGCTATTTATTTATGCTAATAATGATAATCAATCATGTCAATAGTATTGTTTGATTCTTTTTCCCTCATCCATCCATATTGATTTCATTATGCAAAAAGTACACGTAGGTCACATACGTATCTTTAATAAGCAAATTTTATACATGGCCATTGGAGATCCAAGCATGCAAATATTCCATAAACACTCCAGGGTTAATGCGATTAGTATTGCATTAAATTCTAGTAATACACTTTGGGGTCCACAATGGAAACCGGGACACGTCAAAGCTAGCACTTGACTTACATAACGCTTATGTATTGCACCACGTGTCCTGGTCCCCACTGAAGCCAAAACACACGTCGGTCATGTATCTCTAGCCTCACCACAAAGAAGCTAGTAGCCTCACACCGCCGCCTAGAGCAGTGACACACGTCCTGTCACCCGCATGTCACTCAATAATTTTATCATATTTTCGTTTAAAATAAACAACATTATCTTAATCTCTTTGTTAGGTGGTGGATCCCTACGGAGGGCTTTATTGTAATTCGCAGACTTGCACAAAGCTTTATTTCGAATGTCTATTTTTAAGCTTAAGCAGAGAGAATTAAATTGTTGGCGTTCCTTCTTGAACAAAGAAAGCTTTAGACGCTCCCTTTTGCATATTTGATCTTACGTGTGCGCTACGCGAATTTAGCAACTCTTTCCCTTTCTCTCTATCTGTCGCTACCTCTCGGTTGAGTAAAGTAAATCTAAAAAAAAAAATCTTTCCATGGAAATGGGAGAGAGAATCGATTCGAGTTGTTAGGGTTTGCGATATTTTAGGCTTGTGTCGGTGTAGTTGATCTCGAGGAAGCGGAAAAAAAAATATTTGGGTTATATTTTCTAGCACCCGGAAGCTGGTTATTGGATAGTGTCCTCGCAAAATGCGAAAGTCGTTCAAAGATTCACTCAAAGCTCTTGAAGCTGATATCCAGTTCGCCAACACCCTGTAAGTCTCTCTCTCTCTCTCTCTCTGAGGTTACTTTCCGCATATTTGGATGTATCGGTAGAATCTGATTGTGTTCTTAGTCGATAGTGGTTGATGGCTTCGGAAATTTGTTTGTTTGATGTCTTAAAACAGCTTTTTGAGTGTATTATTGTCCATTGATTGAGTCGCTGATTATATTCTCCTTCCGATTGAATGAATCATACTGCTTACACAGTTTTGAGTTGTATCGAAATTTCCAGATGGTAATTTTTCAGTTTGGTAACTTGCTTATGAATCTGAATCTCCTGTTTTCTGCTGGGTAAGGTTTGTGTGCTGATGTCAGAATCAGGATGAGACTTTGCGTTTACGCGAGCTGACCAATTCCAATATATACATTTGCGAGTCTCAGACGCCACCACTGTTGGTCAATTTTTGTTTCTTTGGTCATGTAGTCTGATTCTACACCAAGTTGACTTGGTTTTTCTGTGAAGAAACATGTGTTCATGTTTTGTAATTAAAAAAAAAATTGTTTATATTTGAATTTGCAGGGCATCTGAGTATCCAGAGGAGTACGATGGGGGCTGCGTGCAGATGAGATTATCTTACAGCCCGGCGGCTCATCTCTTTCTCTTCCTTCTTCAGTGGACAGATTGTCATTTCGCTGGCGCTTTGGGATTGCTTAGGATCCTTATTTATAAGGTGATTTGTTTGCTGCTGCTTCTTGTCATATTGGTTATTGATCCTCTGTTCTTGTCTGCCTGATATGCCTATGTATGATTCTCTGTTTTCTTTTAGGCATATGTTGATGGGAAGACCACAATGTCGCTACATGAACGCAAAGCTAGCATCAAAGAATTCTATGGTAATCAATGTCATTGTTAGTAACTCTATAGTGTTTTGCGATGTAAACAAAGTAAATTAGACATTGATTGTGTTATATTGGACAGATGTGTTGTTTCCTTCGCTATTGCAACTACACGGAGGGATATCCGATGTAGAAGAAAGGAAACAAAAGGAGGTGTGCGACAAAAGATACCGGAAAAAGGACAGAACGGAGAAAGGAAAGATGTCAGAGATCGATTTGGAGAGGGAAGAAGAGTGTGGCATTTGCTTGGAGATTCGAAATAAAGTTGTTCTTCCTACTTGCAACCACTCCATGTGTATCAATTGCTACAGAAACTGGTAAAGACAAACTTTCTCTCTTTTTACTTCATGTTATACTGTTTTCTTCAGTGTCATTAATCGGATGTTTGTGTGTTTGAAACAGGCGTGCGCGGTCACAATCGTGCCCGTTCTGTCGAGGAAGCTTGAAGAGAGTGAATTCTGGTGATCTGTGGGTTTACACATCGATGAAAGAGATCGTGGAGTTACCGGCGATTTACAAGGAGAATCTGAAGAGGCTTTTAATTTACATTGATAAGTTGCCTCTCGTTGCTTCTGACCCAACTCTTGTCCCTTACTCTCCTCTTCCTCGGTGAACATTTTACATATTTCTCTTTTTAAGTATTATTATTTAAGCTCTCTCCTTGTTCTGCACATAGCAAATGTTTCATCTCTTCCGTGCCTACCACTTTGTTGTATAGTATGTCTTTGCTCTCCTTCTGCTTTGGTTATCTCTTTTTCTTTTTGGTGTCAGCTTTTTGCAGTCTCTGATTTGGATTTGTATATAACAAACCACTGCTTATTGACATTTATCGATCCAAATTTTAATATACATTTGTTGATTTATTGGTGATGAATCACATTCTTGGTTCGTCTGGACTCTGGAGTACTGAATCAAAGATTTGTTCAGTTTATCGTATATATACGAAAAGATAATTGCTCTTTTTTTTGTCTTCGGTTCAGTTGTTTGATCGGTTTCTTTGGCATAAACTGGTTTCGGTGTGGTTTAATTGGTTCAATCCGTAAATCTTTAGTTGCAAGCAATTTGAATGCAAAGCATCAGTCAACGGTAGTCTTGTGGCAAAATGGGACAGTATCACTGATACACGTGGCTTTTTTTAATTCGATGAGAGCTTATTCGCGCCCAATCAGAGTCTAGCTCACCTAGATTCTATTGAAACATCACCAGATAACTCTGAATTCAATAGATAAGGTTCGTTCTGTTCTTCACCGTCAGATGGATTTGTCAATAGATCTAACGGCTATCATAGTCTTTCGAAGATCGCCCAGCTCCAAGAAAGAAATCATCTCCATGCACCTATAAGCGTGGTTTAAGAAACGGAAAATTTTCTTCTATCTTCTGAAAAGCAAGCAATCGCTGTGATATAACAAAACGTTGCCGGAGATGGCCGCAACTTCCACCGCTGCCGCTGCTTCATCCATCATGGGTACTCGGGTGCTTCCCGATATCTATTCCGGTTCAGGTCGGTTCACAGCCCGGTTTGGGTTTGGAAAGAAGAAGGCAGCTCCCAAAAAGAAAGCGCCGGTGACTTCGGACCGGCCTCTGTGGTTCCCTGGCGCCAAATCTCCTGACTGGCTCGATGGTTCCTTGGTTGGAGATTACGGGTTTGATCCTTTTGGTTTAGGCAAACCGGCTGAGTATCTCCAATTCGACATAGATTCGCTAGACCAGAATCTGGCTAAGAACTTAGCCGGAGACGTGATCGGGACCCGTACGGAAGAGGCGGCCCCCAAATCGACGCCGTTTCAGCCGTACAGCGAGGTGTTCGGAATCCAGAGATTCAGGGAATGCGAGCTGATTCACGGACGGTGGGCGATGCTCGCCACTCTCGGCGCTCTCTCCGTCGAATGGCTTACCGGCGTCACCTGGCAAGACGCCGGAAAGGTATGTCGCTTTTTTCTCCCCGGAAAATTCGATAAGGAATCATTTCTGAAAATCAGTGACGAAAACGTTATTAGTAATTTAGATTTGCGTCTGTGACTACATGATCTATGTCTCCCAATAGTCAATTTAGCGTTAGCGTTGACAGTTTGGGATTCTATTCAAACTGATGATAACCCAAAATCTCAGGTGGAGCTTGTGGATGGATCGTCCTACTTGGGGCAGCCATTACCGTTCTCGATATCGACATTGATATGGATCGAGGTGTTAGTGATCGGCTACATCGAGTTCCAACGCAACGCCGAGCTTGACTCAGAGAAGCGTCTGTACCCAGGAGGCAAATTCTTCGACCCGCTAGGTTTAGCGGCTGATCCAGAGAAGACGGCTCAGCTTCAGTTAGCAGAGATCAAGCACGCGCGTCTTGCGATGGTCGCGTTTTTGGGATTCGCGGTTCAAGCGGCTGCAACTGGTAAAGGTCCACTCAACAATTGGGCTACTCACCTCAGTGATCCACTCCACACCACCATTATCGATACCTTCTCCTCCTCTTAAGTCTTTAAATCATTTCCCTTCCCCCATTATCAATCTGATCGTTAATGTAATTTTCGTTGTGAACAACAAAAAAAAGGAATTTGGACCTTTTTGTATAAACAGAGCTGTATGAGACTGAATTGCATTTGGCGTTTGGAGTTTGAACTGGTTTTGGGCTTCTGTTTGTTTGGTCTATCTACCTGTTTGGGCCATGACAGTATATCGGCCTAATTGTCATTCCAGATTTAAAAGTTGAATATGCTATATCAGATATTCAGATGTCTGGCCAGTTTCTGGATGAACATGGAGATTTGTCTTGTGAAGTCTTTGTCGAAAACGATGCGCGTATGTCTCCTGTCACTGTTCCGTAATTTGGGAGGACGTTGAATTAATTTGTTTTTATTATTCTCGATTTTGACACATACATCTTACCAGGTTCCATCAATTGCTTGCTCGTATGCAACGAATAAGAAGTTTACAAAATGTCATGAAATTATTGTACGAAAGACTCAATCAATCGATTGTCATATCCCCTTGAGGATGGTCTTAATATATTATAAAGAAAATTTATGTAGTCAATATATACAAATGGCTAATTCAACGATCAAAAATGGACAGGTCCGTCTATATAATAAACCGAATAAAATAACAAAGTTTGTATCCTTTCCCTAGGGACCATAAGGAAAATATTAGAAGAAAAGTTTGATATGTAATGTTTGAATAGTATCTGGATGAAAATATGAAATGATGATTTAGTTACTGATGTCATTTCCCAAGTTATCATTTAGGTATAATAATTTCGATCTCTCGACTCATGCAGATGTATTTAAATTTGGGATATCAGTCACGGTCCAAGATTTAACTTGGGAAAATTCACATATTTCCTGGAATTTTTTTATTATTTTCGTCGGCAACATATTGTAGGGATGTTTTATTGCTTGAACTAGTTCCGGTTTTGAAAAAGAGGTCCAACGTAACTATCAGTCCTAGACTTTGACAAAGTCCGCGTTTACTTAAACTTCTCGTTTTATTTTTTCCCTTAACCAAAAAAGAGATGACTATAAAAATTAAAAATAGTCAAAATGGACTTGGACATGTGTTTAAACCTTAAAAGATAAAAAGGGAAAGTTGTCCAATGACTATTACCCAAGCTCCACCATTTATAAGTGTTTTCTGTTATTACCAGCCATATATAGTTTCTCATATAATCGTTATCGATTTGACTTTGTAAATAATGTCTTACTTATCAATTTTGTCCATATGTTAACTCGTTTGATTATTCTTATTTCGTAGTACTGGATTCCATTAGGTCACATCGCCACGTAAGATAAACTCTACATAACCTCGCTTATTCGGACCAGTTCAACATGACAACGGCTTCATCTGTTATTTAATAATAGATTGTTGGTTGTTATTTGGGGGAATTGTAGTAGCTTTTCTCTCAAGCTAACATCTAGTATTTTGATTTCGAAAATTTGACTAAAATATTGTAACACAATGAAAATTTACCAGTCTACTACTATTAAATTCGTAGCTAGCTATACATACTTTGTTTAGCTTTGACTATATTGGTTAAATTTTTTTAAAAATATCCGTACCGTTAAAAACGAGAAATGCCAAAACATCATAAACACGATTATAAAAGAAAAGTTAAAAAAGCGTACGAGTTGCAACTAAAATGAAAAGAAGCTCCAAATTTACCCCCGAAAAATAAAAATAAAAAAACCGTGAATTTGCACTATCTACCACTGATAACAGAACTCGAAGAATTCCTCGTGACGGAGAAAGATGCGACTGAGCTCGAAGCCTTATCCGACGAGACGTACCCTTCGAACTTGGATCCGAAATCGCTTCTCGAAGAATCTGAGTATCCCCAATGGTCGTCAATCTCAGGAACATCTTCGTCTCCGTTCATATACCTAAGCACCGTTCTCATCGACGGCCGAGACGCCGGTCTTTGATGGCAACATAGCAATCCGACGGAGAGAGCAAGCTTTGCCTCTCCACCATCGTAAGCTGATCCGAGTCTCGGATCTACCGCAGGGAGAATCTCACCGCTCGCGTACAGTTCCATAACCCAATCGGCCAAGAAGAAGGTCCCGGAATCCGTCGGTCTTCTCCCGGAGACGATCTCTAACAGCAAAACGCCAAACGCGTAAACATCAGACGCAGACGAGGAGTTTCCGTTACGAGTGAGCTCCGGCGCCATATACCCAATCGTTCCGACGACTACAGTGGTGTGCGATTGCGATCCTCGTTCGTAAAGCCTCGCGAGCCCGAAATCTCCCAATCTAGGGTTCATGTTGGATTCAATTAGAACATTGCTCGGTTTCACGTCCCTGTGAATCACAATCTTTTCCCATTCCTCGTGGAGATACAGCAATCCCGACGCGATTCCTTTCGCGATCTGAAAACGCGCGTTCCAGGACAAAACGGCGCCGCTTTGTCTGGGTTTACTGTAGAGCAGCGAGTCCAAGCTTCCGTTGGGGATATAATCGTAAATCAACAAGAGGTCGTTTTTGTGTTTGCACCATCCTTGGAGGTTGACCAGATTCTTATGCCTTAAACGTCCCAAACTTTCGATCTCTGCGACAAATTCTCGAACACCTTGCATGCTATTTGGAGTGATTTTCTTCACTGCGATTTGATCAGAAGAGGATGTTGAGATGCTTCCTCTGTAAACGGTTCCGAATCCACCGGTTCCGATGATCCGATACTCCTTGAATCCCTCCGTAGCCGCGTAGAGATCCTTGTATCTGAGTCTGTGGGGATGATTGATTTCCCAGTCTTCCAGAATCTCTCCTTCTTGCAGTCGCTTCTTATAGACGACGAAGAAGAAGAGTAACGCAAGCAAGATCAGCGTTACGCCCGAGAGAGCCACGATCAGAGAGAGGACCTGAGGGTTGTATTTCCCCTTCTTCGCCGTATTCGGCGGCGCACGAGGAAGCTCCGAGAGGTTGAGCGGCTGTGCAAGTGGATGTTCTCCGCCGCTTGAGAAACTCCAACCCATCACGTAATGAGCACTGGATTGATCTTTCCCCGTCGCTGCAGTGAATCCGACATACATTTCTTCTTGCACAATTTCTGACAGCTTTGGAACAGGTCGTCGCAAGATCAAAGGCCGTACGGGTTTAGACTTGGATTCCGCCGGATAAACGGTGAAATTGAGCGTCTGTGTTGGTCCATCGTAATCCAGAAGTGCTTGAATCGGTTCGCCACTCTGAAGCGTAAAGTCCTCTTTGCGATCATGGTTGGCGTAATATATGACGGGCTCCTGAAATTCCGATGTGAGGTCGTTGAAATTCAGACCGATGTGGTTGCCTGTTCTATCAACAACGTCGTTGAATCCTTGTACCGTGTCGAATTCCACGGCGAAAACGTGGTTTCGAGGATCTCCGTCGTTGTCTTTGTTGAGAAGCCCCAAGTACTGCGCCGATTCCGCGCCCGTGCGGTTTGGAGTTGGAGATAGTGTGAAAGTGAAGCCGAAACCTCCATTGCTGGAGCTCGTAGGGATGATGACGAAGACGAAAGAAGTGCTGAACGAACCAACTGTGGAATTTTGGTCGAGCAATCTTACCGGTTTGTGGTAGAAAGCTGTTCCCGTAACGTTTGGATTTCGGTCAGTAAGCCTCAATAGCCCATCGGGTTTGATCCTCGCAGTTTCTGCAGTCTGAATCTCTGTTTCGTTTCCAGTAAATCCTTTGAAAATAAAATCTGTTGTTGAAGTCTCCGTTCTTGTTCTCTGAGCTCGAACAGGGATAGTCAAGAGCAAGAAGAACATGAAAAGGAGCGAGACCATGGATATGGCAGCCCCCATGAAGCAGTAATTTAGATGTGTGGTTTGGGAGAAGGAGAAGAAGATAACAAGAGATGCTTCTCCAAGATTTAGGATTAGAAGACTTCTTATAAGGAAATATTAAGAACTTCTAACAAGAAATTGCGTATTTTCTTCCTCTTCAGTAACTGGTTCACGTTATTGTATGTGTTGAAAATTCATGGAACCCAATGGTTTGTGGACCTTGTGATAAATTTAATATTTGCAGAAAAAAACAAAAAATATATATACAGTTAATACTTACCGTATTTATTTTAAACTAATCAAAATTAAATATTTTAAAGTTGTTGTTAGGACCAGATATCGTCACTTATCATTTATTTCCAAGTCTATCAGTTATTATTTCTTAGGAGTATTAAATAAAGTTTCCTCAAAATAACGTGTTCTTACTGGTTTTCAATTGCAAATTAAATTTTGATTTCATTCATTCAGTGATTTGATTGGTAATTTGTAAAAATGATGTACCAATAGAACAAAAATATGGAGAAAGAAGTAAAAGTAAGGAATCGCAAAATATGAATACTGATAATGTTGAAAATTAATAGTTTAGGATGTTGATACTAGGGAAAAAAATTATTTTAGGCTGGGATTAAATGATTTGTTCTTAAAAGTCCAACGCGACTATATGGCTGACTTTGACAAATTCCATCTTTGCTTTGAACCTGCAGATATTTTATATTTGGAGAAAAACCAATAATTTTTGTGACTTTTGGATTGGACATTGTATGATTTAAACTCTATAGATAAAAATAAAATATTGGTGATAAGTACTGTAACTAATAAGATCAGTTCCGAACTTATAAGACTGCAGTAAATTTTCTTCTACCAATCATTGGTAAATAACTATATTGAATGATTACTTGTGTCGTTGAAATAAATAGCTTCTGCTTTATTCTTTTTCACTTTTACGGTTTTACCACACAAAGAATAAAAAAACAAGCTGCATGATGGTCCATGTCAAGAGTGTATTGTTATCACTTATCAGCACACGAAAAACAAAAACCATTTATTACCAGATGTCGAGTTCAGCTTTATACATTGGTTCGAGTGGTCGCATAAATCCTTATCAGTTTGACTTTATAAATAGTGTCGTAGATTTAGATTTCCATTTGTGTCTTTCGTCTTTACTTAATCCTGATGATGTACTAGTCTTGAATCACGTCATGTAGTCATGTGAGATTGAATACGGCAGTGTTTTGAAATGGTGTTGATTTAATTAAATTGGGCTAAAATGGAGACAAGACACTAAGGAACCTAATGGGCTTAGCCCAAATTCGAATACAGTTCCTCAAAAACCAATTTGTTCCGTTGGATCGAAAAATCAAAAACAACATTTTCCATCTTTCTCTGTGGGTCCAAAAACTAGAAAGCTTAAATGTGTCGAAGTGCCACTATCTACCACTGATAAATGAACTTGAAGAGATCCTGGTGAGGGATGAAGAAGTGTATGAGCTCGAAGCCCTATCCGACGAAACATAACCTCCGAATTTCGATCCTAAATCCCTTGTTGAAGAATCAGAATATCCCCAGTTTTCGGCGCCAATCTCAGGAACATCCTCGTCCCTGTTCAGATACCTAAGCACCATTTTCATCGGGGGACGAGATCCTGGTTTTGGGTGGCAACATAGCAAACCGATGGCAAGAGCAAGGCCTGCCTCTCCACCGTCGTACCCAGATCCGAGTCTCGGATCGACCGCACCGAGGATCTCACCGCTTGCGTGCAATTCCATCACCCAATCGGCTAAGAAGAAGCTCCCGGCGTCCGTTGGTTTTCTTCCGGAGACGATCTCTAACAGTAAAACGCCAAATGCGAAGACGTCGGAAGCCGACGAGGAGTTTCCGTTACGAGTGAGCTCCGGCGCCATGTACCCAATCGTTCCGACGACTACAGTGGTGTGCGATTGCGATCCTCGTTCGTAAAGCCTCGCAAGCCCAAAATCTCCCAATCTAGGGTTCATGTCATCGTCAATTAGAACGTTGCTTGGTTTCACGTCTCTGTGAATCACGATCTGTTCCCATTCCTCGTGGAGATACAGTAGCCCAGACGCGATTCCTTTCGCGATCTGAAAACGCGCGTTCCAGGACAAAACGGCACCGCTTCGTCTCGGTTCACTGTAGAGCAGCGAGTCTAAGCTTCCGTTGGGGACATAATCGTAGATCAACAAGAGATCATTTCTGTGTTTACACCATCCTTGAAGGTTCACCAGATTCTTATGCCTTAACCTTCCCAAACTCTCAATCTCTGCGACAAATTCTCGAACACCTTGCATGCTATTTGGAGTGATCTTCTTCACTGCGATTTGATCAGAAGAAGACGTTGAGATGCTTCCTCTGAAAACGGTTCCGAATCCTCCGGTTCCGATAATCCTATCTTCCTTGAATCCATCAGTAGCCGCGTGGAGATCCTTGTATCGAAATCTGTGGGGATGATCGATTTCCCAATCCTCGAGAATCTCCTCTTGTTGCAATCGCCGTTTGTAGACCATGAAGGTTAACAACAATGCCAACATAATCGATATAACAGCCGATAAGGCGACGATCAGAGCGATGACCTTACCGTTGTAACCCGATCTCTTCTTCGCCGTATTCGGAGGCGGAGGAGGAAGCTCGGAGAGGTCGAGGACAGCTGCAAGTGGATGTTCTCCGCCGCTTGAGAAACTCCAACCCATCACGTAATGAGCACTCGATTGATCTCTCCCCGTGGCTGCGGTGAATCCCACGAACATTTCGTCTTGCACAATATCCGACAGTTTTGGAACATGTCGAGAGATCAATGGGATTATTGGTTTAGATCCCAATCTGGTTGGGTAGACAGTGAGGTTGAGCGTTTTGGTTGGTCCGTCGTAGTCAACGAAGACTTGGATTGGCTCGCCGCTCACCAGTTGAAATTCTTCTTTCTTGCCGTCGTTGTTGTAATAAGCCACCGGCTCCTGGACATCTGAAGAGAGACTGTTGAAATTTAGACCGATGTGGTTGCCTATTCGGTTTGTGCCGTCTTTGAATCCTTGCACCGTGTCGAATTCGACGGCGAAGACGTGGTTGCTCGGATTCCCGTCGTTTCTTTCGTTGAGAAGGCCCAAATACTGTGCGGAATCCGCGTCCGTGCGGTTTGGGGTTGGAGATAGTGTGAATGTGAAGCCGAAACCGCCATTGTTTGAGCTTGAAGGTATTATGACGAAGACGAAACAAGTGCTAAAGGAACGAACCGTGGAATTACTGTCGAGAAGTCTCACCGGTTTGTGGTAGAAAGCTGTACCTGCAACATTGGAGTCTCGATCGGTGAGCCTCAATAGTCCGTTTGGTTTGATGGTTGAATCTCCACCTATCTGTATTTCTGATTGGTTGCCTTTAAAACCTTGGAAAATGAACTCGGTTGTTGTCTCTGTTCTTGCTGTCCGAGCTTGAACAAGGATTTCAAGGAAGAGCACCAACAAGAATGAGACCATGGATCTTGATTGACCCATAAATGATCAAGAGGGGGTAACCAAAAAAGAAAAGAAAAAGAGAGGTAATTTAAGATGTATTATGGTAGAAAAAGTGAAGCAAGAACAGAGGTAACGGCGGCTTTGGAAGCAGAAGATGACAAGAAGAGACAAGAGAGTCTGGTTTCTCTTACAAATTCGATGAAGAAGGAGACGAATAAGCAGAAAAATGACAATGACGTCCTAACCTGCAGTTTTTCTGATAAATAAGTAGTTTCTAAAATGATAGTTTAGGATGCTCTACCAACGAGGGAATGGATGACTTTGACAAAGTCCAATCTACTTTGAATGTCCTTGTATATAAATATTTTGAGGGAAAAAAAAAGCCATTCAGGCTTTAAACTATAAAGATCAAATCAGATGTTGGGGATTAAACGAGTCCCGAGCTTATGGTAATGCAAAGTGGAGTAAATTCCCAGTCATTTTGACTTAATTTTGTTTGGTCGTGTCTAATTCTATTACCCACATGTAACTCTTTACTAATTAATTAACCGTTAGGTCTCTGTCGATCAGTTGAGTAGATTCGGTTGATGAGAAAAAGTCGTAGTCAATGTGATGTGACTTTGTTAAAGTAGGCGTAGCTTCTGCATTCTTACAAATTGACTTGAGAGATGGAACAACAAGGGATGCCAGATATTACGTGGGCTTCATTATTGGCTACGAATTTTATTGGATCATTCATCTATGGAGTAATATGCAGCCTAATGGGCCGAGGCCACATTTGAAACACAGTCTCACAAATTCAATCGGAGAAATCAAAAACCAAATCTAAGATTTTCCCTCTGCTTTTTTTTCGTTCATCTGTTGAGATAGGTTTAGTGGTGTTGGAGATGGGGGATCAGTCAGGGAATGTCGAAATGGCGATTTCGTGGGGAGACGATTTGATCAATGTTTTGGATGATACGAAAAGATTCGATTTGTTGGCGCAAACTCTCGAGCATCTGAGAGCTATTCAGTTCTCTTGCGACGAAGATTTTAGTGAGATAGAGGAATCTCTCCAAGGTCACTATTCCGTCTTTGAGTCTCTAATGCCTCTTTTGTTGGGTTGATAGTGGTATAGTCTTTTTTATTAATCATATTATTGCTATTGCTCAGATTTGCAGAAGAAACTCGATGCCTGCAAGGAGAAGACCTATGAGGCGAGTTCAGGGATCGCGGATGGCGAAGAAATTGAGCGTCTTCAGAGAGAGCTCGATGAAGAGCTAAAACTTGAGTGCAAGCTCAAGGAAGAGCTTAGATATGTATAATTTGACTCAACTGAGCTTAAGCTTTCGTCTCCGTTGATTCAATGGCATTGACCAGCTTCGTTTTTACTTGGTTTATGTCAGCACATTCATGGCTGATGAACTCAAAGACGTGAATTCTCAAGGGGAATTGTTTGAAGAACAAAGGTTAGCTATTACGAGGAAAGAGCGGGACCAGTTGAGAACTGAGTAAGATCCACCAACCACTTTCCCTTTTCTAGGCTCTTTCCTAGTCTCTGTCCTTATTGCTATGCTTTGAAAAGTTGAAACTTTTTCTGATCATTTGCTAATCTTTGTTTTCTGCAGGAAAAAGCTATCTATGTATGCTTCTATCACTAAAGTTATACCCAACATCGATGATCCATTAAAGACCTCAGGCTGTATCCTTTGCTTTTGATTTCTCTCTACTCTCTCTACTTTTTGATTTATATCTTACTCAACGATGTCATAAAGGGTTTAATCCTTGACTGAGTACACGACAGATATGGTTAATCTAGACCAAAAGATAATCGACAAGTTTGAATTCGACGCAGGCAAGAGGACAGACTACGCGACATGTAACACCATTTGGGAAATTATAAACAAGCAATAGACAGCCTTTCCTCTTTGCCTCCTCCCCTTTATTTGTTTGATGTTGCTGTCTTATAACTCTAGTTTTGGCTTGTCTTGCACCGTCTGACATCAGTCTCTTAGCAACAAACCTCCTTTGCTTATGTTTCCTTACATGTAAAAAGCTGCCTTCCCACTCTACTGTGAACAAATATCTTCTTTTACTTGATGTTAAGAGTTTATTTCCCTTGTTATTTGGTGCTGACTCTTGTTGTCTTCTTTTATGGACATTTTTTTGTGCAGATAGCAGTGGCTATACTCTTCTTAAACATATCTACTGTACCTTTAAAACCTATAGTGTAACTCCTGGATTTTCAGCAAGACTGTATAATTATATTTTTATGCAGATTGTTGCACATCCATTTTGAAGTCGTAAAACAAACTTCATATGGAGCATATTTTGATCGGTAAGCAGTTTCTGATCTCCCAAACATTTCAGTATCTTAGAGATTTAAGGATTTTGGACTCGAATCTTAGAGATTGGAATAGCAAACTTGGTGACTATTACTTAGCTTCTCCGTTGAGCTATTGAAACTGCTTAGTGTCTCCATCCAACTGTTGAGGATCTTGCACGCTTCTGGCACTTGCTCGCTTCCATAAGCATTGCATACATACATTTCAAAGTTTTGGTAGTTCTGTTCACCAAAGACCAATACTTAAAATTTTGTTTCTCCATTGATCCTGAAAGTTATCAGCTCAGTGTATAGGACTAACCTCTTGAAGTGGTTGGTTATTCACAACCACCCAGGGCACATATTTATGTGGTGGAGAAAGTTCAGAGGTTTCTTGAGCATATCTCTGTTCAAACTGCAGAATGTGTCATTTATAAATAAGTCAGTTTGGTTTTTATAGTTTTCCTGCATTTTAAGCTAAACTTTCGTGTCAGTAGGATTTACCTTGTTTCCGTACCCGTTAATATAACAGTCAAACGCTGCTCTGCTCAACCCAACCATTTCAAAACAATCACCCCATTTTTCAAGTTTCTTCTCCAAGACTAGCCGTTCCGTACAATATATGTATCCAAAATGCTTCATCTGCAAGCGAAATATGAACACAGCATATAGCACGCTTATTCACGGTCAAGCCTTTTTATGGCGATTATAAGGTCACAACAACTAGTCTCAGTGCATAAACCCGGTCAAGCTTACCACATCAGGGTATGCGTTTATTGCACAGGCATGAATCGCGTTAAGCGCACACTCAGCTTCTCCGTGCTGAAAACAAAGCATTAATCAAATGCTGCATCCTAATTTATTTACTACAATGGAAGTGCTGACAAGACAAAGAAGAGTCCAAGACCTGGCAGAGAAGGGTGCCATCTTGTTGCATAACGGCGTTGCCCCATGGAACGAGCTGGAGATCAATGGCTGAGATTAAGCCGCTACTGAAGATCTTAGGCAAGTGGTTAACGATGAATTCTGCACAGTAAGGGCATAGAGCTTCGTAGTATAGACTTAAAGTGACCTTCTGACTTGAAGACAGAGATAAGAAGGAGAAGAAGATTGTGATGCAGAACCGGAGAAGCCATTGATATGATGCCATTGCCATTGGTGGAAGCAAGAAGAAAGAGCAAGTTTGCAGAGACTTGTGTTGGATCTTGCTTTATTCTTCAGTCGCATTAAACAAGCAAAGCAGTACTCAAAGATTCGTTAATGTATTTCATCCTTTTATATTTCAAGGCGTTTTGGCGCTGTTTGGCTTATTTGTAAAACGACACGTAGTTCTTTTGTTAAATTCTAAACGGCGTGGTGGTTTCGTTCACATTTCGTCTTCAACATCTAATCCACCTGAACATAAGGATTCTCTTCTCCGAACAGCAACCGATAAAACCCTGAGCCCTAGCTTCCCTTCGTTTGCTTGGCTGGAGAAGGAGAAGGAGAAGGAGAAGGAGAAGGGCTGTGTGGTACAATGTCGTCCATGAACTTCAACCCATTTCAAAACTGGTTCGAGAAGCCACCGAACCCAGTTCCTTCAATCAATTTCGTCTCGCTCGCTGATTCCTTCTTTCCCAAGTCGCAGTCTCCGAATTTCGCTTCGATTGGACTTCCTAAATACTTTAAGAAGTCCAAAAAACCGGAGCCGGAAACGGAAGAACCTGGACGGTTTAAGAAAATCGCAGAGCAGTTCATGTGGGAGTGCGAGAACATACCGGATTACAGGCACACTCCGGAAGTGGAGAAAATTCTCAACGAAGATCCAATTTTCGACAAGAGGGAGAATCCGAGCAGAGAAGAGATTGAGGCGGAGGAGAAATGGTGGGAGAGGTTTCGAGCGAGTCCCGTGGTTCAGTTCATGACTCGCGCCCAGGAGATTGCCGACGACATGAACAAGATGGATCTCGAGGAAAACGACACGCCTTATCGGAAAGAGGACAAGGATTTGTGGCGAGCCGTCCCTCATGTGCCGGGCTTCGACGGGAGGCCAATGCCTAGGAAGGCGATCAAATCCAAGGAAGAGAGTGATGACAAGTTTTGGGATTTCATGAAACAGTTCCTCTTCGGACTCTGGGGTTTCCGTCAAAGGCCGTACCCGCCGGGTCGACCCATTGACGTGGCTCAGGCTATTGGTTACAAACGCCTCGAGAAGCGTTACTATGACTGTAAGTGCCTTGTTCTACTCTAACCGGTTTGTCATTTCTTGGTGAATTGATGAGGATGATGTTACTGTATCGTTGAGGGAGAAAATTCGTATGGTGATGAGTTTTAACAGCCAGGTTGCTCAATTTGATTTTGTTTCAGTGTTTTTAGGATTTCAATTCAGATTCTGTGTTTAGGTGCTAAGTAATCACATGTTTTATCATGATCCAGTTTGTGTCTCTGGGAGCCATAGCATCTGTTGTTGAATTGCAGGAATATGAGGAAAGTGGTCTCCTTTGCGTTTGATCATTAACCTGAAGTTTGCTCTTTTGTGTATTGAGATTGTAGTCATAATGAAGACCGGAGGTTGGTGGTATAAAGACAGACTGGGGCGATCGAGAGGCCCTTGTGAGCTTATAACCCTGAAGACGGCTTATGGAGCTGGAATCATCGACAGAGATACTTTCATTTGGGGAGAGGACATGGATGAATGGGCGCCTATTCACATGGTTTACGGTTTGGAGCCTGCAATTGCCACTTGGGAAGGTCTGTTATATCGGAGAATCTGACATCTTTGAAGAATCACAGTTCATCTTTTGATGACTTTCGTTGTTGGTTTTGTTGACTCTTGGGGGTATTGTTTTCCAGTGAGGCTTGGTGCAGCGGCAACAGCTTTCCTACACAAACTTCAAAAGGGAATACCGCCATGGGTTCCTCTCAAGGGACGAGAGCCAAAAACATACAAGCAGCTCCAGAAAGAAGCTATTGAGAGTAAGAAACGTGACATGGCAGTTATGGAAGCAAACGGTGGTGTTTGGCCTGGAGTGAGAACTCCCAGCCATGCTCTGTTCCTCTGGGCCAGTGGGTCTGAATTAACTACCATCTTGGAATCTGATCACATGCCCAACAAGTTCATCCCCAAACAACTAAGGTAAAGTACTTTGTTAGCCTAAATAGGATTTGAATAATGAATATTGATTCTTTTGTCTCAAAGCGTGAAACTCTTTTTATATTAGGCAAGAGCTGGCCAAAGTAATACCAGGATTAAGGCCATGGGAAGTGATAAGTGTAGAGCAAGCTATGGATCAGATCAGCTATGGCGGAGAGTGGTACCGTGAGCCACTTGGTACCTACACTACTGGTCCTCCTTACATCAGAGAATGGAACAGGAATGTCATGGTAACTTTCTTCTCCGTTCTTGTGACTTTGTTTTGACATGAGAGGATGAAAAACTGGTTGACCTTTTCTCGTCCGTTTTGTATTATATTTGTTTGCAGAGATTGTTCCGGATTTACTACAACCTTAGCGTTCGAGTAGGCCAGAAGCTGGAGAATACAATCCCTGGTTTCAACACTATAATGGAAAAAGTGCAGAAAGATTACGACAATCGGATTGCTAGGAGGATGAAGCGGAGGGAGGAGGAGATGAGAGAAGAGGACCTCAAACATATGGCCGGCCGCACCGATGAAGATGACGAGGAGGAGGAAGACGACGACAACGATGGAAGACCTTGATCATGTTGTTTCTGCATTCTTCGCCAGCAATGCACGACGTTTTCGCTTTGGTGTTGTGGGGGAGTTTTGTTTCTCGCATTTACATTTTTACACACACCATGGCGTTGTACGGTGTCTTCTGTAACATCATGCTCTAAAGTTTTAACCAACTTGCGACAAAACAAGGAAACCTGTTGAATTCTCTCTTCCCCCCCTCGTTGAAGATTAATCAAGTGTGGAATCAGAAATGTTCGTAATAGCCAACGTGTGTGGTCGTTTATCTTTTTGTTCACGCATAGCCTCGTAAGCCCATTTAACAAATCTCCGAGGCCCAGCAATTATATGATGGATCCAGATACCTGACCCGTCAAGTGTCGGCCCCATTGCAAGAATGGTGAGATTTGTTGACAAATCGCCGCCATAGCCACACAGTCCTGCAAGCTCAGGATTTCTCATTTCTCCATGACTGTCTCATAATTAAGGTCAGTCTCTTTCAATTTCATTGTCACTGTCCATTTCTAAGCAGTATTGTGTCGAATTCCATAGTTCCAAGTGAGTCAGTTCTCTGCTAGGGATTTAGCCCGAGTCTGAGTCTTTTTCTGAGACTTTGATGACTCTCGTTGTTTAGGGATTCACGAGCTTCGTTTGCAATTAGGGCTTCAATCGGTAATCAGTGAAGGAGGTGCAGCTGAAAATTGAGAATGAGATCCTTTCCATTGCTTTCTACCTACTGAGAATGGGCAACTGTGGTACCAGAGACGAGGCTGCCGTCTTCACTCCTCAAGCTCAAGGTAGACCAGAGCTCTCTCTCTCTATATATATATATATATACATAGCTCGTATTTCCCTCCTTTTTTTCATTTCCTGATCTCTCTTCTCTTTGCCGCATCTCTCGCAGCCCAACAGCTACAGAAGAAGCATTCGCGCTCCGTCTCAGATCTGAGCGATCCATCGACTCCTGGCTTCCTGGACGAATCTCGCAGTCCATTTTCGTACTCGCAAGTCATCCCCTTCACTTTGTTTGAGCTTGAGACCATCACCAAGAGCTTCCGCCCAGACTATATCCTCGGAGAAGGCGGCTTCGGCACCGTCTACAAGGGCTACATTGATGACAATCTCCGCGTTGGCCTCAGGTCTCTCCCTGTCGCCGTCAAGGTCCTCAACAAGGAGGGCCTCCAGGGCCACCGTGAATGGCTTACCGAGGTCAACTTCCTCGGCCAGCTCCGCCATCCCAACCTCGTCAAGCTTATTGGTTACTGCTGCGAGGACGACCACCGTTTGCTTGTTTACGAGTTCATGCTCCGAGGCAGCCTTGAGAATCACCTCTTTCGAAGTAATCTCCTTTTATATTCTCCGTTCCTTTCTTCTAGCTTATTCCGTTTATCTAGTCTATAATTAACCAAGTCCCTCTATTGCCTCTATTCAGAAACTACAGCTCCGCTATCATGGTCTAGAAGGATGATGATTGCTCTTGGTGCTGCCAAAGGGCTTGCTTTCCTCCACAACGCTGAAAGACCCGTTATTTATCGCGATTTCAAGACTTCCAATATTCTGCTTGACTCGGTAACAAGCTATGCTTTTCTTTTAGCGCTTTCCTTCAAGATACTGGGAGTAGAGTACCATTCGTTGCTAATACTGTATATTGTTGCTTGCAGGACTACACAGCCAAGCTTTCAGATTTTGGCTTAGCTAAAGCCGGGCCCCAGGGTGATGAAACCCATGTATCAACTCGAGTGATGGGCACTTATGGCTATGCTGCCCCGGAATATGTCATGACTGGTATGACATTACAGTATTACACTATATAGCGATAGGAGCGATAGTCAACTGTTTTATGTTAGGTCTTACCGTTTGAAATTAGGGTAGTTAACTAATATGGGAGCTCGTTTGAAGTGATTCAACGTATCTTGCTGTGAATGAATACACACTGACTTTGACTCTATTACTAATGAACAAGGACACCTGACGGCCAGAAGTGATGTGTACAGCTTTGGAGTTGTTCTTCTGGAGATGTTGACAGGAAGAAAATCAGTGGACAAGACAAGACCGAGCAAAGAGCAGAACCTGGTGGATTGGGCTCGGCCGAAGCTGAATGATAAAAGAAAACTGCTGCAAATAATAGACCCGAGGCTGGAGGAGCAATACTCTGTGAGGGCAGCGCAGAAGGCATGCAGCTTGGCGTATTACTGTCTAAGCCAGAATCCGAAAGCTAGGCCATTGATGAGTGATGTGGTTGAGACTTTGGAACCTTTGCAGTGTACAAGTGATTCCCTGATCCCTGGTGGTGCTGGAGCTGCGTTTGCAATGGGAGGGGTCCCTGATTACAGAATGCACCGGAGGTTTGCGAAGAATGTCGGGCCTGGTGCCATTTGCAGGTCACCCAATCCAAATTGTTCACCAGGTGGACCTGCTGCTTGCAGAGTGCGGTGACCAGTCCCAAGTGTACATAACTGCTCTCTCCTTTTGCGTAATTTTCTCTCTGGTTGCGGTTTACTTAAGGTTGTTTTTGATCTTGTTGTTGCTGCTGCTGTTGATTGCCACTTTTCTTACCGTGTCGTGTTGATCTATCTAGAGTCTTTGTATGATTGATGATTGTGCGTGCTTCTTGATTAATCCGCACTCTAATGTAGTGTTTGGTTTGTATTAGTCGACATTTCTGTTCACTTGAATGTGGAATTTTTTGTATAAGCAGCAGTATTGATGATTTTTATTTGATATGGACTGTGATTTCCATCTTGTTTGCCTTTCAGTTTATCCCAGTGACTAGCTTCATGTTCTTCATGAACAGGTTCGTTATGCTTTAACTCTTTCGCGTTTAATTAGAGGGATATAAGTTTTAGTAGTAGTTAACAAGTAAAGTCTCCGTTTGGTCATGTATCATACTCGTAATATAGTGAAACAAAGCCTTCATTGATTAAACTTGGGAAATTATTACAAAAACCATCTTAAACACAAAGCTCACTACTACAATCTTATTTCTCCATAATACTTATACAGAATCATCGGTAGGTCAACTGAAAGTAAACTTATGGAGGTACTCTCTAATTCAGAAGCTTCTGGTCGAAGTGCCAAACTCCTGCAGAGACCAAAACAAAAATATTCATAAAGCTTCTAAAAAACTGAATTCAAGTCTTAAGAAGGATATCTCAATAAAGGTTTTCGATTCGTACCGTGGCCTTTGCCAACCATCCTTAGCTGGGTGATGTAGTCTGAGATTTTCTTGATAGCTTCAATCTAGAAGAGAAAAACCCAAAAAAAATAGTTGAGCAGATAATTCCATGTCACTAGTTCCAATCCGAACAAAATAAAACAAAACGAAAACTCACCTGCTCTCCAAGAAACTCGCTCTCAACGAAATCAGCTAACTGGGGATCATTGTTTTCTGTCGCCACCTGTATTTTTGATGATTTAAATTGTGTTAGGAAATTAATGATTATTTGATAGGCTAGTATTTGACTAGATGGATAAGTTTGGGAGCTTACGCTGTGAAGGTTTAGAAGCTTCTCGTTGGTAAGTTTCTCAAGAGACAGAGCCAACTCCATTGCTGAGAAAAAGAAAAGATTCGTAAAACTAATTAAGAAAAGATTCCTAAAACAGATATTGTAAGCATGATTAATTGTGTTCTGTATAGTTTACCGTATAATGCATCTCCTTTTTCACCATGTTCGAACTCAGAGATAGGTGAGACGATAGGGTGGAGTTTCACTCTTCCTCCTCGTTTGTTCTGTAATACACAAACCAACAATAAGACATTTTTAATCAATCACAGATCGTTCGTCTAATAAGAAATTTCTTTTTAAAAAAAAGATAGGAAACCTGGTATTCCATAAACTTCTCTGCGTGGCCTCTTTCTTCCTCACTTGATTCCTTGAAGAATCTGGTAAACAATAAAACCAAGTTTAGAATGATTTTTTTTTGTGTACGGATGATTTTAAGATATAAAGTCGGAAGAGAATATACTTGGCAAGTCCCTGAAGAGCAACGTTGTCTCTGTCGAAGTATGCGTACATGGAATGGTACACATACGAGACGTTGTATTCCACACTGCAAACATAATCGACCTCCGTTAGATCTAACCTATAGAACATTTTCATTTTGAGAAAAGGAAGAAGAGGAGAGGTTTGACGCTTACTTGATTTGCTCGTTAAGGGCAGCCTCGCTAGCGTCGGCTAAACCCTGGCGAGCGAGGGAGACATGAGATGTGATTGGAATGGCCAATTCGGCTTTCTTCACCTCCTCAAACGGCTGGAACACCACTCCGGTCATCGGCATATTGTTCGTGTCCACGGTTGCTGCGGAAACCACCACTGATCTGCCTCCAGTTTTCATCGGGAATCTCAGAGAAACAGGGGAAGAAGCGGCAGAGACGCCATGGGGGAGTAGTGACTTGTGAGACGGAGTGGGCTTGGTTGCGAAAGACGAGAGAGCCCTTGAGGCCATTAGAGAAGGATGTAGTGTTGAAAATGTAGAGGATATTAGTGTGTGTGTTTAGGTTAAGAGCCGCCTGAGATTTTAGTGATGCTGTTGCTGTTGATGATTGATGATGATAAGAAGAGGAAGAAGGGAAGGGGATTAAATAAGAGGGAAATGGCGTGTGGTCACCGTTGGATTGGGAGACACGTGGAGGGAGGAGATAAGGGCAGATGTAGGGGCGTGTGGCGGCCTCGTGCTCCATCCAATGGGATAGTGTGAACGTGAGAGTTATTCGATCCACGTTAGCATCTCAGCACATCAGTGACAATTCAGTCTTTGTCTGTTTGTCCGCTTTCTCTCTTCTCTTTATCCTCCGAATCTTTTTACTATTTCCCGTTTCCCACTCTCGCGATGCCCACTTTTCTTTTTCCTACTCGCTCTCCCTATTTCTTTCTCCACCCTTCCATAAAATATCCTAATATTATTTATTTATTTTAAACTACAAAATATATCCATAGAAATGAATGTGATAACGTTTACAACACAACTTAGACGTGTAATATTGACTATGGAAATGAGATAGAAATGAAGCATTTACTTTTCTTTGTTTTTTTTTTTTTGGAATTGTAGAACTATTAGCTAGAAACACGAGAGGTTCAATGCTTGAGACGATTCATTCGTGGCCTCTAGGGGAGTTTTGATGGAGACGGGAAACTGATATGTATAGAGAGAAAAGGTGTGATACGTAATCTCCCACTGAAGCGCGTGTGAGGTTCCGAAAATTCAAATAGTTTATTGTCTACATATGAGACAATTACACGTTGGAATAAGTACATTTGTGGGCCTCATTAGTCATTGGCTCGACAAAAAAGGTTTCGCTTTTTTTAAGTGAATAGTTATATCAAAGCTTTATTGTTGGCATGAACAAAAAAATAATAAGCTTTAAAAAGATAGAGTTAGGTGTGGTTTATTATGATCTTGGCTTTGATATTTTTCCCCTGATTTGATCTACTCGTATTGCTGGAATGCACATTGGGAAGGTAGGCTTTAAAGTTGTGCTAGAGCTTTTAAATATATATCGGCACTAAATTACAAATAGATCTATTCAACACTGAAACTTGTTGACTGATTAGTCTTTGATTATCAATTCCATAGTCTTTTAAAATGGGAAGGAAGTATACAATTGTAAAATCATGGGAGAAAATACTGTTGATGTATAAAAGCATTGGTTGCAGTCTTTTAAGTTGCTAGATTTTTCCATGTGGTTCCAGGTTCCAAGTTGTCTTGACATATTAAACGGAAGAAGAAAAAAGCGTTACAAATGATGTAGAGAAAGAAGACGTTTTATTCATTGAGAATCTGAAACAGCCCCAAAAGAGTAGGACTGATATAGGCAAATGGCAAAGTAGAGATTGTTTGTATATTTGGAGCTTCCCAATAAATAGATGCAGAATTCGTATATTCCACGTGTCAGATATCTGATGGCTATCCGGAATAGTGCACAAATAAGGGAATCCAACGGTGCGGAGTGGTACCCAACGACGTCGTTCCCGGCAGAAAAGCAAAAGCAAAAGAAAGCTTCCCTTTTCTCTAAAAAAAAGTCTCTCTTCTTCCGATCGATCGCGAGAAGGACAAGGACAAGGAAAAAAAGAGGAAGAATGGATCAGATATTCAACAAGGTTGGATCTTACTGGGTAGGCCAGAAGGCCAACAAGCAGTTTGACTCCGTTGGCAAAGATATTAACGTACGTCTCCGAATCTTCCTCCTCCAATGGATTTCGTTTTTTTTCTATCCTCTATAAACTCTTTGATTCATCATCTGTTTGCGCGTGGTGTCTTTATCGATTTTGATTTTGATTTTGATTTTGATTTTGATTCTGTTGTTGTTGCGGTGACTTTTATCTGATGTTTATTCATATGGAGCAATGTCTCGTTGATTTTATGGCATCTCTGCTTTTCCTTTGACATCTGCACTTGTACGAATGTCAAGATGAGGCCAACATCTATGAAACTTTGTCAAATCGAATCCAATTTTACGGATAAATATTTGTAAATGCTTGTGCTTATTTGATTCTCATCTTTTATAGGTTATAGGCTTAAGGGGAATTGTTCTCGCATTTTGTTTCTATGAATCTATCTTTGTTTGTTTTCTCTTTCTCATGCATGTGACAAACGTGATTCTTCTTTAAATTTTGCATAAATCGTTTCATGTGTGTTTTTTGACAGTCCCTGTCAACGAGCATCGAAGGAGGAACAAAATGGCTGGTCAACAAATTCAAAGGTTTGTGTTTTCTTCTGACTCTTTGATTATCCATTTCATATCATTTCGTTTATATTCTGTCCTGTCTCCACAGGAACAATGCAGAAGCCGTTGCCTGAGTTACTAAAAGAGTTTGATCTGCCGATTGGCATCTTCCCACGCGATGCTACAAACTATGAGTTCGACGAACAGACAAAGAAACTAACAGTCATGATTCCAACAGTCTGCGAAGTTGGCTACAAAGATTCATCCGTCCTGAAATTCACCACGACAGTCACAGGGATCCTCGAGAAAGGAAAGCTATCTGATGTGGAAGGAATCAAGACTAAAGTAATGATATGGGTCAAAGTCACAAGCATCTCTGCTGATTCGTCAAAGGTCTATGTCACTGCTGGGATGAAGAAGAGCAGAAACCGAGATGCTTACGAGGTTCTTAGAGATGGCGTTCGTTCCGATAAATTCTAACTTCCTTTCCTATGTCTTTCATAAACTTTCAAAGCTTCTTTGTTTTTGTTTTGGATTTGAAGCTGTGAGTATCCGCTAACTTGTTCTTGGATTTGATGAAAGATGATAACTTCAATACGGCCGGCGTATTTATTGGGTTAACTTTTAGCCGTGTGGAATTCCTGATTTGCTTTTGTATCAAAATATCAATGTATCATGGTCCAAAAACTATTATGTGAAAAAAAGTAAATATTACTCGTGTCCCTCGGTTATTTGGTCTTACATTTTTATCAACTGTAGACAGGAGATTCATTGATCAGATTAATATAGTATGGTGATTGAACAGCAGGAGAAGGTGATTGATAACCATATTGATTGAGTTAAGATTTAGGAATCTCAAAGAGAGATGATCAATGAATCATCTACACTATAAAAAGTGACTACATGATCAATTTACTATGATAAGCTCATAAGCCTAAAAAAATGAAAAACATTACTTTTTAGTAAGTAATTTGAGTATAGATAGGCTCACTCGCAAATGAAGCGCGTTTCCTTCAACCCCATAAGAATGCTCCGTTGTTATGCGATATAAAAGCGCGTGAGTCTTAAGCACATAGAGAAACGAGTCTTTCAAATAAAATTCAATTTTCTGTTTTTATTTTTCCAATGCATCAAAAGACAGCAGCACGACGGAATCAATACATAGATCTGGCGGAAAAACGTCAACGCAAACAAAATTGGAAAAATATAAATAAAAAAAAAAACGAAAAAGCTCCAAATAGTCATCACTGCGCTCTCCTCTCTCACCGTCACCGCTACTGGGTCGTAGTAGTAGCTCCCAACTTGAAACAGTCAGTCATCGTTGAAGCTTTGGAGATTTCGAGAAACTCAAATCAGAGTGTGGGCATGTCGCAGAGATGGAGCAAAAAGAAGAGTCGGCTTCCATTAGCGGGACTCCTCTTCATGGTCGCAGTCACCGTCATGATTCTCTACAACGAGCGTAGCATTCAGCAGATCCACCACCACACCAGTCGCGAGCTCAATCTCCCAGATTTCTCTTTCGTCAACCCCAACGTTCCTGGGAATAACCTCGGTACGCTTCTTATCCTCCTTACTTCGATCCACTCGCTTTCTTTTTTGATTTTTCTCTCTCTCTCTCTCGGATTTGAGTTTCTTATGATGAAATTTGAAGTGATCCGTCGTACTAGTTTCTCAGCTGAAGTCCTTGATTGTTCCATGGAAATTTCCTCCCGATTCTTCATTTCAAATTGCATATTATATGTTTAATCATCATGATTCATGAATATCCCAAATAACACGAGCGAACTTACAAATTGGGCGATTCTGTTGAAAACAATATAAAAATTGGCAGAGGTTTTGGATAGATTCAGCCGATGCAACGGGACGAAAGAGTACAGCGGGAAGAAAATCGGATGGGTTGAGGCGTATGAAGAAAATGGGATGGCAGAGGAGGAGAAATGTGATGTCTTCTCAGGGAAATGGGTCTTTGATAATTCATCATACCCACTCCACAAGGAATCCGAGTGCCCCTACATGTCTGACCAGTTGGCTTGCCAGAAGCACGGGAGGCCTGATCTGGATTATCAACATTGGAGATGGCAACCTCATTCCTGCAACTTGAAAACGTAATCCACTCTTACTCTTACTCTTACTCTGCTATTGTTTTTCGTTTCTTTTCTAAGTCTGTCGAATTGTGTGTTTAGTGGTTTAGTGAGGTTAAGTAATCTGATCAAGTGAATATACATTAACCCAATTGTCAATCAGATTCAAAACCCAATAGTGAATCTTGGGATGCTACTATTGCTTGCAAAGAATGGTACAAGATATGAAAAATGGATGATTTGTGCTCATCGACTGTGCTTTCCATGGTATTTGGTTTAGGTGGAATGTGACAGAAATGTGGGAGAAGCTGAGGGGAAAGAGATTGATGTTTGTGGGAGACTCATTAAACAGAGGCCAATGGATATCAATGGTTTGTCTCTTACAGTCTGTAATCCCACGTGACAAGCAATCCATGTCTCCCAACGCTCCCCTCACCATTTTCAGGGCTGAGGTATCAACTCTTTACTGTAATGCCTTGACAATGACAACTGTTACGTTAGCTCCGAATCAATCACTCAGACTCACTTTGGTGTATCGTACGTAACTGCAGAATTACAATGCGACGGTGGAGTTTCTGTGGGCTCCGTTGCTCGTGGAATCAAACTCTGATGACCCGGTTAATCACAGACTGGACGAACGGATTATTCGACCAGATTCAGTTCTGAAACATGCATCAAAGTGGCAACATGCCGATATCTTAATATTCAACACATACTTATGGTGGAGGCAAGACCCTGTCAAGATCAGGTAAGTACGTTTTCTTTCTTCATTTATCTGCAAAATCAGATACTCCGAAAGAAAGAATAATGATAGACAGACAGAGAGAGTCTTAACAATAATTTGGCAACTTAAAAAGGTGGAGCAGTGAAGAAGAAGGGTCATGCGAGGAGGTGAAGGGCGCAGAGGGAATGGAAATGGCAATGAATGCTTGGGCTGATTGGATTTCTAACAATGTGGATCCAAACACAAAGCGTGTTTTCTTCGTTACAATGTCTCCTACACATCAATGGAGCCGGGAATGGAACCCTGGAAGCCAAGGAAACTGCTACGGCGAGCAAAAACCGATCGAGGAAGAGAGTTATTGGGGAAGTGGGTCGGATGTTGCGACAATGAGGATGGTTGAGAGAGTTTTGAAGAGATTGGGGCCAAAGGTTTCACTTGTCAACATTACTCAGTTGTCTGAGTATCGTAAAGATGGCCATCCCTCCGTGCACCGGAAATTCTGGGAACCATTAACCCAAGACCGGTTGGATAACCCGGCCTCGTATTCGGACTGTACTCATTGGTGTGTACCGGGAGTTCCTGATGTCTGGAATCAATTGCTTTTCCATTTTTTGTGAACCAATACACTCCACTTTCGATGATGATCAATTGTTTTCATCTTTATACGCAACAGAAAATATCAAGAGTTGCCATCGTTACCATCATCCTTTTTCTTTAACGCGTGCTGTATCAGACGTCATTGTGGGCCCTGATATTACTAGTATTCCGTGTTTAGACAAAGTGAAATGCACGCAGTTTTTTAGAGATAGAAACGGTGCAACTGCTAAACGTACAGTGTGTGTTCAATCAATGAAATTACATTGCAACAATGGCCAAGGAAGGAAGGCTCACAGAGATTTACATCGAACAATCTAACACCAGATTCTCCGAACGGTCATTATACGGGGGAAGGCGCTGAGGAGGGTATGGATGAGGTCGTGGGGACACCAATAAATGAGAGGATTCCGACGGCGGCAGGATCTTGCTCAGCGAGGAAGAGATCATCGGGAGCTCTGAAGGCGCCATGGACGCAGACCGTTGCTACTCCGATCATGAGAGCGGAGATCAGTACAGATATGACGCTGGTGAGGAAGACCACGGCAGCGGTGGAGAGGGTAAGACCAACGAGAGTTTCGCTGTCGGAGAAGGATCGGCCGAATAGGATAAGGGGACGATCGGCTGGACGGAAAAGGTAGAGGAAGAGCCAGGAAGCGGCGAGGCATAGGAGGAGGACGAGAGAGAATGGATGGGCGAGAAGAGAGAAACCGAGGATTAGAGCGACGATACAGACGTAATTCACCCTAAAGTATGATGCATTCTTCCGGAATCGCGTCGCCGCCTCGGAAAGGGAGTCCGGTTTGGTGAAGGCGGATCGATCGAGGAGCTCCGACCACGGACGGCTACGAGATAGACCATCACGGACCGTTTCCGTTACGCGGTTCACCAATGCACGCACGGCTGGTGGTTGCGATTCGCCCACCGCGGTTACGATTGGAGCCTGAGTAGTGGAAACCGGAAGCACATTGGGACCTGACGTCACCATTCGATTGTCTTCTTCACGGATTTAAGAGATCGGCGATCGGAAAATGTATTTAATATCCTTAGATTAAGAGAAGGTTGAGAGAAAAGGACGATTGATCTGAAGGTCGGTGAGACTTTTTCTTACACGGGGTTGTGTTTTGTATTAATAGGTGCACAATTACGCGTTTTTCAATTTTGATTTCTGTTGCTTCATCTGGTTTATCATCGATATTTTTATCATTAACAACATAAACTGTAACCGTTTATTCGGTAAAAAAACTTTTGATAGTCTCTGATTGTTTTTATTTAGAGAAGGTCATATTTCATGTATCTTGATTACTTAGCAAAGAGAGCATTTGACCATGAATTTTTTCTGTAATAGGAAATTCGTAAGAATATAGTAAACACCATTACTCCGTCAACATTAGTAGACTTGACAATGCTAATCCTTTTTCTCTTTCTATAAATGATTAGAATCCTGATATCTAATTTACTATAACACAGATTGATAAATGATAATTTATAACAATGATGATTGAAATATAAACAGAAAGATAATATAAGGAGAGTAGAAGGAAAGAAGCAGGGTTTGCTCTGAAATTTAATAATAAGCATAAAACATCAATTTATGCAAACTCCATCAAACGTTAGACATGTTTACAAACGAGGGAATAGTTGAAAGTTACTTTATGGACGAGAGAGTAGATCAATACAGAAGCTAAAATAGCAGTAAAACCAAACACGTTCATAAACATGCATATGACAATCACTTCCATCTCTTACCTGCCACGAGACTAGTAACTAGAAAGTCGCCCCGTTCCATCCAAAGAAGGATCCCTGCAAGATGAACCAGACAAGAAAATAATTATAGATTTGATATATCAAGAGAGGATTATAGGGATAAACAATCCAGATGATGAATGCTTCTGGGGATTCACGAGCCACTAGAGAAGGATGATAATAATGCAAACAGTAGTGTGGGTTGTTGAGAGTTTCTTGACTCGAAATGGCTTTCTGAAACTGATCTAATTTGGCTTGTTTAAGAGTAGAAGTTAGAGGGCTCTTTAAGTGATGGAACTTACACAAAAGATGTTTTTGTTCCCTAGACATGACCTAGTAGTGCTGGTGTAAAGCATGTAAACACTGTGCATATTCTTGACTTTGGTGGGCCTAGAGAGACAACGAACGAACAATGACTAAATGAGGCTTGGATGCGTGAAACCAAACAAGTTTCTAAGAGAGGGAGAATCGAGACTTGCCTTGGTGTCATAGAACTTGAGGAAGAACCGAGACTTGGGCACTGATAGCTTAGCCTCAAGAACGGCGGAAACAGCAGCGCTTAGCTTCTTGTTAACATCCGGATTAAGGCCTCCGATAGAGACCAACTCACCGTAAGCCGCAGGCTCCTCCGTCCCACCAAATGCTATAGGCACTGAGCCTTTCAACACAATCATCACATACTGCAAAATTACCATGGAAAATGGAATCAAACCAAATCTAAAAAAAAAAACTAAATAAATCTTTAAAGCAGACCAATATCATATTCTGGTTGGAACGGAAAACAAACTTTAGCAATACAGAGATGAACACCCAAACCAGTTGAATACCATTCCATGAACATGCCTGTTACATCTTTTTAAGCATATCTTTACGCTTGATTCATATCCAAATAAACACCAATACAGGACAAACAGTCAATAGCCTCATCTCAGAATCGGGAGATGCGAGCTCATAAAATAAGACGGATCCACGAGAGACCCGTTCACTCACTAAAATTACTTAGGGTTCCAAATATTTCTGCTGACTGACTATAGAAAAACGATGAGAAACTAACAAGAGTTCGCACACAAGGCAATTTCAGAGAAGATGAAGAATTCCTAAAATCGAAATACTCAGGAAACGTGGATAAATTCAAAATATGAACAACGACGGAGCAGATGAAACGAATAACAGGTAAGATATCGAGAGAGATTACGTTCTCAGGCTTGCCGATGATTTGGGCGACGGTGGAGGTTGCTTCCGAGAGAATGGAAGAGGTATCGACGCCGTCGAGGCTCACGTTGGTTGAGATGTTAAGGCAAGGCATCTTTTCACTCTCTCTTTCTCTTTCTCTCCTCTTATCACTCACTCTCACTCGATTCCCAAATTGTTCACCAGAGAGATGATGATGATACGGATATTCTAGTGTAAGGGATTTACCCTTTTGTCCTCGAAGCCTTTATTATTCGTTTCGGCCCATACTTTCGACTTTAGCCCAACATTTTGTTTTAAACGCGATTTCTGATACGTTGCGTTTCAATCGTGTTAGACAAATTCCTTTCTCTTTCACACAACCTGGACAAACTCAAACGTACGTACTACCAAGGGAATATGGACAAACTGAAACTCGAGATTGTGCCATTATGTTCCCCAAAATATGATATGCCTCCTAAGTGCTAACTCCTAAATGCCAATGATTGACTCTGTGTCTCTCTCATGACTCATGAGTAGTAAAAGCTTCAAACTGGCACTACTGCGGATAGGAAGCAACGCCTACCGATGGATGAAGCAGCCACGTTTTTCCACCCTTGACCTTCCTTGAAACACTCAACCTGAAATCAAAGATTTGATTCTGTAAAATGCTGATTTTCTTTTTATAAATTCACTTCAAGTGTTGAGAACTAATAGTCATACGGTGTCTAAGATGTCTTCTCCTTCCCCTTTGTATCCTCCGATGACATAGATTGAGTCTTTAACCACTGCGGCTGCTGAATATCCTCTCAGTTCCTTCATTGCTTCTCCAGCTGTCCATGTCCCTGTCCGTGGATCATATACCTCTACACTCGATACCATTGCCGATCCATCATACCCACCAATCGCATATCTGCAAATGATCACAGCATCTTTAGAGCCTATATCATCTCATTTTCCCTGTGTGCTCGAAGAAGAATCTTACAGTTTCTCGTTCAAAACAACAAGAGAATGGCAGCCTCTTCTCGACTTCATCGATGCAATTCTCATCCACGAGTGCTCTCTTGGATCAAACCTTTCTGCTGTGCTGTTATAAGTAAGAGAGTGTTTCCAGTAACCTCGTCCTTGTTAGCTTCACATTCCAGTGTCAAAATTAGGGGGAAAAAACATCAGAGAGGGCTTTCATGTTCTCACTTGAGGTACTCCTTCTCATCAAAACCACCCACGGCATAGATCGAACCGTTATGCTCCGAGGCTGCAACTGCAAATCTCTGAGATCACACAGCAGTGATAACCCAACAGCCAATAGGTGAGTCAAAGCAAATACTACATTTCTTATGACTTTATCTGTGAGCTTCTGTCAAAAAGTTTCTCATTGGAAATGTAATTGATTGATAACTTTTTCAGACTTTTGGCTTTCACCATATGTCATCATGCGGATGGAGAAGAACGTTTACCTTCTGCTCCATTGACCTTGTTTTGATCCATTTCCCGATATCTGGATCAAGCATCTCAACGTCTGAAAAAGATACGATCCCATTCCCGCCTCCTATTGCAAATATTTTTCCATCCAAAGAGGCTCCACCTAAACTTACTTTTCGCTCAGTCAAGGGAGGGCACACGCTCCACCGCCCATCACTCTCGTTATATGATTCAGCTTCAACATAACAGACAAGAGCCAAAACAGATATCAGAGCTCAGACTTTTCTAGTTAGGGAGATAAACAAGCGAGGCGTGGTAGACATTAGTATTAAAAAAAATATGCACAGCTGAAGTGAAGTGCATGGCATTTATACACAGTAATTTGCTGTAAATCGTTGAGCCATTGGGTTTTTGCTACCCATGTTCAGTTTTTTGTAGTTCTTTTGGTTGTTTGTTCATTAAATCTGTAAGGTTTATTTATGTGTTGTGTTATATACAGGCTCTATCGCGTTAATAGTCAAGTAGTCAACACATCATCATCACCTCCAAAAAAGAAATAAAAAAGAGGACCTACCTGTGTCGAACCAGCCACGGCCATCATCACCTCCAAAAATGTAAATTTTCCCATCCGATTTTGCCACTGAAGCATTTGAACGGATACCGCTCATGGAACTATGAGCCTTGACAACATTCCTGGATGGAAAATATGATTGCACTGATGACAAACATGATTCAGAGCTGCCATCAATTCCGCCCAAAAGAAGAATTGCCTCCGTTGGATCTAGGCTTGAATCATCTGGTGAATAGATCTCCATTTCACTACGATCAGCTTTGGCAATTAAAGGGCCTGATATGGACTCCAGCATGTTGCAACGCTCTCTCAATCTATAAATTTCCTTGTGTGCTTCATCCTGAAATACAAAAAAATGTCCACAGGTAAATGTTGAGCTTACAGGTTCCAAAAACAAGGAGCAAACGGTAACTAGTGGAATACCAGACTGAAAATGACAGAGAATAATTTCTACTGATATGATGACTTTCTACACATCAAGACCTGATTATAGTGAACAGACTCAGACTAGGGTAGTTCTGCAGAATATCAAGGATGTCAGGCTATTGCATTTATTCCCCAGTTTCTTTCTACTGGGAACGTTTGTCACAAATGCAAATTCATGTTGACGAGGAGATGATACGAGAGAACTGCCATCTCCTTTCCCCTCTGAACATGTTTCCTCTTCAAGCGTGTTTCCGTCTTCCAAGTTCTTGCAGGTTGGAATGTTGACGTGGTCAACAGTTTCCATGAGACAATCGTCTTGATGCGCATGGCTAAGGGCGAGATCATTCAGTTTCTCAAGAACATAATCCTTATCCTCTTGTTCGGAGTTGTGTACGTCTGGATGATTATCAGAGAAACCAGGATGAGAAGCAGCAGCTGAGGAGTCAGATTCACCGAGTGACACCTCCAAGCAGTCCACCGGTTCATCCATAGAAGGCTTAACCTCATTAGTGTTCTCTTTCGTTTCAGTTGGTGGAATGAAGTGAAAAACCTGTCTACTGTGTGATGTACTCAACGGTGGTTTAGGTTTCACAGCAAATGCTGTTAGCAGACACATCAACTTATTAGTCTGGAAATGATCAAGCTCGAACCTAAAATGTTTAGAAGTGTAGTAATTATCTTCAATGGCAGGTTTAAATTTGTCTTCAGAAAGGGGTTCGCACTGTAAGCGAACACTGATTTGAACCTGAAAAAGCATAAAAGAAGCATGGAATTTTACAAGTGTCTACTAAAATGGTCAGCCAATGTTTAACACAATGTATCATAGAGAAAGATATAATGAAAATCAGGAGACCTGTGCAGGAAATGAGGTTTTTTCAGAACCATTAGAGGTCCAGGCGTACGGGTCAACATTCATCTGACCAGGACCAGCAGCCTCAAAGATTCCATGAAGTTTACGATCAGAATAGTTGAACAGAAACAACGGCAAACCTACATCAATCTTCTGCACGTATGTAATGTGGTTGTAGGGTAGACCTGTCAAATTCATCAGCGGATTCAGGATCATAGATAACAGCTATCGTGGAAGGACAGTTATAGAAACAATAACTAGCATCAACATACAACAAACAGTTTGGGCTAGACTCACTCACCAAACAACTGTTTCGACATACACTCTTTGATGGTATTCTTGGTGCACCCAAATACTACACCACCTAGTTGACTTTTGGTCAGGTTTCTGCATGAATTGTTTACCCTCCGTTGAGCCATCCTGTTATACATTGAGCGAAATATTAGAAAGTCAGTGATTTGTATCAAAATGTTAAAGTGGGTGGTCCTATCATTCCAACCTTGTAATCAATCAAGAGAGACGCAAATGTCAATATATCTACAGAAAAGAAAGAATAAAACCTTCAAACAGATGGTGTGCATTAATACAATGAACAGGCAGCTTGAGGAAGCCACAACACGTTTGGTGTAAATTTTAAAATTAAAGGAAAATTCCATGATGACTGAGACTGACATTCATTCAAAGCACTAAACGCAAATGCAAATGTATGCAACTTCAGTCGGCTGGCTAATCAAAAAGCCACATAGTTTAACAAACCGAAAACCCCAAACCTAGACAAAGCAAAATCTGCTTACTCCTCCAAAATTCAGTAGCACGCTAGGAACCACGCGATTAAGCGTTTTGCGTGAAAACGTTCAAAGGAAATCAAAATCCGACGTTTGAGTTTCCGAAAAATCGGACGTGCAAGAGTCGAAATCAGTTTTGACATGGTAATCGGAGAAGACACAACCAGAGGCGGATAGATAAACGAATAAAACCCTAGCAAAAAGCAATAGACAACTACTGAAACCTAAATGCCAGAGAATCGACCACTAAAACTGGATTTCGAGCTTGACCAACACAAAACGGCGTTTCGGGAGCGTCTTACTTGAGTCAGAGCGGTGAGAAATCGAAGAAAGCGGAGGCCTCGGGGAGAGCGCTAAAGACGGAGCGCCATTTACTGAGGGTAATGGAAAGTGTAGACAGACGATGGCAAAGCCGTAGCGACGAAAACTGAGCGACATCAAATTTTAAATGTTTGTCAACAATTCAAATTAGTCTATTGTTTCCAACTTTTACCTTTCACCAAAATACGCCTATGCAAATGAAAAATGAAAACTATACTTGCGAATAATTAGTCAACTAAATTTTTAGCATTTTTTCGTTTAAAAAGTTGGACGAAAATAATAATAATTAGTCATATCAACAAGCGAAAATATATTATTATCTTATTAAAAAGCATGTCTTGTCAAATCATGGCATACATCAATATCTTTTTAATAGGTGTAAATAATTTCAAAACCAATAAGATTTTTTTTTGCTTTTTAATAAAATACTATTTTAGTCTCAGAAATATTATTGTGTATGGACTTTTTACTTGTTGAAGCTTGTACTTGGAAGTTATGCTGCATCTTTGAACAGAGTGAAATAAAACATTTATGATAAAGTAGTTAAGTAAATATTGTATCTATAAAGATTAGATAAACAAATGTGAACCGTAGAAGCTCTCTAATTATATCAAACGAATGAAAAAGGAGATGCATCTTCCTCTTTTAATATACTTTTACCCATTTCAGCTTGAAGTTGAAATATATTAAGATGTGGGGGCATCCCAAAGCCAAAAAGTGTATTAAGATGTTGGTTGAGGAATATTTGTTGGTACGCGGTCGCAAAAGATATTGTGGGCCATGGTTTATTTATTTATGGGCTGGTCCACTTTGGAGCCCATACCAATTTCATTTGGAGTTGAACTCAACCAGCAGCAGCAGAGCATTGCAAAGAGTGTGTGTGTGTGATGTCGACAACAAGATAACAAGTGATCCATTTCTGAGAAGCTAAAGCCTAAAGAGGTGTGGGAGAGAATGGGTTGGCACGGACACGCGGCTCCTCGATGGTTGTCAGCCGCCGCGTGTACTCCTAGAGTGTGTGTGATCTGCCACGTGGCGGTGTACTGTGTATTATTCTGGCTGCTTCTGCATAAGTAGGAGCCGGGATTTAGCTGGAAGAGGAGAGGAGAAGAGAGAGCGGGCCAATGGCACATGCGACGTTTACGCCGGAAGGGCAGAAGACGGAGTCGTTTCGACTCTTGAGCGGCCACAAAATCCCAGCCGTTGGATTGGGCACGTGGCGATCTGGCTCTGAAGCCACCGACGCCGTTTTCACTGCACTCGTCGAGGTGATCCCTTCTGAATTTGAAATATCTTTTCAGACCCTAATTTCTGCTTGATTAAGAGTGGAATCTGGGTTCTAGTAAGAGTTAATTTAGACAAGCACTGCTTACTTCTTCTTTATAATAAAATCTTGCGTGGATTTTGTAGGGTGGTTATAGGCACATAGATACAGCTTGGGAGTATGGTGATCAGATTGAGGTGTCTCTCTCTTTGTCTCTTCACTTCACTTCACTTGCTTGTATTGTCTGAAAGTTCTTATTTCTTAAACTAAGGTCGGTGCTGGGATGAAAAGGGCGATGCACGCTGGTATTGAGAGGAGGGACCTCTTCGTGACGTCCAAGCTTTGGTAATCAAAATTAAAAACGATTCCTTTCTTTGCTTCACTCTTTGGCGCCATCCATAAGACCATAACCGCTGTTTTTTGTGTGTGAAAAATAAAAAGGTGCACAGAGTTATCTCCTGAGAGAGTGCGTCCTGCTTTCCAAAATACCCTTCAAGAGCTTCAATTAGAGTATCTTGATCTTTACCTGGTATGTTATGTTAGAAATATATGTTGCAAGTTTTCGTCTATCTTTTTATTGTTTCTTTCTGTCTATTTGAAAATGGATTTTGGTGCAGATCCACTGGCCTTTCAGGCTAAGAGAAGGAGCCAGTAAGCCACCAAAGGCAGGGGACGTTCTTGACTTTGACATGGAAGGAGTTTGGAGAGAAATGGAGAAGCTTGCCAAGGCCAGTCTTGTCAGGAACATTGGCGTTTGTAACTTCACCCTCACTAAGCTCAATAAGCTGCTTGGATTCGCCGAGTTGATCCCTTCCGTCTGCCAGGTCTGTATATACATATCTACCTCCTGATATCATATAAATGACATGTATTGAGCAGCTTCTTATAGATGGAAATGCATCCTGGTTGGAGAAACGATCCAATGCTCCAACTCTGCAAAATGAATGGTATCCATGTTACTGTAAGTAGTAATATGATCCTTTCTTCACTGCTTAAGTTGGCCATTAGCATTTCACTAGGCCATCTGATAATGGTAGTGAAATTATTGTTAACATGGAAGGCCTATTCGCCGCTGGGATCATATCTACCTCCTGATATCATATAAATGACATGTATTGAGCAGCTTCTTATAGATGGAAATGCATCCTGGTTGGAGAAACGATCCAATGCTCCAACTCTGCAAAATGAATGGTATCCATGTTACTGTAAGTAGTAATATGATCCTTTCTTCACTGCTTAAGTTGGCCATTAGCATTTCACTAGGCCATCTGATAATGGTAGTGAAATTATTGTTAACATGGAAGGCCTATTCGCCGCTGGGATCTCAAGAAGGCGGGAGAGATCTGATACACGATCAGACTGTTGATCGGATAGCGAAGAAGCTGAACAAGACCCCTGGACAGGTTCTTGTGAAATGGGGTCTGCAGAGAGGAACAAGTGTCATCCCCAAGTCACTGAATCCGGACAGGATCAAAGAGAACATCAAAGTGTTCGACTGGGTGATCCCTGAACAAGACTTTCAAGCTCTCAGCAGCATCCCTGACCAGGTTCACTTCTCTATTTACCAACCAGAAATCTTTCAAATTGATCTGTTACGGACCTACTATTGCTCATTGAAAAGTGATAAGATGAGCAACAACAACAAAATTAAATCGCAATTACTCTTCTTTAGAGAGACAATTAGTTTATTACCGTTATTTCTGTTAGTGAGGAACAGAACAGAGTAAGAAACAGAGCATTTATTTGTCTACTCTGCTTCTGAGTTCTTGGAATTATCTTTCGCTTAGGGAACAATAGTCTGTTTACGTTAGTGAGAAACAGCACGTACAGTATATGTCTTGTTCGCTTCTGAGTTGTTGAACGAGAAAACTGATAATAACATTTGCCTTTCAAATTTATGGTCATTTGACTCAGTTTTGATCATCTGTTCACACTTTCGGTCCTCTTTGGCCTATTCGATGCAGAAACGAGTGATGGACGGCGAGGATACCTTCGTCAACAAGACGGAAGGTCCATTCCGTAGCGTGGCTGATCTATGGGACCATGAAGACTAACCGACGACCCCAAAAGAATCAAATTAGAGTCCCAAGTAAGGGGTTTGTTTGTTGTAAAAATCGATGTATAGTGTTTCTAAAATAAAGGGAAGAGCTTCCTTCACACATGCGTGTTTCCTAAAAGCTGTGTAAAACGTTATGCTATCAAACCATTCCATGTACATGTTCAACGACGGATGGAAGCTGTTGTTGTACGGCCAAAACAGATGCGGTGAGCTTGAGATCTCTGGAGACGAGCAGATCTCCGATCTCTCCAAGCTCCTCGTTCTCACTCCATATCGATAACCCTTGAAGCACTTGGAAGCTCTCTTCGTGTCTTATCCCAACCATTATCAGATCGTAACTGCTTCCTTCTTCCCTAATTAGGTTCACCAGATCACTCGCTTCCTTTACCTCTACCTAACACATCAAAGTTTCAAAGAACACACAATTAAGTCAAACTAAACCGGATTAAAGAGAAATTTAGGGATTCATTATTGAGTGAGCGATTCGGTTACCTCTCGTAAGGAGACGTTGTGTTTGTTCAACGTGTCAAGACGGAACTTCTCGACGGCTTTGAAATCGAGCCTCCTCTCTATGACGTCGTTTAGCTGTGAAACGTTTTCTCCGTCTACGATTCTAAGAACGTTTAGGTATACGCATGGGTGGTTCATCATCCTAACCGCAAACGCCAGCGTCTCGCGGTCGTCCGGTCCACCGAGGAATATCACGCACATGTTGATCCTCGTCTGCTTCATCGCCGATCCAATCTTCTTGAAATCTGGAAGACGTCCTTGGTCCAACAGAACCGCCACAGAGCACGGCGAGCCGCTAAATACGTTGCGGCAAAGACGTCGCTCTGCTGCTGACCTGTCATCTACCCCGATGATAATGAGATCGGTTCCTTTGTCGAAGGCCAGCGCGCAGACGTCCTCGTGCATCGTCTTGCTCGGCGCCACTGCGGTGTAGCATTCGACGGAAACGTTTTCCTGCAGAACATGTCTGTTTTCGAAATTCTTGAAGGCTTTGGAGATCTGATCTCTGCGGTTGGGGGACATTGACGCGTCGTCGTTTTGATCGGATTGGTGTTGAATTAGGAGAGGGACGTTATGGTGCTCGAGCTCTTCGAGATTGACGGAAACGACGGAGAGTGAAGAGGCGCTGGAGGGACAAGTGGAGAGCTCCAAGACGGTGAGGATGGAAGGAACGGTTTGGCGGTGGTAGAAACAAGCGAGGACGTTGAGAGGACTGTTTGGTTCGTAGTGCTGAACGGTTTGTCGCCGGTAAGTGATGTGTTTCCGCTGCGCCCAGCCGTAGAGGTTCTTGACTATGGCCGTGATAATGGTCGAGTGAACCATCGCAGAGGCCACCATTATCCCAAATGCTTCCTGGCTTATGTTCTGCATCCCTTAAAACAATTTTTAGTTAATTAAAGATCATTTTTTTTTGTTTTCTTGCTTCACACGAAAGCTACATAAGGTTAAAGAGTTGACCTTGTAGTTCAACAACTGTTTGAAGATTTGGACATCGTAGATCCCTTGTATGCAGACAATGAATCCGACAATGGCGGCGTGGGATAAAGGAACCTTGAAGTAAAGCGATGGCAGGACGATGGAGGCAAACTTTGCAGCATTGACGGTGAAGAAAAGCAGCTCCAGAGTTATGACGTCGCGTTGTGTGAAGGACAAGAAATCGACTTTGTTACCGATCCCGATGACGTAACAGGGCATAAGAACCGCACGAGTGAAGCAACCGATCTTGTCGTTGAGACCAGTGCCGAGAGGAGGCGTCTTAGGAGTGACAAGACCGAGAACCACAGATCCGACTATGTAAGGGAAACCAACGGTTTCGGCGAGGAAAGTGGTGGTGCACAACATGACGCAAATAAGGCATAGATGCGAACCCTTTAGTTTCTTCCCCGGAGGTGTTCTTCTCACTATCCACTTGAAGATTGGTCGGCACACAACAATTATCCCAAGGATCAGAAGGACCTTTGAGAAGGTAGGCAGATAAGTGGCTTTGGAGTCTCTGTGTTGCAAGAAACTGATAAAGGTAATGACAAGGAGGAAGAAGCCCCAGACGAAGCAGTTAGCCACCATTATGGAGGAGAGGGCTAACCTCCCGGGCTCCGAGTTTAGCATCTTGAGGTTCGATAAAACCGAATAGGCCACCTGAAAATACACGACCGACACGTTTGTTAGCACGTCGTGAAGCTGCCCGGGCTTGGTTTTGGCCACGCTTCCACGTATGTTGCTGGTGATTACGGTAGCTGTCACTGAGGCCACCGCGTAAGGAAATATAAAAAGCGAGAAGCCGTTGATCACTGCGAGCTTTCCTCCACGCTTTATAACTCCCATGTCTACTTGAGCTGTGCTTATGTATGAGATGAACATGAAGGATACTGCTTCTAATGATTCTATTATGAAGAAGCTTCTTGTGTTGAATAGTCTTCTTACTAAATCTATGTTTTGTCCCAAAGCTGAGGGTCCTAAGAATATCCCAACCTGTTTCCATATAGTACAATTAATAAATCGCTTATAACAATTACAAAATTCATGGATAAAGAAAAGGGAATGATGAATAATAAATACCAGAATCTGAGTGACAAAGTCGACGTTTGCGAGAGGACGGAGAAGAGCCTGGAATAAGGAAGAGAGAGAAGAAACGAGAGAAATGAGAAGAAGAAGAAGAGGAGTCGAATGCTTCAACGGGTCATCTCCTCTAAACAAACCGGCAGAGTTTGATCCAGACCATGGCTCACATACAAAACCTCTTGTTCCATTTCCAACACTAATGTTCATTTTCTTCTTCTTCTTCTTCTTCTTCTTCTTTTCTTTTGTTGAGAGATAAGAAACGTTTGTTATTACTTTGACCCAACGTTGTTCATCCTCTATATCCAGTTTTGTTTTTGATTTCAGCATAATGCTAATTAATAACTGAGCAAAACAGAGAGTCTGTTGAGCTGGGGAAGAAGGTACACATGTTTCTTTTTTAGGACTCCAAACTGTTTTCGCTGTTTCTCCAAGGAATTTGCGTTGACTTTCTAACCGTAAAATAAAAATGGAAAAATGGAAAAATGCCATCTCTAAGTTTCCCCTGTTTAATTTTGGTCAGCTAATCATGAACTTTACCTAAATCATGACCATTTAATATAAAAGATAGACTATAGCCAAAAAAGTATTTACAGTTTAGCTGGCGTTTTCTGAAGAAAACATTGTGTTATATATGTAAACGTACGATCCATACTGATAACTAACATTGTATAATCACAACGAACGATTAATCATAACATAATAGTCTAACGATTTCGATTTGTACAAGTGTTGTTGATGTGTCACCAGTCACCACCCTTTTTATAACTACGTTCACTTTTATTACATCAACATGTAGGTATATGCATGTTTCTGCCATCAATCAATCTCAAGTTATAATGATAATCTTCATGCACAAGATCTTTGGACCACACATAGAAGAAACCTTAAAAGTAGGATGACCTCTCACGAGGATAAACAACATCAACAATCAAACCCCTAAATATAGCTAGAGAGAAGGAAAAGAAAGAAAAGAAAAAAGGATTAGTTATACTTTCTTCATCCCTTGTTGAATGAAGTCTTAAACAATCTCTCCCTCTCCCTCTCCCTCTCCCTCTATGGTTTGACTCATACATACCAAGAAGGAGAAAATGGCAAATATAACCCACACTTATAACTACGGAGGAGTAGATTGGATCTGCGAGCGATGGGTCGGTGCAAGCTCCATGGGAATTGGTCGCGGAGAGAACCCCATCAACTTTGCTCTTCCCCTTCTTCTCCTTCAGATTTCTGTCGTCTCCTTATTTTCCGCCTTTTTTCAGTTTCTTCTTCGGCCTTTCGGAAAATTTGCATTCCTCACTCAGATCGTGGTACACATGCTTAGGATCTGAACATTCCTAGCTAAAAATACTAAACAAAAAAAAAAACATTGCTTGGTGATTTATTATGATTTTATACATGGTTGCAGGCTGGGATCTGCCTAGGACCGTCAGTGATAGGACGTAACAAGCAGTACATGTCGACATTTTTCTACACGAGAAGCGTCTTCATAATCGAATCCTACGAAGCCATTTGTTTCCTTTTCATTTGCTACATCACAACATGCCAAGTAGACACGAGGATGATCAAGAGAGTAGGCAAATTAGCATTCATCAACGGCATCCTGCTTTTCCTCATACCTTTCGTGTGGGGCCAATTCGCTGCCATCTTGATCTCCAGGAAGCTCGGAGGTGGGCCCGTAGGGGTCCCTCCTGCGGAGTTCCACCACGTGGCGATCGTGGAGTCGACCATGTTCTTTCAGGTGGGATACGGAGTGTTGTCGAGCCTAAAGATGTTGAACACAGAGCCAGGGAGGTTAGCGCTCGCCTCCATGATGGTGCATGACTGCCTCTCGTGGAGCTTCTTCATGCTTAACATCGCCATCAAAATTAACGTGACCTTACCGGACAAAAACCGGGCCATTTTATTGTCGGCCTCACAGATGCTAATGATAGTGTCAATAGTATACGTGTTCCGACCAATGATGCAGTGGATGATGAAGAGAACACCCGAAGGACACTCTCTCAAGGCCTCGTATCTCTCTGTTGTGTGTGTTTTGCTCTTCATCTGCGCTCTCTGGGCTGAATTTGTGGGCTTACCATACTTCTTTGGCGCCGTCGTCTTGGGTCTAGCCACCCCAAAACGGCCCCCTCTAGGCACAGGACTCTCGGACAAGATGGGTTGTTTTGTGTGGTCCGTCCTCATGCCTTGCTACATCATCGGGATCGGCTACAATATAAATCTCTCACTGTTTTCCTTTAGAGATATCATCCGTTATGAGGCCCTTTTTTTGGTGGTCCGGTGCGCCAAAGTCGTGGCCATTACATTGCCTTCCCTTTACTATAATGTGCCACTCTGGCACGCCATTCTTGTTGGGCTTATAGTCAACATCCAAGGAATCTACGACGTTCAAATCTACAAACAGAACTTCAATTACTCGGTAAAAACACCCACAAGCTAAGGTTCATCCATTTATATATGTTTTACATGACTATTTCTAGGTCAACAAAAATAATACCATTTGTTAACGGACGGATATAAACTTGTGTTCCAAGGAGTGCAGAAATTATCAAGCAAGTCTTTCGGAGCAATGGTGATGTCAGCATTGGTAAACTCAACAATATTAATAGTGATAGTCAAGAAAGTGTACCAAACCATGAGCAAACGCAACCCTTACAAGAGACGCACCGTTCAACACTGCCGCATCGAGGCTCCCTTGCGGATCCTCACCTGCTTCCGGAACCGGGAAGCGGTCCGTCCGGTGCTGGACCTCGTGGAACTCTCTCGTCCAGTCATCGGATCTCCTCTCTCGGTCTTCGCCATCAATCTGGAAGAGCTGAACAACCACAGCCTTCCTCTTCTGATTCATCACACGCAAGAGATAAGCCCATTCCTCGTGCCTAGCCGAAGAGACCAGATCGTTAAGGCCTTTCACAACTACGAGAAGTCCAATCCGGTACTCTCTCCTCAAGAATATCTGCTGTATATATTTTCTTAAGAAATATTTTTCATTAACTAATAATTGGTATTGTTTCAGGAGACCGTGTTGATAGAATGCTTCACGGCGGTGGCCCCGAGGAAGACGATGCACGAGGACGTGTGCGCCATTGCATTTGACCAGGAGACGGACCTTGTGGTCCTGACTCTTGATGCTGGGATCGAGTCGTGGGAGAGGCAGTTGTGTCGGAATCTCCTGCAGAACTGTCCCTGCTCAGTCGCGCTTTTCATCGACAGAGGAAGGCTCCCAGACTTCAGGTTCGTTCCGATCAAAAAGCTAAGCATCAACGTCTGTGCTGTCTTCTTAGGAGGACCAGATGACCGAGAAATGCTTGCGTATGCTACACGCTTGGCGAACCATCCCAGCGTCGATCTTCATGTCTTCCGGCTCGTGGACCAGAACGGCGTCTCCCCTCTCAGAGACATGGTCGAGAGAAAGCACGACATGAGAGTCATCAACATGTTCCGCAAAGAGAATTCCGACAAAAACATCATCTTCCGAGAGGTAACAACAACTCTGCAGACCTAGTCGACTTGTTGTTTAGACGAAAACAGAGCATTTTGGTAATGTGTTTCCCCTGTTTTTGTTTCTGATGACATTGTAAAAAGGTAAGAATAGAGGAAGCGGTGGATCTGATGGAGTTGCTGAGGAAGGAAGGAGACGACTTCGATCTGATGATGGTCGGGATCAGACACGAAGAGAATCTAATGATGCTGGAAGGAATGTCAGAATGGAGCGACATGAAGGAGTTAGGAGAGGTTGGAGATTTGTTGATCTCCAGAGATCTCGAGCTCTCTGTTTCGGTTCTCGCTGTCCAGCAATGAGAGCCTCAAGATGTACATTATGTACATCCCTTTTTTGTTTCCCCCTGTTTTTATGGATTGATTTGTACAGTTTGCTTAGAGGTTTACTAATTTGTAGAATGTTAATCATGTCTTACATAACAAAGAACAACATAAATAGTAATTCTGACCATTCAAGAACCCCTTCTTTAGTCCTTTAACATTCAAGAATCCGACTAATCTGATCAGTTTATTAGAGATTAACACAACACAACAATACAAACCATCCTTTTACAGTGTAGGCATGCAAAACGTCACTGAAACCTTGGTGATTCTGATTTTTGAAGCCACATTTGTCTTCAAAGATTTTGTTCAATCATCCATCTTTTACTTCATTTTATGTTTTATTCATTTCAGTTGCCATCTTCATTCTTTCAGTTTAAAAAACAAAGCTACTTTATATGAGCTCTTGGAAAGCTGTGAGCTTGTAATCTGTTTTTCTTTTTCTCTTTAACTGCTTCATGAAACAAACATAGAAAACAAATTTATTTTACATGATGTTGAGTAGCATCGACTCACTCTCAAAGGTTTCAAACTTAACTAAACAGTGAATCCTACTATGAAACCCTCTGCGGTAGAATCAATGGCGACCACCCACGGAGCGACTCCGTAACGCTCGTCATTGCTCTTTATTTGATCTCCATGAGATTGCTCGGCTCACATTTCCTTCTCTCGAGTATGGCCGATGGTTCAGGTAAAGCACCACCACGGCGCAGTCATCCGCTTTAGAGGCTGGAAACTTTGTTCTCCAAGTCCTAGCTGCTCGCTGAACCAACGTCTCTGCTGCCACTGAACGGTCCTTACAGGAGCCTACAATCTTCACCACTTCTTCGTTTGACAAAACATCCCAAATCTGTTCTCATCAAATAACACACAGAAAGAATAAGAATAAGAATCTCTTTTTCATCCAACTCATGAATTTACCAAGACTGAAAATTCATGAATTTACCCCATCGGTGGCTACAACCACAAACTCGTCCTCGCTGCTAACTTTTCTGCAAAAGACTTCAGGAATGCAGACGAGTCCATAGTCTTTGAGGCAGAAATCACCAAAAGCCCTAGACATGGCGAGTCCAGGGCAATCATCATCAGGCATCCACACTCTATACACATCCGGTTCCTCCTCCATAGCAAACACCCTTCCTTTGCATGACACTATTCTCTCTGCTTCCCCTGTTCCAAAATATTACGGAAAACTTAAAGCAAGACAAACTTCTTCATGGGATTCACTTATATATGTCCACCTCACAATCTAATAATAATACTGTGCTTTGAGAAAAAAAGGAGAAGAAGAGACTAACGTTGGACACAGGGCTTCAGATCAACCGTGAGTTGGACAGCTTTGATACTGTTCTTGCTTCCTCGGGTGCCAAGAACCGCTCTTGAATCTCCCAAGTTGGCGATCACCAAGCAGTCACCCTGCAAATGTTTCACCACCAATTACTTTCAAATGTCTTGAAAACTGTAAAAAAAGCTAAAGAGCCTGATGATTTTACCTGTTTAAGGACGGTTACAGCAGTTGTACCGCTGCAGAAGCTATCATAAGGAGAGTCAAGACCAAGCTCGCTGTCTATTTGCTTGAAGAATGTCACCAGAACGTCCTCGAATTCACCCAAGACTCCCTCCTGGTTATTCTCTACGTTTTCACTGCCGCCAGATTTTGAAGATATGATTTTGGAATGGACCCTTGAAGGTAATGTTTCACATATGTGACGAGAAATCTTGTGACCCATGGGACCATGGCCGTCAAATACACCGCAAAAAACCATGTCTTCCTCCCCACCAAAGTTCTGAAACAAAGTTTAAGACGCAAACAAGATTCTAGTCGGAGATGCTAGCGCCTGAAACCGAACCAAGAGAAGAAGTAACAAATGAAGACAAAAATTGTTACCTCCCAGACAGTCATGGCGTCCTGATTTATTCCCTTCTTCCCTTGTTTGATTGCCATGGAAACGTGTCTGGATGATCCACGAGACCTTATCATGGCTCCATCATTTGTCTCTCTAACCGCAGACTCCCCATCTCCATGTTCATTACAATCATCCCTGCTATTCTCAACAGTCATCCCTGTGCCCTTGCTACAACAGACCCCCATTGAGACTGCTACGCGAAACAGGAAAATCTACAAAGATGTCTTTATGTTTATTTGGGAAATGGTTAAGTAACTCAAGGGAGGAGAGCAGGGATAGTTGCAGATATATAACTTTTCCATGGGGTCGCCTTGTGAGGCCTTACCAGGGAAACAAGTCAAAGGAAGAGGAGAGGAGGATGAAGATGGGATACGAGAACAGACAATCATCAAAGAAAATAATGATTTTGCTATATTCCAATTTTATAAAACAAAATGGATTTGTCCCGTGTTGAAGATTCAATTGAAAATTATAATGGAAAAGGTCAAAAGGGTTTTTCCCAGATGCAAAAAACTGTAGAGAGAGAGAAAGAGAGAGAGAAGAGAGAAAGATATGTTTATTGCTTTCAAAAGATATGTCTAGAAATAGAGATGGAAATCTTGAAGAGCATCATCCAGAATTGGATAGAAAAGATTACCCATTAAAACAAAATCAATTACCGATTTTCCTCATTTAGCTTCCTTATCTACGATCCACAGCTATATAAAAATCCAACTTCTCATTCACCAAATCATTTCCTCAGTTTTAATAACTAACATTAACGAACGGGGAATAAGATACCAAACAATTTGCTGTCTCTTGTTAGTTCACAACTCTCATATCAAGCACACGATACAGATAGGTCACAGCTACAATTCCAGAAACAAAACCTATATGAACCATACCTGATTCGAGGCATTTGCACTGCTCCATTTATAAGCTTCATCTCTGTAGAAGATCCTGAAAAACAACTCTAGGAAACAAACACAGCAAACTTGTGCTCTTCCTCGGCGATGAAAGCAGAAATCTTAATATTATAGAACTAGATCATATATATATATGCAATAAACAATAACACCAGAAGTGAGAGGTTGTGGTAAAACTCAAATTTCCATTTCAAGCTAAACTTCTTACAGTAAAGGGAATTTCAGCATAGACAAGAGTATTTTTAATAGAAACCTACAATATAAGCTTTTTTATATATTCTAGAAGAAGAGAGTACATTTATGGGTTGGCGAAATGAAATTCACCCAAGCGTATGAAAGAAGAAGATCATGCAGCGACCAATTTTACCACCATTGATGGACAAGCACCCCACTTTGTCTGAGCGATGTGAAGAGCTCTAAGCATTGCTTGTAAGTCTTGTTGTACTTTTGGCTCCTCTGACCAGGACAACATCTCTGCCACCTGTTGTAATGGCATTCCAGGAACAACTCATCGATTAGACAGATTGCTCCCGTCTTGATTAGCCTCGGGATTAAATCGAATTCGGTTCCTTCAACATCCATCTTCATCACAACAAAGTCCCTCTCTCTCACACTCTTCTTCAGCCAGTCTGCGAAATCAAAGCCTTGGATCAAATTCACCTCTCCAGCTAAATCATCGCTTGAAGATTTTGTAACTGGCTGGATTCTGCCCATTCCCCTGCCCTTGGCCTTGGCTTCCACTTCCTTTCCCTTTCCCGGATCGTGATTTATCTCAAATGACAATGTCTCGTTCCTCACCCACGCCGCGTACGGCAGCAGCTGCACCTTCTTCTTTATCTTATACTCTTCGTGAAAGGCTTTGTCTGCCTCAATGGCGAAGACATCAAAAGTTTTGTTCTGCTTCGGGTACTCTTTCCTGAACCAACTCCCGATACTTGATCCATAACTCCGAGCACCGACATCAACGTAGACGTATCTACTCTTGAAACGTATATCCACCATGGAAGGCAGATATTTGATGTTCTTTATGTTCCTCTTGAGGGTGATCCATGGCTTCAGAGGCTCCTCTTCAATCACTGGCTCTGCATCCCGAATCAAATCTCTTTTGTATCCCGGAATCCAGCACTTGCCACCACTATCACCGCCAGAATTCTTCCGGTGATGACCTTCAATCTCTGAGTATTTCTGAATGACAAACTCTCTGATATGAGGCATCGACGAATCAAAACCATCTATGTCACGCATCTTCACCAGTTTGCAAGAATTAAACAAATCAAGGAATGAATTGAAACTGTACGTATCTGTAGCACCAACATGAACCACCGCATACCCTTCGGGTTTCAGGGTTCGACTAATCTCGTCGGCAAATTCCAATTGCTTCAACGACTTCCCGAGGCGGCCGCCGCCGGAGAAGACGAAATCGAATGTGTTTTTCTCGAAGGGAATAGCATGTCCCTCGCCTCTCACCACCAGCGGCCGCAGAGCTTTCTTAGAGATCCCCACCGAGTCCTTCACCCCAATCTCTCTCAGGGAGAAAACCTCCTGCCCGATTGCCGTTTCTACACACAGCGTCTTCGATTCCGGCGAGAGATAACCGTCGGCGATCAGATCCTGAAAGATGGAAGAGTAAAACTGAACGCCTTTAATCCAATCCCTGCTCGTGTACAGATCGTCGCCTGGGGACCCCACGGAGGTAGATCTGATGGCGTCGATAGCAGAAGCGCCGGAGCCAGCGCCGGAGATGACAAAGTTAAGATTCTCAGGGAGGGAGAAGAAGCAGAAGTCGCCGCGATTGCATGATTCTCCAGTGATGGTGACAACATAAGCGAATCGAACAACGATGATCAGAACGCCAAAGAGAAGTACACGAACCATGATATTCCGCAGGAAGCTCGGCTTCCCCATGGAAGTCTCCATAATATCTCACTCTACAACTACTTTACAAGCCGAAAACCAAAAGAAAAAAGGGGAAAAAAAAAATAATTCACACGCAGAGAGGAAAAAGAACGAAAGAATAGCTCTCGGTTTGTTAATTGGAGCAAATAAATTCCTAAACCTGAGGAGGCGGAACAATACTAACGAGAAGAGAAACGAGCAGAGGTGTGATTAGCTCCGATTAGGGTTGGAAATAGGGAAGCACAATTACAGATCCGACTCGTAGTAGGAGGAAAAGGAGAAAAACAGCGCATAGTTCGCGAAGGTTTCCGACAACAAGGGGAGACGGTGGAGTTTATTTCCCGGCGATTATACGGCGGAGGAAAGAGAAAGAGACATGGAATCTAGAGTGAGAAAGCAAAAGGTAGAAGAAAGATAGATAAGAGGGACAGACGAAAATAATGCGAGTGGGAATCGAACGCGTTTATCTCTGGACGCGGATAAAACGGCGAAATGTGGTTCGTGTTTAGGGCCAAGTTTCTACTTTATTTTCGGAATTACCACGCTGACTTTTTTGCTGACCCAAGTACTTTAATCTCTAAATTGATTATTTATCCATACATAGTTAATGGGCCGAAATCGTAACTTGGAGTTTCGTGTACCTTTTAACTCGTATCAGATCCTCTCATTGATTATCTCCGATTTCTTCTTTAAAACCTTTTTTAAAGTTTGGTGGATCCAATGCAGCTAAAGCAATAATCAAAGGTCGCTGAATGTGAACGTAACAGTAAATGTAAATGTTAAGTACTACTGTAGTATTGGTCATCACTAAATGAACTCATTTAGTTGATGAATGGTTGCAAACGTGAAACAATGCAGTTAGTTGTAGTTGTATAGCTTATTTTTCTGATAGTATGGTAGTATGATTTTAAGAGAGATGTATGGTAGACCGTAATTGTGGCCCCTCTTTCCTATTAGTCATGAATGTTCAGTATCACCTGTTGTTGCACATTACTTTTTTCACAAGAGTGATTGAACAAAAGTAAAAAAGACGCATGTAGCTGTTTTATGATTATAGTATATTAGTTTTCAATCATAATGGAGAAGAGGTGCTATATTATTACTGTAGGAAGCATTTAATCGGGGAAATTAATTATTACAAGAAAATAAAACTGTTGTAATTTTGGGCGGTCCATAATCAATCATGCCAAATTAAAAATTAGAAAAAGGAGAAGCAGGTGGTTAGGGATGTAATCATTTGGTTTATCTGTAATGAACAAAAACTAAAGACACCATTAGCTGGTGATACTTTTTGGAGTGTAATTGACATGTGTTTGTTCGTGTAGTTCGGTATTACTCCAAAACAGAAATCCAGTTTTTAAATAATAGAAACGTATAAGCGAAGAGGGAAATAAATATACAGCTGGGTTTTGTAATTTTCGAATAATTGGAATACACAATAATGAAGCCGTGAGAGGCTTTTTGGGTGTCAAAGAATAACGTGAACGGGGCAGTAGCCGTTATTGGCTTATTGCAATGAAGTAGAGAATGTGGTTCTTGTCACACCGACTCGCTTTGGACCATTTTGCTAGAGCGGGTCCCATCCAGTCACGGTGTCTTCGCATAACGCCCTTTTTGTTAAATGAAAGAGGAAAACGCAAACGCGAATTAGGTGACGTCCAAAGGCGGACCCTACCGCCGACGCAAGTTGATAGAGGGCATTAAATTGGGTTAACATAAGTCAGTCATATGATTACATACTTGATAATAGAGGGGGGAAAAGGGGGAGGGAAAGGTCAAAAAAGGAACAAGAGGCCTCTGTTTATGTCCGTTGATTTCGGCATCATTCATTCATCACCACCATGTGATGTGACTCTTGCGAGTATACGCGTAAGGGTGTGTGGGTACACGCGCCGTCAACACCAACAATATGTTCCAGCTTGCTCATTTACACGTGGCAACATCCCACGACAATCGACATACCCAACATGGGCCTGTCTGGCTCCTTCTCCTATTTCTCACAAGTTACCGTACAATTCCAGACCCGGCCCGGATTTAGAAACCCTCTTTCCCATTCCGAATGTTCCATCACCCTTTTTGACTTTTAAGGCACTACGTCTTCCAGCTGTAGCTTCCACGACTTGGGATCTAACTCCGCCTGTTGTCACAGTTATTTAACAGGGGCCACCTGTTGTCACATTTCTATTCACTATCTGAAAAGCGAACAAAGTAATCAATTTTCTATTAAAAAAAAACCTCTACTCTACCTGAAGGGTGTTATCTTTCCAGAGGAAGGCGCAACCACGAGCTTCCAAGTGGTGGATAAGAGACGGAGGAAGGAGTGATCTTAGGGAAGCATGTAGTTTGGCTTTCCTTAACCCTCCACACCCTAGCAAAGCTGCTGCTACTCCGCTCGGGCTTAACCCGCTCGAGTTCACTACCGCTATGCTCTGCATGCACCCAATGTTCGCTAGGCTCACTAGTCCCACATCACTCACCGCCGTCTCCGACAAGTTTATCTGCTTCATCAAAGAATATTATTTTCTCAACGGCTTAGTATAGTACAATACTCTACATTTCCGCTGCGACTCGAAGATTTCCGAGTCTTTTTACCTGTTTGAGACTCTGCGAGAAGTGAGCGAGAGTGAGCAACCCAGAATCATTGATGTGTGGACACTTCTTCAAGTCGAGCTTCGTGAGTCCTTTGCACAGTACAGCAATGGCGGCAAGTCCCTGAGACGTGATGTTAGGACATCCCCGGCTCTCGAATGTTTGTAACAAGGAGCATCTCGACAATGAAAGCAGGGACTTGTCTGTGATGTCTTTGCAGTAAGATATGTTAATTGTTTCAAGAGTCAAGCAGCCCTGGGCGATCCAGGAGATTCCTATGTCTGTTATTCCCACCGACCTGGATTAGATAACAAGAGATTGAGATTGGAGAGATCCGTTGACCCGCTAAGAAAATTAATACCATATATAAGATTTGTAGGCCACTAACCTATAAAGATCAAGTTCACGGAGATTTGAACAGCCTATACCAATGTAGGAGAGGCCTTTGTCTGTTATATTAAGACAAATTCCCAGCTTCAACGAGGAAAGACTAAGGCAACTAGATATCGACTTTAGTCCTGCATCAAACGGGGATAATAATAGTAAGTTATATCATCTTGGAAATCATGCTTCATAAGATTTATCTGAAGAAAAGAAAGAACCTTCGTCATCAATCTCATTGTCAGTTAAGTCCAGCTCTTCAAGTAGCCGACACTTCTGTCCGATCAACCAAAAGGCTTCTCTGGAAACAAGAGAGCAAGACTCCATCTTCAAAGAGACTAGTTTGGGACATGAACTGGCGATTCGGATGACTGAAACTCCACTCAGTTTCCGGCAACAAGTGATGTCAAGTTTTCTGAGGTCCTTCAGTTTCATTACTAGAGAACAGAGACCTTCATCAGTTACGCTCACGCATTTGCTTAGGCTAAGCTCTTTCAGGGAACTGCACAAAGTGCCTATCGCCTTCAACCCATCAGCAGTAACAGAACAACCATCCAACCTGATTGACTCTAATGCTGAAACCTTGCTTAAGCTACTTGCAAAATCCAATGATATCACCTAAATCAGCAAACAAACCTCATATAAGGGCATCATACTACACTCACGTTTCACTGCTAACAATCCATGCACCAAATGGTCTTTCCTATAGTAGGTGCAGTTACTGCTTTGGCTACAACTAATCAGTTTTGCAAAGCAGGTTCTGGAGATAAGGAGTACACAAATAACTTACCGAAGAACAGTGTGCTAGATCAAGCCGCTGAAGACATCTGGCCCCGCTTAAAAGTGAGGTTAAACCTCTCTGAGTTAAATTCTGGCAGCTTGATGCATTGAGCTTCTGCACAACACAAGATCGAGATTAAAACGATCAACTAAAGTCTTCCATTTATCAGACTTTCAATGAGAAATTCCTCTCTTGAGTTTCTAAAAAAAATTGAAAACGGAAATAGTCTGTTAAAGCCTTTAAAAAAATCTAAGGATGAATAAAAACTGACAATGTTAAACGTTCACCTACAAACTAACAATGAAAGTGTCCACGAAACCTGTTTATACATGCTCTCTCGAAAAAAGTTAAATGTTTCCCGAATAGATGCAGCTAGCAGGAAGAAGCGTAACATCAAGTTTTCTGTTGTACAATATCAACTAAAAAGTTTTGGCTTTCATGAGGAACCCAATACACTACTACGTCATCATGTAGAATAATCAAACATTTCTTGGAGAAGAGGTTACCTTGAGTGACTTGCAATCATGTCTGAGTGATTTAAGACTGTCATCGTCTACTCCGAAGCACCCTTGTAGAATAAGTTCTTCAAGGTGTTCAAGTTTCAGAATATCATGTAAACACTTGCCTGTGATCTGTCGAATGTGAAACAGAGGGATTAGTAAGTTAAGTATCCAGCAAAATTATATTAAAATTTCCAGATTCCCTCAAAAATCAAATCCAAAACATGTGTGCCGGATTCGGATACATTGATGGTTGAAGCAAATGTTCAAAGACACTATCGCGAGTTACCATATTCATCAACTTGAAACCGGAAAACTAAATGGGAAAAGTTACCGGCAAGTATGAGATGTCTAGGCTCCGAATCTGCTTGCATTTGACGGCGAGCAAAGCAACGCCCAAATCTCCGACGCCTACACACCATTTCAAGCTAACCATCTTCAGCTTCCTGCATCCTACAGCGATACATCCGATTCCCATGTCCGTCACCAACTTGCATCTTCCCAGCTTCAGCCGCTCTAGACTCCTCGCCTCCGCGACCGCCGCCGCATCAGCGTCTCTCATCTCCGTCGCGTTTGTCAGGTCAATCTCCACGAGATTCACGCATTTGACGGCCAGTCTCAGCAGCCCCGCCGCGGAGAAGGAGCTTGAACGCGATAGGTCGACGGAGTGGAGCGTAGGGCCGCAGAGACACCCGACGACGCTGAGCGCATAGTCAGTGACGCGCGAGCAGTAGGTAAGATCGAGATCGGCGGTGTTCCGGTAACGGGACAAGATTCGAGGGAGATACTCCGCCCGGAAAGGTCTAAGGGAATTCCGGTGCCGGGCCTCGAATTGGTAAAACCATTTACAGGTAAGAGAGAAGGATTTGAGATCGGAAGGGTTGTTGTGAGCGATGAGGTCCAGGATTATGAACACGAGCTCCTCGGAGAGAAGATCGAAAGGCTTCGAGATGTGAATCTGCTTCGCCTTCTTCATGGAAATCTCTCTGCTGCTGGGTTTCGTGGGAGAAATTTGAACGACTTGTAGAGCGACGACCAAGGAGAAAGAGTTTTGAAAACCCACAGAGAGTTAATACAAACAGTTTCTGTGTGAGAAACAAAAAGACAAATGCAAAATTCAAGGCTTGAAGAAGAAGAAGGATATTACTAGATTACATTCTAGTCCTTGCTATTCCAGCGCTTATCTACTAGACTACTACACTGCATATTTTAAAGTTTATTCAAACAGGGATGAGGAAAAGAAAAAAACGGAAGGTTTGATTTTATATGGCATCCAAGATCCAACCTTAGATTAATAACAGAAATCATGTCCAATATCATTTACATTCAAAACTTTGATAAATCTGGGACGGTATTTGAAGTATGATTTATCGGGTGATAAGTATGAACGGGAGGAGAGGGCATTAGTGTAATTGTAGGAAAAGGATAATTAAAATAGAGAAGCGTACGGTGAAGGACGGAGAGGGGCAGAAAAGTAAGAAAAGGGAAGAGAAGTCGCAATCAACAAGTTAGGCCATTGGGTGGATATGTATATGGTGGAGTCAGCATGCGAGGAAGGACAGATTCGAGTAAGGACTGTACGAGCCTCTTCCCATCTCTCTTTTTATCTCTCTTTTCTTTCTAATTATTCCATTAGCAACTATTCTAATCTCTTTCCAGTTTTCCAGCAGCATCTAAAAATAGCATTATCGTATTAACTAATTATATACTCTCTCTATGCACATAATATCTTCACAAAAATACAGATTGTATTATACAGTCTAGACAAACCGACCAGGAAAATATTCGAGTGATATATCTTTTTTTTTCTTGGGTGTCCTCGATTTTGTGTCTATCTATTCTTGTCTCCAACTTTTAAACTTGTGATTTTCATTTAACAATGAAAATATTCGTTACCTCAAGTTGTTATATTTTAATTTATCACAATTAAATAATTCGAGTAACCAGAATTTTTTGGGTCCTGACCTAATATTTGGTTACTTATGCAAGAGAGCTAGAAGTCAAATAAAATAATTATTCTATGGACAAGTTGACAACAAAAAAAAAAACAAATTGTATGGACAAGGACTCAAGTCACCATAGATGAAACAGTAAAATTGTGAACTGGAAAAATTTATTTGTACAAAATCCAATGTGTGACCGTACTTATAACCAAACTATTTTTGGTAACGATGATCGAATTCTTATAGACCCTTTATAAAGAGGCAGGATATGTGCACAGACAATTACACTTGCAAAAATATGTAGTCACTTACATACATGTGTGTATACGTACGTGTAATGCTCAGATAAATTGACAGAGTTATTGCTACTTGCTGACACATCGTCAAGTCAGGCCCTCTCCCATTTGTGTTTTTCTAGTTAATAGTTTACATGCGTCTGTGGATTTCTATAATATCTTGGAATCTTTCCAAATTAATATTGTATGTGAACTCAGGATATGTACAAATTCTTGTATTAACATAATTTATTAAGAAATTTGCCCTGTCCATAGAAACAGACGCATGTAAAAGGAAACCTGAGCTATCATGGCGACTAAACACAACATGGAAAAATGGCACAAGAGATGGAACTACAAACCAAAATCTGTACAAAAACATAAAATCTGCATGCAACAGCTAATAATATATGTCAGGTTTTTACCAAAAAAAAAATTAAAAAAAAAATAAAATAAAACAAATATAATGAAGAGGATATATCGGTGGCGGTGGAATTTGGTGACAGCACCAAAGAAATAACCAGATTGCCCCTTTGTAAAACGTAATCAAATCCAATCCGGTCAGTAAATTTGGTCTACGCGCGCACAGTTCGAGAAACAAGTCGTCATCGTATGGCATTGGCACGTGTCGACGTTAAGGAGTACAAGCACAGAATGCTCGAGACTCGAGTAATGGATGACTCATGACTGCCCGGCATCGTACGGAATATTCCTCGGAGGGTACCGTATCAAGACCATATTTGTACTTGAACAAAAAGTCAAACTGTTGGAATTTGACTTCAATAACTTTGGAAATTTTACTTCAAGCGGATTCCAAACTCTCAACTCTTATCACTTACTTTATCAGTCAAACTGTCATCAACGACACTTGATGATTGGGCTTGATTGACTTATACAAGTGCAATACAAGAAGCCCAAACTATTGTAACCAATTACTTGACCCAAAGTAGGGTACTCGATATACGTGATGAAGTTCCAGCGCAAGGAGTAAATAGATGAACAAGTAAAGGTTACGCAGAAGCAGAAATGCAGTATTGAGATATATTCAAATCTACTTGTTAATGTATAGTTTCCTATTTAGTTAGGGTTAATATAATGTCGGTTCCTTGTGTATGTATATATACTTTGGGCATTGCCTCTTATGAAGACAAGTTAAGTTTTCCGATTCTAAGTTTGTTATGGTATCAGAGCACGACCAAGCATAATTTTCAGATCTTCTCGTACTCGCGAGGGATCCATACTTATTTTTTTTTTCTCTCCTTCTTCTTTGACCTTAATCAAGTGATTTCTCTTTCACACTTGATTTCTTTTGTTCCTCTGTTTTTTTTAACTCCAAAACAGAGCATCTCTTTGATCCGACACGATGACCAACAATAACCCAAAATACAAGACGATCTCTCCTTTTGACTTGAGCGCCAGTGACAATCCCGGCGCGGTGATTTCGCAGCCGCTACTCAACGGTTCGAACTATGATGAATGGGCTCTCAACTTTCGTGTGGCCCTAAGTTCACGAAAGAAATTTGGTTTTTTGGATGGAAGCATCCCAAAGCCAGCTCCTAATTCTGCTACTCCAAGAGCAAACATCACACAAATCACTACAGCCAATACCGCTGCGATCGGTGAACCATCTACAATTACTGAGAGTGACCGTGAAGGTCTTAGTGGCTTAACTGATGATCAATGGGCTGCTGTACAACGATTACTTAATGCTGGAAAATCATCTCCGAATATGAGTGGTAAGAACAACGTTTTCTGGATACTTGATACAGGAGCAACACACCACATGACGGGTTGTCTTGATCTTTTAGAAGACATTCGTGACATAACACCAATTTCTGTTATATTACCTGCTGGAGCAGATACTGTTACACTGAAACAAGGAACAGTTCGTTTGACATCAAAACTGTCTCTACAGAATGTTTATTATGTTGATGGTTTTCATACCAACTTGATATCCTTTGGTCAGCTCGTCACTGACAATTATCTTGTGGGACAAGTTACTGATAAACTCATGATTTTACAGGACCGCACCACGAGGATGCTGATTGGAGCGGGTGAAAGAGAGGGAGAGGGACTGTACCGGTTTCGGAACATGGACAATGTGACTTCTTTACAGACCAGTGTTCAAGACAACTTAGTTTTATGGCATCACCGTTTAGGCCATCCTTCACTTCCGGTCACTGGTCTTATTCCTGGTGTTTGTACTTCTTCTACTAGCAATAATAGTGAGCTTTTGATTAAGAGTTGTGATACGTGTTTTAGAGCAAAACAGACACGGCAATGTTTTCCTGATAGTTTAAATAATGCGAAAGAGAGTTTTGATTTAATCCATTGTGATTTATGGGGTCCGTATCGTACCACAGCTTTTTGTGGCTCCCGTTATTTCTTAACAATCGTGGATGATCATTCAAGAGCTGTATGGTTATACCTTCTTCCTGATAAAACATTGGTTTCTCAACAGCTTCGAGATTTTGTGGCCATGATTGAACGACAGTTCTCTAAGAAAGTAAAACGAATCCGCAGCGACAATGGCACAGAATTTCTTTGTCTTACACGTTTTTTTCAGGAAAAAGGGATTCTACATGAGACTTCTTGTGTCTACACTCCTCAACAAAATGGTCGGGTTGAGCGGAAACATAGACACATACTCAACATTGCTAGAGCTCTCCGATTTCAAGCACATCTTCCGATCGAATATTGGGGAGAATGTGTACTTACTGCCGGTTACTTGATCAATCGCACTCCTTCGATATTACTCAAGAACAAGACTCCTTTTGAGGTACTTTATGGTCATCCCCCTGGATACAAACACTTACGTGTTCTTGGCTGCTTAGCATATGCTCACAACATCGATCATAAAGGTGATAAATTTACATCTCGAAGTCGACGATGTGTGTTTTTGGGATATCCATATGGAAAAAAGGGCTGGAAATTGTATGATTTGGAACGAGAAGTGGTTTTTGTCTCCCGTGATGTTGTTTTTCAAGAAAATATTTTTCCGTTTGCCGATACGGATTCGATCGCAACACCGATTGCACAAAGGCCAGAGCCTCCTTTGTTTCCAGTTACAGCTGAGACTGATGATGATGTGGTACCGTTAACACCACCAGAAGCTGAAGATGACCACATTGAAGAAGTTACTCTACCGAATATTCATACCACTCCATCTCCTGCTGTTGAAACTCATGGCCGAGGACAACGAACTAAACGTCCTTCTACACGATTACATGACTATGTCGTTGGTGCAGTCACTACTAAGCCTCTCTCTCCTCTCTCTTCACCTTCTCCACCACCATCCTCAGGTTCGTTGTATCCTCTTTGTAACTTTGTCTCCATTGAACGTTTTTCTCCTAACCATCGTAAGTTTTTGGTGGCTTTGGCAACTAATATTGAACCGAGAACTTTTGCTGAGGCAATGAAACATAAGCATTGGGAAAAGGCTGTTGATCGTGAAATAGATTATCTTATCGAGCTTCAAACATGGAGACTCGAAGAATTGCCTCCGGGAAAGAAAGCACTTGATTGTCATTGGATCTTCACGATCAAGTATCAATCTGATGGGGAAATTGAACGTCACAAAGCACGATTAGTTGTCAATGGCAATGGTCAAGAAGAGGGATTTGATTACAAAGAAACCTTTGCCCCAGTTGCTAAAATGACTACGGTACGTGTCTTTCTTGATCTTGCGGCAAAACTGAATCATGAAGTACATCAGATGGATGTACACAATGCTTTTTTACATGGAGATTTACATGAAGAGGTGTATATGAAACTTCCTCAAGGTTTTAAATCTGATGGAGAAACACGGGTTTGTCGTCTCCAGAAATCACTATATGGTTTAAAACAAGCTTCTCGATGCTGGTTTGAAAAACTCAGTACCGCACTTTGTGCATATGGTTTTAAACAGACAAAACCAGATTATTCTCTCTTCACCTATGTCAAAGGCGATGTTCACCTCCGTATTCTGGTTTATGTTGATGATCTTATAATTTCTGGAAGCACCTCGGCAGCGATTCAAACGTTCAAAGACTACTTGTCTACTTGTTTTCATATGAAGAATCTCGGACCCGTCAAATACTTTCTTGGCATCGAAGTCGCACGCAATCCCACCGGTATTTACTTGTGTCAGAGAAAGTATGCAACAGATATTGTGGAAGAGATGGGGTTACTTGGATGTCGTCCAGCCAGTTTCCCTATCGACCAAAACCATAAACTTGCTTTGGCTGATGGAGATTTCCTTGCTGATCCAGAGACGTATCGCCGCTTAGTTGGACGTCTTATATATTTGGCTGCTACACGACCGGATCTCACTTACTCAATCCATATATTATCTCAGTTCATGCATGCTCCTCGAGTTGAACATTGGTTTGCAGCATTGAAAGTGGTTCGATATATCAAGGGTACACTTGGGCAGGGAATTCTTCTTCGTGCTGAGTCTCCACTTCATCTCACGGGTTGGTGTGACTCCGACTATGCTGCTTGTCCATTGACTCGGAGATCTCTCACAGGATACATTGTTCAACTTGGTGATTCTCCAATCTCGTGGAGGACTCAAAAGCAAGACACGGTTTCTCGCTCGTCGGCGGAGGCGGAATACAGAGCAATGACAGAAATTACTTCAGAGTTACGATGGCTCAAGGCACTCCTCTTGGAGTTTGGAATAGAACACAAAGAACCTATGTCACTTATGTGTGATAGTAAGCCTGCTATACACCTTAGTGCCAATCCAGTTTTCCATGAAAGAACAAAACATGTTGAGGTAGATTGTCATTTTGTTCGAGATGATATCGTTGCTGGTCTTATCAAGCCTATTCATGTATCAACAAAGGATCAGCTTGCAGATATTCTCACCAAAGCTTTGGGACGAAAAGAGTTTGACACTTTTCTTATCAAGTTGGGCATTCATAACTTGTATGCTCCAACTTGAGGGGGAGTATTGAGATATATTCAAATCTACTTGTTAATGTATAGTTTCCTATTTAGTTAGGGTTAATATAATGTCGGTTCCTTGTGTATGTATATATACTTTGGGCATTGCCTCTTATGAAGACAAGTTAAGTTTTCCGATTCTAAGTTTGTTACGCAGCGTATTAGGTTTGTCAAAAATCGGTTTTGTGGCCAAAAAAAAAAAAGATAAATTACTTAGGGATCTCTAAATTTCGTGTATGATTGATTGTACACGTAACACTTTTCTGTCCCTTAGTTTATGCATTATTAATCAGCATAGCTCAGTAACATGAGACTATTGATACAAGATAGAGAAATGAGGGAGATGGAGTCGACCCCAAAGGCAGTCGACGACCCAATTAAAAACTGACAAATTTCGAGAAGGTGCAGTTAACCAGAAAGTCACAATTAGATTTCAAATCTTAGATGTGTGTCTTGTACTATCATTTTATTTGACACTTCATAACTTTTGCTACATGCAATGTTCCTGTGGTCCAACACACATTTCTCAAATCTCTATCTTCTCTTTATTCATTGGTTTGAACTAGTTAACCGAATCTCTCAGTTGGTGGTTTATTAATAGAAAAATAACAAGAGATCAAGTCGGTGGGAGAGTCCAATGGCTATTGGTCGAAGTGCATTGATTACAAACTTATCCACCGTAAGGAATTCATTAAACTAAGATCGTATTTTGGTTATCATCATTTCCAGGTTTGGGGGGTCAACGTAAAACCCCTCACATCAAAGCCGTTGTTTCTTCCTTTTTTGTTTCCTGAGAAAGGAGAAACTGGTTAATCTTAACCCTAGCTGGTTTTGAAAGATAAAACCTTGGCTTCGAAAAACTCGGGGGCCATAGGAAGGTGAGAAGTCAATGTATAATTGGGGTCAGAATCAGAATAGTACAAATGAACTATTTTTAAAGAGAATGTCCAAATCCCGACAGTGTGCACGAGGGGTTTAGTTGGATCCAACTTGGCCTCTTTATTGCTCATTTAATGATACGTGGACTACACATTTCCTCCATTTAAACCACTAATAATTTATTAGTAATACACCACTTTCTTAAGTATAATGTTACTATTGGCTTGAATAAGATTCAGTCCTCTTGCAAAATTCTTTATTAGCAAAGTTTGTCTAACCCTTGAAAATGCGTCTCTTCAGTTTTCACAAGCCAGAAACAGATACTGTGCTAAATATATACAAGTAAACAATGATTTTAATTATTTTTTCTAACACCAAAAAGGTTATATCACTAAACCGACTAAATTAAAGGTTGTTCATTCAATTTCTATTGGTTGGCTCACTCACAACAACAGTTGGACGAATCTAGTGGAAAGATTGAGACATATTCCGATTGTTCGCTAGAAACCAAAAAATATATAATACGAGAGAGGGAGACAGTAGAAGTGTATGCATCTGGTACAGGTTCTAACTTCTAACTATGAACTACCTTAAGCACACTTAGTTACTAACTCACTCACAAGCCAGAGATCATCATCACGACAACGACATAAGAGGGGTCCCAGTCCCAACGAGTATTAGTTTGTTAGATGGTTAGTTCATGTACACAAAAAAAGAGGGGCCATGTTAAAATATTACCTGAAACCTATGCCTGCTAGCGAAAGGTTATGCGTGGACATCGAGATTTGACGGATTTAGTCGAAATTACTACCTACGTAGAGCGATAGTATTTGGAAATCAAACGCCATGAGGCCAAATAAGTTAAAATTTGATTTTGAAATAAATGCAAAAAAACTTAATAACTAAACCTACAGAGTAAACACAATCTGATGTAAATCATGTAGTTATAAGGGAGCTAGCTAGCCAGGAAAACGATCCATATATATTATTGCGATTATTATCACCGACAAAGGACAAAAAACCTAAATAAGGCGACGATTGGAAAAAAAGCACGTCATCAACATTCAAAATGACCCCTTGGACTTGGAGAGAGGACTTATGTTGACTATAAAAGCGACTGTAAACTAGACAGAAGCCTACTCACTCCTCCTACATACTACAAAAAGAAGAAGAAGAAGAAGAAAAACAAAAAAAAACCTTTCTTTTCTTATCCTGAGATTAAGTTAGAGATGGAAGCACAAAGTGTAGAGCGTTTGATGACCCCGGAAATGAGAAACAAGGGAACCATAGAGTTACTGTACAGAGCGTTGGAGAAAGGGGAGGCATCGACGGTGGAGAAACTGGTGGCGAGGGACGTGGAATGGTGGTTCCATGGACCGCACCATTGCCAACACATGATGAGGCTGCTAACAGGGGAAGCACCGAGGCAGGTGCCGTTCAGGTTTGAGCCAAGCAGCGTGGAAGCAGTGGTGGCTGGTCATGGGTGCGTGATCGCAGAAGGATGGGAGGGTTCGAACGTGTATTGGGTCCACGTGTGGAAGTTGAAAGAGGGAGTGGTGACAGAGCTTAGGGAGTATTTCAACACGTGGCTAACTGTGACGGACTACAGTCTGGGGCCAATAGGATGGGACATGGGGCGTTGTACGGTCTGGGAGAGCGTGCCGAGAGACCTGGCTCCTGGTTCCTTGCCCAGCTTGCTTTTAGCTATTTAAACCAAAGAGTAAAGCAGCACACAGTTGTTGTGTCTGGTGGTTTCTTTACTCTTTACTGTATATGTTGTAAGTTGTAACAATCAACAATGTGTTATATAAGTAGATGAGTGAAACGAGGTCTAGGGGGGGGGGGAGAAAAGAAAAAAGCTGTGTATATTATTGATTATTGTCCTTGTTTGTTATGAAAAGTTGGCTACTCATCACTCATGCTGCTTAAGCAACTGTAATTCAAGGATACAAATTAACTTGTGCGCAATCAATTGAACTTTAATTTCTATTTGACCTGACGACAATAACAGAGCAGTTTTTTTTGTGGAATGATAAGAGAGCTTACTTGAATCTCTCCAGTAGTTCTACAAGGAGCAGCAGCAATGACAAGGAAGTAGTCTGCTAATGTCTGGGGGCAAATTTGAATTGATGGGGACGATTGACAAGACAGAATTGAGAGATACAGTACTAGTCTAGTTAGATTCAAAGACCTGTTGGTGGTGGTAGTGGAGTCGTTTTCCAGGCAATCACCAACACCTGCATAATACGGTATAATTACTAGATTTGGATTATAAAATGGTGAAATACGAACTCGGTCGGAACAGAACAAGTCTGCTCTGTTTTTTATCTAACTATACAATCTAGAGATCATCTCGCCTCTCCAGCTTTTATCTATAGAACACAATCTAAGATCTAAAAATTACACAAAAGGCGCAAAACTAAGGATCCAATTTAGACGTAACCTGATTCGCAGAATCCGCCGTTGTTTGTTATTTACCCATCGCGTCTTAAATACTCCTCCAATGGCGTCTTCTTCTTCCGATGATCACGAATCATTTGGGTTCAGATTTTTTCGAAATTTACGAGTGAGTTTTAAGTTCTAACGCTTCGATTCTGTGCTCTCTGTAATGATGGTTTCGTGCTAATTTTTTTCAAAACCCCCAGCAGACATTTTGATTTTGTTACTCAGTTGATCCGAATCGAGGCTTCTTTATGGGCCTTTAATAGGCCCATTACATGGTTGGCTCTTCGTCAATTATTGTTCGGTTTCTCCATCAAAGCCCATTTCCACGTTGCGAAATTTAACATGTAAATTCGGTTTTCTCATCTGTATTTCTTCGGTTTATAAAGTAAAACCAAAGTTTTCGATTCCTCATCGGTATTTCTTCGGTTTAGAGCTGAAATAGGATTTCTTATTTTCTCCCATGTATACAGAATTTGTCTTTGCGGTGTAAGATGTGTTCAACCTCAAATTATTTTAATTATCTACCTTACTAAGGAGTAAGGAGATGTATTCAAGGAAAACTAAATACCAAGTATTAGTTAATCTTCTACAATCTGTATACGTATATATATATACACAGATGGATTATTATATTATATGTATACTAGAGAACAGCTCAGACAAACCAAAAAAAGATAGTTATATAATTGGCACTAAACATTAATTAAGTAGGGATGCACTTGGAGGCTTAAGCGTGACAATAGATTATTAACATAAAGTTTGGTTTGCGTCACAACAGTAAGTTCGCATATCTGTCTAAGTGGCAGATTTCTTGTGATCCATGTCTGCCACCTACTCTTTAATCTAAGTTTAAAGTTTGCGTTATCTAATCAAATATTTAGTTCATGCTTCAATTATAATACATGTGTATTTCATGATATCTATAACTACTATGGCAGTTCATTTGGGTTTCGATTCACCCAGGCATTTTGTATTTTCATTTTATTTGGTAAATAGGTCATTGTTTAATATAAACTATTTAAAGTTCATTGGTCAAAATATTTTTATCTACTGGTTACAACAAATCTTGTACATGTCGTTTATTTTAGGTCGAACAACAAGGAAACCATTACACAAAAAATAATACTTTCCCTAAAACTTCAAACTACCATGCTTAAAACATATAGTAAGAGGCTTCATGACCTGAAATGTAATTGTAATCTATATAATGGTGTCTGGTTCACGAAACTATTAGTATTAATTGCTTATGCCCCCAGCGTTTATGCATACTTGGCTGATCAAATTTTCAGCTTTGTGATGAATTGTTAATCGGTTGATTTAGTTGTTCGAGAAAACATTTTAAAAACAAAATTTCGTCGGCGAATAATCAAGTTTAATTTGTCAGAATGGGAATGTGACGTCAGTTTTACCTTTACAATATAAATAATGAAATGGATGTTATGTTAATTTGAAAGTGTTGTTGTCTTTTGCATAAAAAAAACTTTTTGGCGCGACTTCGGTTATCGAATTATTCTAATTTCTATCATATATTGTAGTCTCTCCACTCACATCTCCATCACTCTTCTCTTTTTACAGTGGAATGCCACGTGTCATCCCCATGATTCAAACAGAATATTCCCTTTACAAATTAGCTGTAGCACATATATTTTACAACTACACAAAACAAACACAAAAATTAGGCAAATGTAGTCTGAAAGGGATAAACACGAAAACACAGAAATATGCGACAGTACATACATACAATATACGGTCTCATATCTATACAACCCAATGATACTTTCGAAAATCGAGTTTTTGTTTAAGTGTATGCTCGCTCATAGGCTGTTAAAGATTTTCTCATGATCTCTTGAAGGGGACTTGTATTCAGTCACTACTTCCCATCTGTCTTGTCTTTTTCCTTTTCCCTTTTCCTCGAGAAAACGAAAAAGTGTATATGAAAATTAATCCTCATGGTCATAGACTCTTAGATAATTAGTTGATTTGGACACTAGGATGAGAAACAATGAATTTTCCTTAATTCTTTCAAGTCCATAATATATCATTAATCTAAACTAATCCTAGCCTACCAGGTTTGACAAAATAATTAACGTGCAATCAATTATGATAAAATTTGATAATTCGGACAAAGCATTGGTGATCATTGACAATTATCAATAGCTCATATCTATACATAAATGAAGAAAAACACACATAAAATAAGTGTGATTTGATGATATATATGAAACTCAGGGGTAAACAATACGAAGATAGGGAGAAAAAGGTACAAAAAAACTGTTTGAAGACAAGAAGAGCATCTCAATGATTTTCACGAGCTAGGACCTATAACTTAGAAGTGGACTTTGATTACGACTTTAATTAGGAGTGGGCAATTCTCAGTCCTACATTGTCGTTTCTTCTCATTCAACAATCGCCATTTTTCTTTTTTACAGTGTCATCGGAGAAATTATAACCGATTTTTCAACGAATACATAACAGTATAACACCCGTATACTTCCAATTATTTGCCACACTGTCCAAAGTAGTTTATTTTCCAGAGGTTGAATCTTTTACACGATCATCCATAGATCTCGGAGTTAGACTCGCCCAAAGGGATATGCAAAAACCAACACATACATCTATCAATATCTAATATGGTCCCCAACGTAATTATATACAGTTAGAATCGAATTAAATGTATGCAACAAACAATGGTAGCTGAGGTTATATAACCCAATAATATAGTTTCCCTGAGAAAATATAATCTGACAAAAGAATTGTTGTGTATTAGAATATGAAAATCTCGCTTTATATATGCATTATATGCAAGAAGGAGAAATTAGCAAAATTGGTCCCAAGTACATTCCTCATTTGTCACCGAAAAACTCTCTTTCACCATTTATAACTTAGCATTTTTATATCAGTACCAAAGAAAATCGATTCAGATCACGATTGAGGCAAGGGAAACTGACTAACAGTACAATTAGAAAGAAAAAAACGTTGATGTTTGAAAAAAAAAAAAAGGAAGGGTAATTAGTTAGATAAAGGAAAAGATAATGGATTTGATATAAGTTGTAATAATTACGACAGCATGATTCTCTCAAGTCCTACCTTAATGTCGAAAAAGAAAAGTCTTTGAGCTGTCGGATGTTACCCTTTAATGATTTCAGCAGAAATATTTATCAACTATCTAGAAAACTTAAAATCTCCTACCTAATTCCATTATTTACCTCCTTTTCTAATTGAGCAAACAAGTTCAAAAACATGTAGTTACCAAAAGAAAACCTCGTATAGTAATAGATGTTTACATAAATAAGTATACCAAAGGGGTCAATACATTATATAGTTTGTGAAGCCTAAATTCCTCTGAGTATATAGGTGCGGTCTTGTGGTCCTTAACCTCAAGAACATTATTATAAAAATGCGTGTGTATGTGTATATACACACACATCAACACACACACTTTCTTTTGGGGATTTTGGGTAGCATGTTCATGGGTCAGCATGCTGTCTCCATTATTTTTTGGATGTGTTTCTATGTTTTATTGCGATAAATCTAAAGAGATGGTGGTATCTGTTAATCAGAATAAGAACAAAAGTAAATGGTGAAATTATAAATTTTGGAATACGTATTTAAATATCGAACCCACAGGATTTGCAGAAAGGTATAGTATCATTTATATAGAACAAAAAAATCTAGATCCATGTATATATTTTTAATACTAGCTTACATGAAAACAAAAAGTAAATTTCCACACACGCGACACTAATAAGATAAATAGAATATTGTTGGGTAATTAAAATAAACTGATATTTCCATTTGCTATAAATGAGAAAGCACTTAGTACATGTAGTTGACTCTACCTGTCACCGAAGCTCCTCCATTCTCTCTATTTATCTCTCTCTCTAGATAGGAGTGAATGATGAAGAAGGTGTGAGCTGAGCAAGATGGAGAAGCAGGGCACGTGCATTACTAGCTCATCTCTTTGCATATATACACTCTCCGATCCCCAATGAATACGATCTATGCGGAAATTGGGGATATATGTGTGTGTGGAGTGTGATGATGATAATTGAGTTAGTTCTTCATGTGCCCATCTTCCCCATCATGACCACTTCACATTGACGATGATCCGAGTGACGCACGTGGGAATATCTTTATATCGGTAAACACGCACACGTGTGTGTTTGTATGTCTATTTGTGTGTAAAGAGAAGCGCGTTTAGCGGAAGTAGATACCCGGCAAAAGTACCTATTACGTACGCACCCAAAGAGCAAAGGGAAGCTTAGTCTTGGAAATATCAGGTATACATGTCTCTAACAGTTATTATGTGTGATTATATCACGCATCTTAAATAATTGGAGTCGCTTATATATAAGTTGTTCATTATAGTTTTAGAATTTTATTAGTGAAGTGGACAGTGATTAAAATGATGATAATATAGATCGTGTTGATTACTGTCATACCATTTCGAGAAGATAGCAAATTACCAAAACTTGGCCGGTTCGCGTTTCTTTCCGTTTTACGTGAATATTACAAAGCATTCGTATATATACTTCCCTAAAATGCATAGAGTTCTTGAATCTGGGGGATTCTGACCTAACAAATTAATGTGTCGGCGATGAAGTTAATATAAATAAGCAATTACAGAGTAAAAAGATAAGTAATTTAATTGATTGATTAGTGGAGCATGCCTTGATTTTTTATATAATTAACTTACTTGGTTAGTTAATAACTTAATAGTATGGGTTCGTCACGCGCGTGCCTGTATATTTTAATATACTGGAGTACAGGAGTAGTATATAAATTGTAAATAGCAATCGGATTCAGCTTTCTTTATTGGTTTTTTCGATTAAACTAACACCACGTACGGTCACTGACGTACACTTTTAGGGGTGTTAGTGTAACTGTGTAAGATACCAGTTGTCTGTAAAATACTGAAATACGCATTTCAAAGTTTGGTAATTTCATTCTCAGTAGTTTCACCTCTCTTTTTTTGTCGACTAGTGAATTTAATTGTGGATAGCAAACATCATTATATTATTATAAGCTGTTACGCTACAAACTCCCATCAAACATGCTATTACAACTAAGACTACCAGTTCTGTATATCTCTGACAGTTTTATGCTGTCGAAACGACCGCCCATTATCAGAGTTTTTGTATTTTCATCTATAGAAATGTATGTGTATAATAATCTAAGTTTGATAAGTTATTACTTATAATAATTATCCAATGATTTGTGTTCATTTCGTTATTCTATCACGATGATCAAAGGATTCAAAGCTGTTTCATAATTACATCAATATGTACATCTGTAGTCAATAATATATTTACATCTTTTTTCAACCATCTTGTTTCTTGGGCCCAATATATTTTTATAGGGCTTCATTTACTGCAACAATGCTAAACAGTCAGTATACCAGATTTGAACAATTGTTGGGCCTTGATTATTGTGAATATTTGGTAGAATACTCAAATAACTGTTTTAAACTTTCAAAGAGCAATATGATTCGATATGTATGAAATCGAATGTTGTTATTCTCAGTAACTGTAACCGAATGTACACGAGAGTAAATCAAATCTTATAATCATTAAACCGGACTAAAAATTATAATAATATGCAAAATTTCCAAACCCATTTTAATTCCATTCCCTTCTGAAGATTAATATTAAATATGGTAAGGAATCTGCTTCGATAGTTGAAGATATTTAATTGATAAAATGAAGATATCGTGGAGAATTTTCGATACTGATGATTTAGCCAATCGCTTGGCAGATGCTCTCGTGCAAAAAATGCTTTACTTTCTATAGGTACGGGTTACATTTTACCTAATGGAATCTCTCAGTGGTGTCTCACGAAAAAGGAAGGATATTTAATTTTGTATATTTTTTATTGCCATATCAGCCGACCGTTGACACATACGTCAGTCGTACGTGGTACCAATGTTGGTTGAATAATCAATCCCGCGTTACTTAACACAAAATTATGCTGAAATAAATTCCTAACTTAATTTCATTGTTAATGCCTTAATGCAGCATCTGACACATTAAATTAATTAGCGTTTTCTTCGAACCTTTCTTACAAAATGGAGTATTATTTTATTTATATGCGCGTAGACTTTTCTCCCTCCAGGAAAAATTGAGAGAGAGTCAACATATTCGATCCAGATATATATACTCCATCTGTTTCAGTTTATAAGGGGTTTTAGGAAAAAAAATTTGTTGCAGAATAATTGTCTCTCACGATAATCTAGACTAAAATTGCCACTACTTCACATTTTTACCCTTCCCTTATTCAATGTGAAGAAAACTTTTTAGTGATATAATATTGAAATAAGTAATAGAAGATGAGGTTATAAGAGGTATTTTAGTTGTTTCCTGAAAAAAACCTAAAACCCCTTATAAACTGAAACAGATGGAGTATATTTTTTTATTTATTATTTTTGTTTTCTTTTTTTTTTCTTCATTATAAAACATATCCCTACGCTTATCTTCTGGGCACATAATCAATCCATACGAAAAAAAACAAAATCACCAAAGCAAAACAAAATAGAGAGAGCGTTTACCAGAATACCTTTCCTTAGGAGAAAGAAGCAAATGGAGCAGCCTTACGTGTACGCGTACCCACAAGGCGCGGGCCCTTCGGGTCCTCCTCCGCCACCACAAGGCGGTGGTGTGGCCGGAGTGATCGTGGATCCAAGGTACTGTGCACCGTACCCAGTGGATCTGGCGATTGTGCGGAAGATGATGAAGCTAACGGACGGCAACTTCGTAATAACGGACGTAAACGGAAACCTGTTGTTCAAGGTGAAGGAGCCGGTGTTTGGTCTTCACGACAAGAGGATCTTACTGGATGCTTCTGGATCTCCGGTCTTGACTTTGAGAGAGAAGGTCTGGACTGACTAGCTAGTCTCTTTCTTTTCGTAAAGGCTTAATTAATTAATCTGTGAATAATTAATGACTGTGAATTGCAGATGGTGAGCATGCATGACAGGTGGCAAGTGTTTAGAGGAGGGAGCACGGAGCAGCGAGATCTGGTGTACACGGTGAAGAGATCGTCCATGCTTCAGTGGAAGGCCAAGCTTGATGTGTTTCTGAGTCACAACAAAGACGAGAAGAGATGTGACTTCCGAGTCAAAGGGAGCTGGCTCGAGCGCTCCTGTGTCGTCTACGCCGGCGAATCTGACGCCATTGTTGCCCAAGTATGTCTCTCTTTTTGATTCACTCATGTGGACCCGACACATCCATCCCATTGGCATTTACATTACATGGGTGATTAAATTATTTTAATTTGATTAATTAGTCCATTAATAGTAGTAATGGTTTTAACTTTCTTTGAATCAGATGCACAAGAGGCACACGGTGCAGAGTGTCTTCTTGGGAAAGGACAATTTCTCGGTGACAGTTTATCCAAATGTTGATTATGCCTTCATTGCCTCTCTCGTCGTCATTCTCGATGACGTCAACCGCGAAGACCGCGCTGCCGCCGGTTCCGTCTGATCTCATCACATCACACGTGCTCTGCTCTCTGCTTGTATTCGGAGTAGTATATTTTATAAGTATGTTTTTGGGTTTTGTACGTTTTCTCAACTGTGGCCGGCCTTTGTTCTACAACTCTGCTCTTGTTAAATAATCAAAATATCAGTGTGTCTGTCGTTTGATGTTTAGTGACTGGAACTATTGGACATATCTTTCATATCGCATTATTATGGTTATTATTGTTATTTATTCATTTTGAAAAGACCGCGTATTTGAATATTCAATAAAATATTATTATATATTGACTGTTGTGAAATGAGAGAATGAAATTATCTTATTCATGAGTAGAGGAGCTCGTTATATAAAGTACAACATAGGGTTTCAAAAGAGAAGAGACAAATAGAGAAGTGGACCTAGTGGGCTAATGGCCATCCACATATTACCCATAACATTGACAAATTTAATCTTAAAAATCACAAATTGATTTAATCGTATGTACATGTGACATATATCATTGACAAGTTTAATTTTAAAAATCTGTAACGTCCGACATAAAAACGGTAAAAAGCAAACAATGAAACCAGGTTCTAACAAGCCCATCTCAATATATTCGACGGCCCATTGTTTAAACAAGAATTTACTTGAGAGGAAGAAAAATAATCTGTGAAAGCCACGTGTCACAATGTGCACAAGCAGTGGGACCGGGTGTTACTGGGAAGACGAGGGAAACGTGGCCAACAATTTGACCGGAAAACCACGAATTTGTCGAAGCTTTTGCTCTGATTAGGTTTGCTATATATGGCGCGAAAACTCAATTCGATTATTATTTTCGAGGAAAAGCTTTTGTCGACGAAATGAGGCCTTCTTCATCTTCCTCGTCTGCTTCTCGTTCGTTTACGCTCTCCTCGGTGACAGTGGCGGTGGATAAGGCCACGAGCGAGCTTCTGCTCACTCCTGATTGGACGGTGACCATCGCAATCTGCGATTCCGTCAATTCTAATCGATGGTAATATAATATTGTTTTCAATTTATTTGGAAGAATGTTAAAGGAAGAAATGATTGAAATATTTTGGCAGGCAATGCAAAGACGCGATCAAAGCTGTCAAGAGAAGATTGCAGCACAAGAGCTCTAAAGTCCAATTACTCACTCTAACGGTAAATACACTTGTCTTAATTAATCGATGATTATATATGAAACCTTCTCCCTCGTCGGCTGGAATATATAATAATACATAATGCATTTTTCAATATATATATATATATATATATATATATATATATATATATATATAGTTGTTGGAGGCGATGCTCAAAAACTGTGGGGACTTTGTGCATTCTCATATTGCGGAGAAACATGTGCTTGAAGATATGGTTAAAATTGTGAGGAAGAAGGTGACATTACATTCCTACCTACTAGTCTTGTTAACTTTTTAAAAATAATAATGTTGAAGCGAGTGTTTTGTTGTGTTGTGTCGAATCTGATGTGTGAAAAGGGAAGTGATTATGAAGTAAGGAACAAAATATTGATATTGTTGGATACTTGGAATGAAGCATTCAGTGGAGTTGCTCGCCAATACCCTCATTACAACTGGGCTTACCAAGAGCTTATCGTAAGTTAACCATTCTTTTTTCAGCTCTAATACTTTGTTTTATCACTGATATTGACGACTTGATGAGACTTTCTGTTTATAAGCATCTCATTCCATCTTCTTTTTCCAATTGGCAGCGTTGTGGGGTGAAGTTCCCACAACGTTCAAAAGAAGCACCATTGATGCTTGCCCCTCCTCCGTCATCTTCATCTTCTTCTTCTTCTTCTTCTTTGAATTTTATGTCCATCGGTTCAACCAAAAGGCTCGACGAGACAATGGCCACTGAAATTGAGAGTCTAAGGTAACAACACTAAGCTGTGTCTTGTCTCTATCCTTGCTCTTCCTTAACAAGCAACCTATCTCCCTTTGTTCACTCTTGTTGTTTGTTTCAGTTTATCAGGTCTTGAATCCATGAGAAATGTGATGGATCTCGTCAACGACATGGTTCAAGCCCTTAACCCCTCTGATAAATCAGTATGTGTCGTCTGTGGAATCACTCCCTTTTTGTAATAACCTAAGTAATTTGATCAGCTCTCGATATCATAAAACAAAACAAAAAGCTAAATAGTTTGGTATTTGACCTTTGACAGGCATTAAAAGATGAGCTAATAGCTGATCTAGTAGAGCAGTGCAGATCTAATCAGAAGAAACTCATCCAGATGCTCACAACTACTGCGTCTGTCCCACTCTCGACCTTCCTTCATATAATAGGCTCTAGCTTTACCTATTGCAATAATCCCTTTCTTTGGTTTTGGCAGGGACGAGGATGTTATGGCACGTGGGCTCGAGCTGAATGACTCTTTGCAGGTAGTGCTGGCGAGGCACGATGCCATTGCCTCTGGTGTCTCTCTTCCGTTGTTGCAGGCCCCAGAAACAAGCTCTGCTGCTGCTGCTCTTGCCTCTGACTCTGACTCTTCTTCATCTTCGAGCAGTGAAAGTGAAACAGATGAGAGCGACCAACTTCATTATGACTTTATGCAGTTAGCCAAAAGGTTCTTTTTTAGTCATTCACTCACAGACTCCAATACAACTAGTATTTATCGAATTGCTGAGTCACAAAAGAAACATTGTATATGTATTTGCAGGCACACTCTGTTAAATGCCGAAAACAGCGATGAAGAAGAAGAAACATTGCTTCTAGGGAACAACAAGGAAAAGGCAGCAGAAACAGAAGCCAAGACGCAGTGCAAAGATATAGCTTTAATCGACACAGCGACCACCAAGTCAGAGCAGGACATTATTGACCTTCTAAGCCTAACTCTGTCCACAACAGCAGATCTGCCCTCTTCCCAAACTCAAACTCAAACGCAAACGGAGCCTCTATCAAACATGGATCACAACACATCGTTTTTCGGCGAAGATCATATTCTTATGAACAGCTATGTTGTCCCCTGGGCACAATCTCAGGCAGAAGCGCAAGTCCCAACAATGGCTCAGTTTGGTCCATCGATACCTCAGTTTCAGCAGCAGCAGCAGTTTCCTTACGGTTATCCTCAGACACAATGGAGCGGTGGTCAAGCAAACAGTAATGAGAGAACAACATATTGGGGCCAAGGAGGCAGTGAGAATAAGGTGATTGAGAGAAACTTACAATACTCAAACTCCTTCCCGGCGAGAGTGGCTGGGCCATCCGCTGCTGGTGTTGCTGCGGTGGATGGGCAGCCGCAGACGTCGTACGTTCCTCCATACAAACTGTTTGAAGAGCTCAACGTCTTCTGGAACGCAGATGGAGGCGTTAGGAGTAGCAAATGACCACTCTTGTTGTATGTAACTTGAATAATTCTGTCATATAAAGGGGTGAGGGCAGAAATCTCTAGAATTAGAAAGTAATAATACAAATAATTGTTAAAGACTTGTTAGAGAGCTGCTAACAATTATTACTTGGGTCATTTTATTTACACAAAGACGAATAAGGCACCCACAGAAACACACACACACTCACTAATGATCTTTATCTATTTACAAAGCATTTACAATGGAGAGCCACAGATTTATTTGGCAAAGCCTCCTCAGTTAGTGTTTGCTTGCGGCAGCTTCAGCTTCTCATCGGAGGCTAATTAATCATTAATTTCCAGTGAATTCACTTTTGTCTTCTTGTGCTTATCTTGGCGGTTGTGTGTTGTATAAGGAGACAAAAGAGCCAGCAGCAGCCCCGGCGGCTAGCAAGACCTGGTAAGGGTGAAAGGCGAGGCAGCTGACTGGGCCAATCTTTTGGGCCATGAAGGAAGTGTGATACTTTATGACCCCAAGCCGTTCTCCCTCGAGGTTGTACACTTTTATTAGCTCTTTTCCTGACCCGCTCGCTATCACTGGAGCGTGTCTGTGCACACCCAACGCTGTCAGTGATCCTCTGTGCGCGTCTATACTCCGGTATGTCTCCTTTCTTCTTCTCAGATCCAGAAACTGGATGTCACCTGCTTGCGATGCACTCACTATCTGGTGGATTCACACACATCAAACAATTCATTCACATGAGCAACGCTGTCAGTTGTACACTTTATCTGCTGAGAATCAAGAGATTGGTTGGGTATGTGTAACCTTTGCCGGATCCAGTCCAGGCTGAAAGCTGAGTCCAACTACTTTTTCTACTTTCTTATGAGGCCGGGTTGCGCACACCAGCCTATACATTGGACAAGTGACATTTCTTCAAGTCTTTAACTAATCATCATCTCTACTACTCTTTGAAAGCACACTTGATATCGAAAGATGGCAACGAAACATAGCTCTGTAGTTTAACTTACCACTCAGGCGTCCGAACATCATAGAGTCTTACCGATCCATCTGCAAAACCAGCTGCCAGTTGGCCCCCATGCACTTGAGAAGCCGACTGCAAATACCAAACACCACACACACACAAAAAGACTCACCAAGCCATCCTGTCTTCATATATAAAGACCTAGAAAGTTTCTATCTTGTAACATATATACAGGTTTGAAAATGATATCTTACCAGGGCTGTGACGCTGCACTCTGATTCAGAGGACGCAGATTTGATGAGTCTTTCTTTCTCCAGGTCCCAAACCATGATCGATGACAATTCCCCAGAAGCATACTGTAAACACCAGTATTGCGTCAAATACAAAGTAAACCAGGTTATATAACTCCAAACATTGCATGTTGTGAATGGAGTCTCCATATACCAGGTAACCTGACTGCTGTTGCCAGTCCACCACAGCATTCAAGCCACGTGCACCGGGCTTGTGACCCTGGATTGAACTAAACCCTGTAACTTGCCTTTGTCTACCCTTTGTTGCGTAGTCTTTCCATATACGCACCAACCCATCGCCTACACAACATTTCAGAGCCACCAGTAAGAACTTTTAAACAGGTAAAAACAATCAATAACTAAAACGTGAAGATACTCGGGCAAGAGTTTTGAACATTACATGAAGCAACAAGTAGCAGAGAGTCATCAAGTTCATTGACAAGGCAGAGCTTTGAAACTCCTTTGTCAGGAAACTCATGATTGTCAAAGCCATTAAGAAGAGTTGCTTCCTCGTAATTCCACACCCTGACATGGAAGACATCTAAACTTACAGTCGAGCAGAGGAAATTAAGTCCAAGAGTAGTTCCTAGATGAAACGATTGAGTGGAAGAACAATCTTAAGGTGACGCATTTTATAAATGATGGTACTATATACTATATAGACAGATATGATCTGACATATCAGTCGTTTAAAACTGGATATTTTAACAACCTTGGTGCACCTAAGAACCTGGTGTAGGCGATTTGATTGTATTTAGCCTTACAGAGGCCAACACCAATACAGAGTTTTGATTTGAAGTGCAAATTTTAGCTAGGCCATGAAATTTTTTGCATACCTGATTCTTTCATTCCCATCGGCAGCAACTACAATAGGAGAAAAAGGGTGAAAGAGGGCCGTCTTTGTTCCCATTTCAAACTTTGTATCCCAATTAGCAACGGGAATATTGTTGAGTCCACTACTTGCTGGTTGAGGAGAAAAAAAGTTGCGACAGAGTTTAAGTAACTAGTGTAGATATATAACACGACAGAAAAATACTTAGAAAAAAAATTACTTACATGAATGCTGACATTTTGCAATATGGTCAAACGCCAGTTTTTCTTTCTCTTCTCTGTGGGCTGCTGTCTCTTCATTAGCATCTGTTCCGCCAAGAAGAGGTTTAGAAAAGTGACCACAGCTCCAACTGTATATAGTTGATTGGGGAAGCAAACTCCGTTCAGATCCGTTTACGCTTAAAAGAGGATCAGCCGATCCAGAGTCTAGAGATCCCAGCAGATGAGGCCGGAGCTCTAGTGAACTAACTCTTCTCAGTCCAGGTAAATAGCTTGTTTGAGGAGGGCTTACCGGAGGAGTCCTAAATGTTAACGGTAGATGACCTGTCAACAATAATTTCATGGTTAAATAACTTATAATGAGCAACAGTAACTTCAAAAGCATCAAATGATGATTTAAAAACACTGCACTGATATGCTACCTGTATGCATATCAAACCATGAGGATGAACGAGTTAAACCAGCCAGAGGAGTGTGAGATGCTGGTGCTGCTTCACCTGGTCGGCCACTGGACTTGGAGGGTCTCGCGAATACTTGTTCAATCCCAATAATAGATAGCACACGCCGCCCAAGGCTTGCAATATGTGGAGATGGATCTTTAGCTAATGTAAACATAGCTTGAACACACTGCGAATAGGTACCACTGTCCAGTGGTCTTGGCTTATCGACAATTCCATTGCTGAGACCATCATGCATGATTCCAGAATCAGAATGCAAGGAACAATCATCCGATAATGGAGATCCATGCATTGGCGCGGAAGAAGAACCATGAGGGCTGCTTGAAATCCTTCCTTCACGAGTCACTGGTTGACTATCAGTGCTAGCTCTAGCCAAAGAACCCATGTCTGAAGAAACAATAGTTGAAGTCCCAGTATCGTGAAACTTAGCCATTGAAGGGAATGAAGTTCGCAGAGAATTTGTCTGGGACTTCCAGTATGAAGCTGCAACTGGCTTTAGATGCTGTTTATGTCCAAAGGCAAGCCGCGCAAGAGCTGTGTGAGACAACAACATATGTTAAGTGTATTGAGTGTATTCAGGAGATACAAATCCAAGCATTCTTTTCAAGCTGTCTAAACGGAGGACAATATATTTATCAATATGAGCTAAGATAGACCCTAAAGATCTTATACTAGACTATAAAATAATTCCCGTTAAGTTTTTTTCCTGTGAACATAATGACACTTGATGCAAATGAAGAAGCTCTAGTCCCACAATAATGCATGATCAAAAGTTACATGCATTGCATACCTACAGCAACCTCTGCTCGGACAAGCGGGCTCCCATCTGAAACTACATCTAAAAGACTTTTTATGATAATATCTTCAACTATAATCTTTTCATCATTGTCAAATTCTTCATCACCAACACCTTTACCAGAGTCAAACCCAACATCAAGTAAGGTACCAAGGGAAAAAACAGCAGCAGCCCTGACCTGCAAGAGAATGGTGTGACCCACAATTAGACAGCTATTTCAAAGAAAAACAAAAAAAAATACTCGCATTTGATAAGATAGCTAAGCTTCACGTAAAACACCACCTCTGGTTGGGCCTCAGAAAGCAGAGGTATCAGCTTTTCAGAAGCATTTGCCTCCCTACCCTTTATCTGGGCCTCCAAAAAGTCCTCCCACAACTTTCCAAGACAAAGGCAAAGCCACTGTAGAAACAAAGGTTCTGGTGGTTGATCACATAGCTGTGGTGCTTCGAGGTGCCCCAGACAAACACCAATTAAATCAGCTTTAAGACATAATTCTTGGCCCCCTTTGTAGCCATCGACAATAACAGACAAAACAAACGCAGCCATAGCACGTTGTTCTGGGAATGCACCAGGGCTATCTAAGAAACTGATGAAATATTTGTGGCCCCCGTCCTTAACCAGCTCAACTTGACATGACTAAAAACAACGAGATCCCTCAAAACGTTAGGAAAAATCATAGAAATGATTAAAGGGGTATACAAAACCCTTTAAATATTGTTGGATAACCAATATAAGTAACATGTCTCAATGTCCACGAATAGGAAGCAAGATGCACACAGAAATGGTAGTCACCATTTTACGGCATCCAGTATTTACTTAGGAACAATTCTATGAACAAACATTTATTTATCGTGATGCTCAATAACGGAGGCACGTTAATTATACAGCCACAAATGGAACTAGCAGAGGTAATACTAGAAACTAACAAACAGCAGATACATAAGCAACTGCTCATTAAACACCAAACGAGTACCTTATCAAGTGCTAGAATCTTTGTCCATATGAAAACAAGAATCTGCCGTAGCTCAATAGTTGTTGTTTGCAGCAGCATCACTACGTAAGGAAATATTCCAACGGATAAGGCCTAAAAAAATGTTTACTTCAAGTAAGGACATACACACAAAATAACACAGGAGAAACAATGTCTCAAAACAAGGGAAAAACAGGAGTTCAAGGCACTAGAGGTACCAGATCCACAGCCCAAGGACCCATATCAAGAAATCTTCCAAGAAGTACAAGAGCACGAAACCGATGGCACTGGCTACGTAAGACCTGGAACGAACCAGATTCCAGGTAAGCTAAGTTAGTAAGATATAAATATAAATATGATAACGCAACAGTGTAGATAACTAAAAAAGTAGATATGGATCTAATCTCATGTCGATTTTAAGGTTCAGGATGCACCTGAAGAACAATAGGCAACTGCTCAGGTGGCTTCTTATGCTCTGATCCATGATCAAGCCAGACCTCAAACGCTGTAAGTTGCTCCGTGAAAAATGGGCTTGGCTAGAGAAAGGAGAGTAACAAGATTTATCAACAAGATAGACGTCATACTGTATTATAGAAATACAAGGAAATAATAGACAAGACAGACCTGAAACTCCGCATTTGGGTCCAGAAAAAGTTGAGGAAGCTGAGAAAGGCAGATTTCAGCAGCCATGTCCCATGCATCCCTGGAAAACAGCAGCAGTTAGCTGCGGTAAAGAGCTCACACATATAATTTATCAAACTCCAAATTAGGGACAGTGTCCAATACCACATATGATGCTGATGCGTAGGAGGTAGCATAGGGTGGGATATTGGGGTACAATTCCCCGAACGCATTATCCTCTCCGCAAGTAAGAAGTTTCGGAAAAGGCTAGCCACCAACAAGTCCTGTCTGAATAATCTCTGGAAAAGCTCTGTGGGGTAAAACTAACATCATGAGGAATCGAGAAAAACAAACAAGAAGTCAAACTTGAGAGTTTGGCCTAGCTAAAAATTTGTTGTCAACAGTTTCGCCTTGAAAGTTTGGGAAGTACCGCGAGGAAGCACATTCCAGGCAATGGTGTCCGTGACTGCAGTGAAGATCCAGTTTAACTCTCCTAACAAGGTTTTACGGTCATTTTGGCGGCCCGGAATTCTATCGATAAGTGATTCATCTATAATTTCCTTCAGAAGAGAACGTCTGCAGAACCTGCAAAGAAAAGACTCTATGAAAGCTGAAAGCCAAATTCAGCTGCACAGATCCTGCGAAAGGCAGTAACGTGGATAATAGGAAATGTACAAAAGAAACAGAGGCTACAAGTAAAGGAGCGCATTACAATTAAGTAGCATAGAAGGAGAAGGCTATCAATAGAACAGTAAGATGGCGCTATCAGTTTCACCAGATACTTAGCAACAGGCAATATCAAAAGTTAAGATTCAAAAAAATTATGACGAACCATATGTAAGCCAAATTTCCCTATCCAAACTAGTACGACAGCTGATAATAACCACATATCCTGACATTTTCAACTTTGGGGAAACTGCTGCATTAGTCACCCTTCAAAATAAAAAACATGTGCATACGGTATTCTAGCCAACAGATTTTCAATCAAGCATATCTGCACATGGGAACTAAAATAAAACCAGGTTGATAAAGTAACCCCACGTTTCAGAGAGAATAAATGGGACATCCAGTTACTTGAAACAAGCAGAGATGAATAGAGAAATTTACCATTTCAATGCCATTGTAATAGGTGTTGTGAGGCAAGAAGTAAAAACGTCAGCTGGAAATTCAACACTCTGAGGAAGAGTCTCATGTACATCGCAAGCAGCTAGTAGAATGCAGTCTTTCAAGGGTCCAGAAGAGTCAGAAGATCCCCAACCATGAAGCTAGGTTGGAAGTAAAACAATTTGATCATCTTACGAAACGTCAATTGTAAAACAAAGTCCTATCAAGAGGGATCCATATGATTAGAGTGGCGTGATTGTAAATTTACCTCTGCGAAGGCATTAAGAATCAGCCGAGCAGCAGAGCAGTCAAAAACGTAAATGGAGGGTGTCTTCAACCAGGAATCAAGCTCGCTGACTGGCAAGGGAATGTACTGCGTGAAGTTCTGCTCAGACGAGACGAGATGAATAGGTGCCTTAGAACAGACAGAAAAAGAAGGAACAAGGAGGAGAGTGGAAAGAAAGCAAAGAAAAACTCGCCTTATTGAAAACCCAGATTTCACCGTTAGGAGTAGGTTTGGGGACACCATGGCCATTGTAATGAAACAAAACTCTCTCAGTCCTTGCATTTTTGCGGCAAGACAAGCACAGCTTCCTCACATGGTCCTTGGTAGGGTCCAATTCCACCTTATAACGAGCCTGATGAAGAGGAAGCAAACTCAACAAAGCAAACAAGGGAAGGTGCTGGAATGGAAGCGCATTACCTTTGGCAGCCATCTCTCGTACTGAGTGCTCAGGTTGTGGCCAATTGTCTGGAGAGCTCTTGAGGGAGACATGGAAAATGGATCTAAGGGAGACATGATTGCGGAAAATCAGGATTCGATTCGATTCGATTGGGATAAGATGATAAGATATAGAGTAGGATTGTGAAAGAAGGACCTATCCAGGATTCGATTCTGGCGCATGGAGATATCTTAATGACATCCGGGGGATCAACACTGATGTTCAAACACAGAACTAGCGCTACACATCCTGTTTTCATCTGGAGACGAAACATTGGAGACTATAAGATATTGGAACTAGTGGAAAGAGAAGTAATCAAGGCAGACAGGTTGGTTGATTAGTGATGGTTGATGATTTAGAGATGAAATTTACTCGCTCTTTAAGGCGCCATCTAGGGGCTGGGACGATATCGGAAGCGGAAGCAGCCGCGTGGTGTCTTAGCTCGCAGAGCACGAGAGTCTGAGGCAAGTAGGCCATGCTCGTGGCGGTGACATTTGCATAGCTACTGGTAGCGACCTCGTCAATCCTCGGCGAGGCGATGATGGACATACGGCTATCATCGTGACTGGAGGCGGAGGAGCAGTCGTCGTGATTGGAAACCACTGTAACGGAAGACTGAGAGACCCTTGAGACCATCAATTCCCCTAATGCCATCCGAATCGCCGGAGAAATCAAATGCTCATATGCCTAGCTTATTCTTTTTGCTGAAATTGAAAGCAATCAACAAAGCCACTGCACCAACGACGGAGAAGAGGAAGCGGAAACCCTATGCTATGAACTCGGTGGTGGCTGCACAAAGAGAAAGTGAGTCATATGTGTTGCGTTTTCTTCCCCCTTCTCCCTCTCTTTCTCCTCTCTTGTCTTCCCCCACCTGGATTTTACCGATTCTTTTTATTTATTTTGTTTTACGGTAATAACTAAAAAACATATCCTCACAGTCACCGAGTCACAGTTGTATATATTACCAAAATGAAAGCATATGTGATGAGAAGAGATTAACTACCTATAAATTATTCAATGATTTCTTTCCATCTTACTAGATTTATGCTAACCATTGAGTCAATTTTAACAAATAAACAAAATTAGCTAGAAATGCCAAAGTTGATAGAAACAATAATAAAAACAGAAATGCCTCCTATAAGTAAGGTTGACACGTCCGGTTGGTAGCTTGGAGTCATTGAGTAGAGACTTAAAGCCATGGAAGGATGATGATCCGAGATTCTCCGCCAAATATCAAAACATGTCCAGATTCTAATTTCACATGGTCAGCTTTTTACTTTCCATAGGAGAACTCTGTAGAATCCCCAATGGAGAAGGACACAATCGGCAAGCCTTTTCCTATGCTCTCTTGGCTTTCGTCACGGTTATACAAAGACGAAAGCGCATTCATTAGTGTTTTGACAAGAGTGAGACTGAGAAGAAGCCTTCAAGAGCACACCTGATGGAGACCAAGTCTTGCAGTTGACTATCCAAAATTGTGTGGTGACATGACTGGAACTGGAAGTATATATGCTCTGTTCCTGATTATGAGTATTGAGAGAATGTACTTCCCGGATCGACACGAAATGCATCTGTTATTTTGTGCGGTTTACAATCTATTCCAAAGCACATCATTGTTGGAACCAACCAATCCATTGGGCTTTCCGGCAAAGCAATGGTTCAGATGAACATACTCACTACTCCGTCAGGGCCTTGCTAGTTTTATAAATCCTACATTAAAATCAGCCACACTGGGTAAAACGATCACTCACGTGCTTATTTGGAGTCAGTGAGGAAGAGAAGAACCCATTATCTTCGGTCGCCGAAGAAGATCACAGCCCAAGGAGGAAGTGGGTGTGGATGTCGATGTGGTGGCGGGAGTAAAGAGAAAACGAGCGAATTGGAGAGGGAGAGTTCATGATATACTCTGTTTATTGTATCAAGAACGACGACACTCGCATCATTTTAGATTATGAGTGGAACAATGTAGGTTGGCTTGGCTGTCCCACGGCTAATTCCAATTTATACAGTTTTAATTACGTGGGCCCATGGTCTCGTTGTTTCGATAGCAAGGGCCTTCCGTATTAACTTGTGGGATGGAAGGGAGTTGTCTACACGCATGCTAGACGAGTGCGAAACACGCTCCAATTGCAGCGACCGACATCTTATGATGACTTCCTAACTCTAGGATTGTGTACAATTTTTGTGTTGTGTATAAGAAGTTTTAAGAACAAAAACTTAGTTTTAGCTCTAAGAACAGATTATGTCGAAAGTACATATGTGTGTGTGTGTATATTTTTCTTTTAAAATGTCGAATGATTATGTGACTTCTTCTTCCTCTTTTCTCTTTTATTTGGTTAAAAATAATTATGTTAGATTGATTGTAGAATACTAATCACAATCGAAAGAAACCAAATCAATGAAGAAAAAAAAACCACCAAACCCCATTGCATGCGTTGGCTTTGCTTGGAAGACAGCTAAAAATCTCACGATACACGGAACCATTTAAAGATTTGCACATTGACAAAACACTATGACAAAGTTTCCAACATGCACAAAACCCAATGAAATGTGACACTTAAATACTACTATAATCAATCGTCTGATCAATTATACTACGTGACTCATGTAACTTTTCATTCCCTTACGTACTAAACAAAAGAAGAAAAAAAAAAAAAAAAAAGAAAAGATACGAAATGAAAAGGCATGATACTGTTTGGTGCTTTGTCTATATTATCTCATTACCGACACGGTTGATTAAATATATGAATAATACAACGATGGAATGCAAATACATAGGAGAAAGGGAAGAAAAAAACATATAATAATGTCCACGTTTTATTTTCCAATGTTTATAGTGAAATTACCAGATGAAACATCTGCGACTTCCGAAGCAAGAGGTGGACTGTGATCGGCGAATGGGGTAGTCAATAGAAGTAGCAGAAGAGTCAAAGGATGAAAATCTTCGCATGACCTTCCTTTTTGTCTGAAACTTGAACAGATGGTACTCATTGTCATCGATGAGCACCCTCTCCGACACAGACGGTGACGAAGCCGACAGTTTCTTGACCTTGTTATTATTATGACCACCTGATGATAACCAGAAGAGCATGGTGGGGATTAGTGCGAGTAACTTCTTGATGGGTTTCTTTGAACCACGTCGGATTTGGTCGCCGGAGAAGGAGAAATGAGACGGCGGAGGAGTGAGAGGCGGTAGCGGAGGCAGATCGGAGGAGGGGTGCTTCGGAGTGCCTGGGTGAGACTCCCATTCAAAAGGGATGGAACCGGCGGCTCCGTCGTAGTAGTAAATTCTAAAGGAAGGACAAGCCGTTGCCGGCGAGGAGAAGCGTTGCTTGGCCGACGGTAGCTTGTCGGAGAAGGTGGATGCGTCTTGCTTTCTCAGTGACATTATGTCTTGGAAGAGTGTGTGAGAAGAGAGAAAGACTGAGAGAGAGAGAGATCTGTGCATATATGACATATGGAATCTATCAGGTATATATGGTGCCTGGTGTCCTTGGTACATTTTTTACTTTTGACTTTGTGAGCTTATGTGTTTCACTATTTGGTGTGTAATGATTTATGGAAAAACAAAATGTGAAAATAAATTAGTGAGAAAAACACATCTTCCATGTCACTCAGTAATCACTTACTCGCGAGACTAACTCAGTTCTGGTGGTTGATATGTTTACCCCACAACCACAAGTCAAAAACAGTACTAGAAAATCTTTTGTATTTTTCAAAATTCCAGACGTCGTTCTAGGCTTATAATCTTATCGTTTGTTAGACACACCCAAACATGTAAAAACCAATATTTAAATTGTACCACATGTATTGATGTAAACAAGAATCACGATTGATTGGTCGATAAGAACGCTTAAAACCTAGCTAAATGCCTAAATCGGGGATAAATGTACATAACTTATAAACAAAACAAGCGCCCACCGGTTGATTTAATAAAAAAGGAAGCTGTGGTTATTGGAGAAGCATTGATTAGTGGAGTTAGAGTAGGGCCATATATATAGATGAAAACAAATATGAAATGAATAAATTAGAGTCTTGTAAATAGATTAAATGAGGCACGACCCATGCATCATACATGTGCTCCACATACCACCTCGCATTGCTTTCCTCAATACTGATTCACCTCATAGTCGCTGGTCCATTCTCATTGCATTAATTTCTTTCAGTGTCATGCCCCCCTCTACTTACAATATACACATTCTGGTCATTACTATTATACTTTGCTTCAACATCGTCCAAAAAACAAAAATATCATAACAACAACATCATTATTACATATGATGAGGATTATAAAAGAAAAGTTCAAAAACTTATATGCTCTCTCGCTCGGTTGATGTTAACAGATACATTGAATATGTTGGTGCTTAAATACGCGCGAATAAACAAAACTTAAGGTTAAGATACGTATTTGAAGAAGCTCGTAGTCAAAACATGTTTTTGGTTAGAAATGTCAAACGCAGCAGCAAGAACAATGGAACCGTAATTAATGAAGATAAGGTTCCATTACAGGTTTGTCACCAAAAATAAAGATTAACCAAGTATTGATGAGGTTATAAAAGAAAAAGTTTGCTGTCCGTTAACAGCAGAAGAGCTGGAAAAAAAATGTAGTACTAAAACAGGTTTAAGTGCTAAGATAGTAATCATTTTAATCAAGGGATAATTATAGTTGCGTGAACATATAATTTTTTTAAAACGATCAATCATATAAGAATTCTGTTACGAATTGCTTTTTGAATATACAAATATAAATATCTATCTATATCGTCTAGGAGAAGACTAGAGACAAAAGAAAAAAAAAAGAAAGAGTCACCATTAATTAGGGGCATGCAGCATAATCGAAGACCGATCTCGATCGGGTGCTTGAATCAGATCCCTGCCAAATTCATCGTAGGCCGTGTAAGCTTTTTTTTTTATGGTTTTTGTCCTTAGCCAACTCGATTCCAATATGTCTGATTAAGAAACCTGCGATCTGTTTTAACGAATACCTGAATCGGATCTGACCTTTTTTGTTGAGAAAATGAGTAACGGGCTGATTCAGAAGTCGAAATTGGATCCCCAAAACTTGTAGATTGACTTGAAACTATTGTTGTGATGAAATAGTTTGTCGGCACCATGGGCGGGAAATTGGGAGTGATAGTCCTCGTCTTCTTCTTCTTGGGGTTGACATGGTCTTGTGATGCTAGAAACCCGATTCTGGTCGAACCCTCCGGTAAGATTAATATTGACATGAATCCTTCTTTCGCAGCTTAATCAACGTTTTAACTATTCGATCTGATTATGAATCAATTCAAGGGCAGAGGAAGTTATTAAATATAATCTGTTAGGGAATGCAATGAATGAATGATTGTGTAAACGTTTTGGCAGAATCAGGAGGTCAAGTTTGTGAACTGTGTGTTAAGTATGCAACGCTGGCCATCGAATACCTTCGAGATGACGACAACCAGAAGGCATTGGTGGAGGCGCTTCACGTGAGCTGCTCTCAGATTCCTCCTTTGCAAAAAGAGTGTCTTTCGATGGTAGATCACTATACCCAACTTTTCTTCGCACAAGTCTCCGTTATCAGGTCAGACCAAATCTGCACAAGGCTTAGTCTCTGTCAAACAGTGAAGGGCGCACTTGCTGCTTCACAAGGAAACTGCGAGGCCTGCCGCGAGACAGTCTCGGAGCTTGCCACCCAGCTCAAGGATCCTGAGACTAAGGTTTGAGAGATATTGCTGGCTTCGCATCTTATATATGTATACCCAAAACTAGGCTTTGATAAGACTTGTTTTGCTTTGCAGCTGAAGATAATTCGCTTACTTCTCAATGAATGCAAGTCGCTTAACAATTACCAGGACAAGGTAGGCGGCACTCGCTTACCTAATCACCAAATAATCATCAATGCGTGGCCCAATACATACATAATCAATCTCTTATAATGTGTGTTTATGGAATGTAAACAGTGCAAGAAGATGGTGTTCGAGTACGGGCCTGTGATGCTTGTGAATTTGGACAAGTTTCTCGCAAAGAATGATGTCTGCACTCTCCTTCACGTCTGTCCAGCTCCAAGTCCATTCACCACCCACCTCCTTCCCTTCCTCGAGACTACTCTCGCTGATTCCTAAACCTATTATGTGTGTTTTCCTCATTCACACACAGATTGCCATCTATATATGGTTGGTAATGGATGGATATTCATGTAAATATTGTCTCATATAACAACAACGACAACATTCCTCAAACCTGCAACCTTTTCCATCTTGTGTGTTAGTTTTTTGAGAAACCTTCTTCTTATTGGGCTTTACATCCGTTTTGGCCCACTCTACTTAAATACCCTTGTTCAATTGTTTCGCTTTTCATCCCTTCTCTTTCATTTTTCTAATCGCACCAACGTAACGCTTTGTTCCTCAAAAAAAAAAGGGGGAGGGAAATTTCGTTTTGGCTACGAAAAGATTAATGATAACGTATTGTATTGTTTCAGTTTTGAAAAGGTCTCATTTCAATTCATTGGTTCGAGTTAACAAAAAAGTAGGCGCCAAGCTGTTTTTCTGTTTCAGCTATGGTCCCCACAAACGAATAAATGTCTGACACGTGTGACGACAAACGGAGCAAGTTGACGCCCTGTCAACGTATCTCTAAAGCTATTATTGGTGGATATTCTCGCTCACGTGTCACCAAGTCACTGGTAGATATCCACTTGAGGAATCTTCGTTACCTAGTTAAACTTGTCTATCTTTTTTTACCGTATGTGTGTGATTCATGAACCGAAAACGATTTCTAGCATTTTCTATTCAAAAATCTTTGTTTACCTAATACAGTACAAATGTAATGATATCAAAATTGAATTCAATATCGTGTTCTAAAATGGAACACTTAATCGCAAAATCAAATTATTGAAAATGATGTAGTTAGTTACGTGACATAACCGAGGAAAACTTCAACGCATGTCCATGATCTCCTTAAGCAAGAAATTAAAACAAATTTAACCCAAAAATAAAATAAAAGAAATGAAAAAAAGAAGTAGAAGAAGTGATAACTTTTTTTTTAATGTAACCACTTGATTACAAACTAAAAACTAATGAAAGCCATAACCAATAAGGCAATAAGCAATTTGCATGCACCGATAGAAGACAAAAATGGTTAGCGAAACGGCCAAAGAAACAACAGGTTGGCTGTTTGGATTAAATTAGAAAATTCCGAGAAAGGCAATTTCGCAATTAAAATCAAAATGCCTTTAACCGGCGTTAAAAGGGTTTCTTCACTTTCGCAGCTTTTGCAATTTGCATTTTTGCATACCCTTCTCTCTCTCTCTCTCTCTCTCTCTCTCCAGTCCCGTTTCGCTTCATTGTTCTTAAGGTAATCCTTCCTCTTCCTACTACATGTCTTGGTTGTTTTTGTTTTGTGTGTTAACTAAATCTGAATATCGTTGGAAATTTGCGTCCTTGGTTTTGTTATTTGGATGCGATTTAGCTTTCTGCTATTGGATCTATGTTGGTTGCTGCTCGTATTCTACGAATAAACCAATCTAGATACAGTAGCTGTGTGATGGAGAAACAAAATCTCTTGGTTTGATGATTTCGTGTCTAGGATAGGGATAGGTCGATTGATTTAGATCTCGTCCCTGAAATCTGTTTACACGTAAATCGCTTCGCAAAATAGAAGCGATTCCATATGATTGAAATGAATCCAAGTAACTCACCTTGCTGGGTTGATTGAATTGTCTTTTGTATTGATGAATAAATTGCTCTTGTTGCAGGGAATGCAGAAACATGTATTTGAAAGCTGAACACAAGTGCTCTCCATCTTCATCTTCAGAGGTCCCTTCTCCCTCTGGGCCCTTGTTGTCGTTGCTCCTCCCTCATGAGACCTCGTTTCTGTCTCTGACCTCTGCCATTCATCCCTGCTTCCACACCTTCCAGCCTTCATCTTCTCTGAATGTTCGAAAAAAGAAGCATGATCTCTGCGAAGACGGTTGATCCTCTTCTTGCTGCTTGACTCCTCCTCGTCCTTATTAGTATATCTCTTTAGTTAGCGTCTAGCGTGTTGACCTTAATATGGAGAAGAAAGGGAGTGTGCTGATGCTCCGTTACGAGGTCGGCAAGTTGCTTGGCCAGGGTACCTTTGCAAAGGTCTACCATGCCAGGAATCTCCAAAATGGTGACAGTGTAGCTGTCAAGGTCATCGACAAGGAAAGAGTCCTCAAAGTTGGCATGACCGAGCAGATCAAGCGAGAGATCTCTGTCATGCGGCTCTTGCGCCACCCCAACATTGTCGAGCTCCATGAGGTCATGGCCACCAAATCTAAAATCTACTTTGTCATGGAGCACGTCAAGGGCGGTGAGCTTTTCGACAAGGTCTCCTCTGGCAAGCTCAGAGAGGGCGTCGCCAGGAAGTACTTCCAACAGCTTGTGATCGCCGTTGACTACTGTCACAGCCGTGGAGTCTGCCACAGGGACCTCAAGCCTGAGAACCTCTTGCTGGACGAGCAAGGCAACCTAAAGGTCTCTGATTTTGGTCTCAGCGCTCTCGCCGACTCTACAAGGCAAGATGGGTTGCTGCACACCACGTGTGGGACCCCTGCGTATGTCGCACCGGAGGTGATAAGCAGGAGAGGGTATGATGGTTTCAAAGCCGATGTGTGGTCTTGTGGAGTCATCCTGTTCGTCTTGCTCGCTGGTTATCTCCCTTTCCGTGATTCCAACCTGATGGAGCTCTACAAGAAGATTGGCAAAGCCGAGTTCAAGTTCCCAAACTGGCTTGCTCCTGGGGCCAAGAGATTGCTCAAGAGGATCTTGGATCCTAACCCAAACACCAGGATATCCACTCACAAGATTATGCAGAGCTCCTGGTTCCGGAAAGGCCTTGAAGAGGAAAAGGACTCGCTTGACGCAGAGACAGACGCGGACGCTGAGGAAGCAGACTCAACTGCAGAGAAGGAGAAGAAACGGTGTATCAACCTGAACGCGTTTGAGATCATATCACTGTCGACGGGGTTTGACCTGTCGGGACTGTTCGAGAAAGGAGAAGAGAAAGAGGAAATGAGGTTTACGTCCAACAGAGAGGCATCTGAGATAACGGAGAAGCTGGTGGAGATTGGCAAGGAGCTCAAGATGAAAGTGAGGAGCAAGGAACAGGGATGGAGGGTGCTGATGGAAGCTAGAAAAGCGGCTGATGTTGTGGTGGTCGAAGCGGAGGTCTTTGAGATTGCGCCCAGCCTTCACATGGTGGTCATGAAGAAGGGCGGTGGAGATACGGCCGAGTATAAGAGAGTGCTCAAGGAGGGTATAAGGCCGGCTCTGACGGACATTGTTTTGGCTTGGCACTGACGCTTTTCTCTTTCTCTTTTCTTACCAAAGTGTTTAGTTTATATGTATTCATTCTTGAGTCTCATCTTAAGATGTGTTTCTTGTTTTTGAGGTCTAACAATATCGACTACCGAAGCACTTTATGAGAAGCAACAATTTATAACGTTTGTCAACCTGAACACATCAAAAAGTACATAAGAAGATCAGAAGAGTGATGAATCTTTTATCAATCAAAATCGTAATATTGCTTTTATAACCAAACAGAACTTTCTGAAACTTAAAATGAAATAGGCCCATTATATATAACCCATTTATGAAAGCCCAGTCTTTTATATTTTCTTTTTTTTTCACTTCTTATTATTAAAAACCAAAAAATCTAAATATGTTAGGTACGAAAACAAAACAAAGCTAAGCTTGAGCCAAAAAAAAAAACCAAAGCTAAGCATTTTTGTGCTTGTTGTGTTTTGTTCTTTTGCGGGGTTTACAAAGTTAAAAATGTGATATTTCAATAATTCAATTTACGCCACATAATTTGTTCGCCTCATTATGTATGTGTGAACTGTGAATAAGAGTGCTTAACATGATATGAGGTCATGAGGAAGAAACAGAATCCAATGGAAATATTAGTGTTCACACATATACAGTACAGACATGGTTTGGAAGATGTCTTCGATGGCTGGATGACTCTGATTGGCCCGATTCGAAAACAGAGATTAGAAGAGACAAGCTCATTGAATTTACGGGCTCCATTAGACAACGACCGGCCCACAATCGATTGTACACAATACATTTTGTTTTTCATTAGGTCAAATAGAAAAGACTTTAATCATTCGACTGGATTTATTTTCTAGGGATTTTGCCTAATCCGGTTCTTCTAGTGGGTCAATCCAATTGCATTGAAGGGATAACCAAGGAAATCAAACTTCCCAAGTTTTAGTCTAGCCATCTGATTATGACTACAAAGAAACTTGTAATTCCATCAATGAATTTGTTTGATTGGTTATGCTTTTGTGTCCGCTAGAGAATTTACGAGATAAGGCTATGTACTTTAACATTAGTGTTTATGTTTTCCTTTGTGGCCACATGTAATTAGCCGTACATATATAGCCACAAATAAATACGTAGTACGAAGAGATAAATGTAAGATGTGATTGTGTAAGTAAAATGGATAAACTAGAATTCGGAGCCTACAAATCATGGCAGGGAAAGTGATATGTCAATTTCACTAATTAGAAGTGTTAAAGTTGAATTATCGAATAATGGATTGATTTCAATTCAATGTGGATAGCATGAATAAGAAATTATTGACGATAATTATTGGTGTGTATACCACATGCGTTAGGATTAAATATAATCCACCAACTATATAAAATATTCAGAATGATGTGATAAGGACAACCTCTTGCTTATCAGAAAGGTGAATGTAGTCCAGTTAGTTCATGCCTCAAATCTGTGGACAGTTGGCTTTTACTCATTTGACATTTTACTTGCAAATATCGCACTGATTTTTGTTTTTTTGTATATAAAAAAAACGCTTCTAGAATTAGGTAGTTGTGTAACTTGTGTTTAGTGTTTACGATAATATAATACCAGAAAAGGCATCTAAACACACCGAACGATGAACTTAATATTTCCATGACGATAACTATGATTACATGAGAAGATTAAATTCGAAATATTTCCTGAATAGTTTTGTCAGATTTTCCGGGAAAAAAACAATTACAGATAACCCGGAATTTTATTTTTAGGTTGTTTTTTGTTTTTTTCTTCTTAGATAATTTTGACAGATACCTAAACCTACGGCGTCGTATATACGTCACGCAAAGAAGAAGAAGATTCTTCTTGGTTCTGATTCTGGTCTGTCCCTAAACCGGGTATCGTCTCTTCCGGTTTGTGCAGAATCTCCTCGAGGAAAGGCCTCACTGTATTTGACCATAAATCTCGTCCAGATGCACAGTCTCTCTGCCTCTTCCTCGCCTCGATCATCACCAGCTCGTCCGTTAGCTGGTTCATCTCTACCACCATTGCGAAATTATCATTCTGCCCTTCTATTTTCAGCCCCCACGATTCCTTTTTCGCCACCGTTAGATTCTCCGCCGCCGCCATCTCTTCTAGTTTCTCCACTACCCTCTCTGCCGTCCAAGCCGTCACGAACCGCTCCACTCGGTCGTACTTTCTGGCGTCGCCGAACAGACCGCAGAGATTGAAACCGGGAGATCCCGAAATGATGTCAAACGCGTTCATCCGCCTGACACCCATCTCGCCGTCGACATCGTTCGCCGGGAGTTTCATGTCGGAGTCCTCGAGGTGGAATTTGGACATTTTGTCGTCGTATCCCTGTTTGAACCACTGATCGTGGATGATCTCTTCGATTGTGATCCTCGACTGCGGATTCGTGTCGAGAAGCCGAGTGAGCAGCCGGCGGAGATCCGGCGACGTCCACTTGGGGATGCGAAATTCACCCTTGTAGATCTTGCGGTACATGACCATGAGATTGTGGTCGTTGAAGGGGAGATAGCCGGCGTTGAGGACAAAGAGTATGACTCCGCAGGACCAGACGTCGATTTGAGCACCATCGTAGCCTTTCTTCGCAAGGACCTCGGGCGCCACGTAGGCCGGCGTGCCACATAGGGTGTGAAGAAGACCGTCGGGTCGGATCTGATCGGTGAGGGCGCTGAGTCCGAAATCAGTGACTTTCAAATCGAGCTTGTCGTCGAGGAGGAGATTCTCGGGCTTGAGATCCCGGTGGAAGACGCCTCGGGAATGGCAGTAACCGACGGCGGAGATAAGCTGGTGGAAATAGCGACGGCTGAGATCCTCGCAAAACCTGCCCTTGGAGACCTTGGTGAAGAGCTCACCGCCTTTGGCGAATTCCATGACGAAGAAGATCTTAGATTTGGTGGCGAGGACCTCGAAGAGGCGCACGATAGAGGAGTGGCGCAGGCGGTGCATGATAGCGATCTCCCTCTTGATGTTGGCGTTGAGGCCTCCCTTCTGCAGCCGCTGCTTGCTCACCACTTTGATCGCAACGCTCTGTCCCGTCCGTGTGTCCCTTCCTCTGTACACTTTCGCGAACGCCCCGCATCCCACCAGCTTCCCCACCTCGTACTTTCCGAACAGCACTCCGGCGCTGCCACGGTGGTTCTCCGTCGGGAATTCCCCGGCGTCTGAATCTGCCATTATGATCCGCGTCAAATCCTCAATTTCGGTTTTCAGAAACTGAATTTTGCGTAAACATTGGGAATTAATCAACACCGCAGAAAGCAAAACAAACAAGAGAGAGTTATTGTTGGAAGCCAAAGAAATCTAATTTTAAAAGTAAAAGGTAACTGACTTTTTAGCTTTTAGAGGAAAAATAGGAGAAAGAGAGATCAGTTGGATTTCGGATAAGAAGATAATTAAGCTTTAGCTCTGTATCGAGTTGTTACATATATATTCGTGTCTTGAGGTAGAAGGCGAGGGTATTTATGTAAAATAATCATATACTACTATTTTCTTGGTAAATGACGTGAGAGATTTTCTGTTTTGTTTTAAATATTATTTTTTTTAACACGATGTGATGTTCAGTTAAATTACAACCATACACGTGTGCCATCACTGTTGTCGTGTTGATTTGGTATCTCCGAGGGTTTAGGCCATCGAATATTTTACATATTCGTATCTTCAGCTGCTGTTATAAAAATTACTTGAAAATGTTTTCATATTGTTGATTATAAAATTGTCAATTGTTGTTCTTTGGACTTTGACAATCTCATCTCACTGTTATATTTCAACTAATTATATGTGATTGTTCTCAATAGAAAATTATTTGTTGACCCAAAAAAACAAAATCTATTAGAATTTGTACCTTCTAATGTGTTTCTACTATACTCTCAAATTATCTGTATCGTAATCTATTACTATGATTGTAAATTAAAATATTAACTAGCTAGAATCATTGTCACAAACAAATACTCCTATTGGTTTAACTTTCTCCTTTCTTCCGGTTCCTGTATAAGTTTGAAGAGTATTTTGAAAATTATGTTTTTATTTCCTTTAACGTATATTTTTGCTATTCAGATACATGTGAAACACTATGGAAAGCTCATATCTCAAATGAAAAATCAAAAAAATAATTAAATGTTGTCTATAATTATTTATTTTGTAAGGTTGTGGCCTGCTTAAGAACAGGTTTTAAAAGCATTTTAAATACTTCTTGATATTTTGATATTGTAATTGTCTAAAAGGTCAAAAATAGGATTTTGTTTTTAAAATAGTTACAACCTTTACAACTTAAAGATTATTTTTTTCTACCAAGTTAACCATTAATGGTTACTTCTAAAACTATAACATATTTTGGAAATTTAGATTTCTATATATAAAATATAATTGTTATTTTTAGAATTTCTTTTAATGCTTTTTATATATATTTTGCAGTTGTTTAATTTGATATTTTTGGGAAGATAAATTTCATTCTATGGAATAATATATCTTAGTTTTGTAGTATACATATTTGATGCTTTTTATATAACTGTTTTTCAGTTTCAACTATGCTCCACAAAAGTCAGTATAACTCAGTTGATAGAGTGCAAATGTCTCTAAACTTGTGGAGCTGTGGTTGAATCTTAGAGCCCAAAAAAAAAAAAAAAAAAAAAACATGACATACCCACCGCGTATGTGGTGCAGAACAAAATATACATCTATTTCAATTTTTTCATATTTTTGTATTTTATTCAAAACACATAAGACAGTACATTTTTGTTGTCATGATGTGCCCAGACCCCAGTTCTACATATAAGACACGAATAAATTAGAAATATAGACAAAAAAAAATACATTTATATTTTGTACGGAAATAGAAAAAAGAAAACCATTCACAGCGTGAATAATGTGCGAAAGATTTCTTTTGATTTTATTTTCGGATGTTACTTCAGAGAAGCTTCTTTCGAAAAAAAAAAAAGAAGAACAAGAACAAGAGCTGGAGAAACTCGTTAAATAATGATTAAATCAAGGTTGCCTCAGAAGCTTGATTTTTCTGGAGTATATAAAAACAAACATGGATTTTAACATAAATGCCCCTTTTCTTTCGTTGGTTCGAAAGGTTGCTCCAGCAAAATATCTACTGATTTTCTTTAACAAAAAAAAAAATATCTACTGATTTGAAGAAAGAGGGCTTGTTATTTTTGACCCCATGTTACAACGAAAGTTAACAATATATGTATGAGTTGATGAGGGAAAAAAAAAAATGAACCCTCTATTTATCAGTGATTATAAAAGTTGACGAGGACTTGTAAATTATGAATACAAAGGGTAACGTCAGGCAGTAGCCAAATTCGGTGAACTGATGTAAGAAATCTGATTATAATTAAGCAATTAATTAGTTACTAGAGTTTGACCCGCGCCCAGCACGGGGAGATGGTTTCTGAATTTGTATTTTTTAATTAAAAATGTATATTTAACTATTTCAAAATTTTATGTGACAGATTTTTTTACCTTGTTAAGGTTTTTATCTTCGTTTATAATGTGGAAATTAAACATTTTAAAAATTAAAACAAATTAAAACATTGATCATAGACATAGATTAAATATGCTAGACTATAGATTAAATATGCTAGACTTCAGCAAAATACATAAAACAAATCAAATGAGTATATTTTATAAGATAAGAAGATAAGAAGTTTTAGGTGTTTACACGGATTAGAACTAACTTTTTTTATTTCTTTTAAAACTAAAACATGTTTTATTATAATTCCAAAACAATCCAACCAATAAAAGATCAATCTTGCAAAATCCAAATTGTCAAAATAACAAAAGTATAAGTAATTTTGTACTGAAAAATTGAAACAAATGGAGCAATATTCAAATTTTTGATCAAAATTAAATACATTTATAAAAAATATTATTTTATTTGATTTCATTATACAGTTTAACTAAAAAATCATATAAAATATTTTAAAAATTACATTTAGATACCTACTCTCCTACTTACATGGTTGCATATCATCTATTTTTTATAATATATTTTTACACCTACACACAACAACATATTGGGAATTTTAATAGTTTTAGTGATTATTTTGTTTTTAAAAATTCAAATCATAGCATATATAGAAAAAGTTTTAGATTTTATTTATTAGATTTTTTGTATTGTGTCAATTTTTTATTTTATAAAATAAAGTTAAACAAAGATGAAAGGAGATATAGAATGATTTAAAAAAAATATAATGATAGCATTAAATTGAATCTCATATTTTCCTTATTTACTAATTTTCGTAATTGTCAATTAAGGAAAGAGAATGATGATTCTTTTATTAATAATTTCATATATGATTAATCTAACTATACATATTTGATTCTCTAACCAAAAATATGAATGACAATGTTTGTAATTAGTCTAGTAAACTAATCCTTATTTTATAAATAACATGAGAAGCTCCTAATGATGACACATCAGCATGCATTCTTGTTAATAACACATCAACTAAAGGTTATTTTTAAAGTGTTTTCTCTTTTAATATATTAGAGATATGTAATGTAGCTAATAAGGACAAACACTAAAAAAGGATTAAAACAAAATTCAGAGGATACTAAACTGTACTGGTAGACTGAGTCAGTTTTTAAAATTGGTAAATATGAACCACACATTAAATTTGGAGTATAAGACTAGTAAAGCTTTTTTTTGCATTTTGAGAGAAAGAGAGTTCGCCCTAATTCTCTCCCAAGCATACCTACCGAGGCAGCTGCCACCGACGAAACTCAACCGCCGCAGATGAGCCTCCGACCTAACCTTACCTCCCCGGAAGCCGCCGTTCTGTCTGGTCGCCGCAGAGGCTGGTCAGAATACGGCTCTCCTCCCTTGTCGCCTCCGTTTCCCGACGAGCTGCTCCATGGTTTCGTTGATGCCTTTTCGTCGTCGTGAAGGACTCCTCTCATCAGATCCGGTGAGGGTCTCTTCGTCGCTTGCTCCATTCTCTCTGTCTTCACCGGCGAATCCTTCAAATCCTCGAGACCCACTGGATCCGCTTGACCCGCCGGACGAAGGTGGATCTCAGATTCCGTCAGATCTCTTCCCCCGATCTTAAAGTTCGGCTACTTCCCCGGCATCTTTGTTGCCTGAGAGCTTGATCTCTTCACCAATGCTCCATGTCGGTGTCCTCTTCTGATGTAGGAGATATTTGGAGATTTTCACAAATTTCCTTTTTCTCTAATTATGTTTTTCCTTTTGGGTTTTGGATATTTTCTAGGGTTTTGTTTTCTATATAAACACTTTTAAGTTGTAGCCATGAGGCATATCATATCTTATTATTCTAATTAATCAAAGCAGAGAGCTTTTCTCTAATCTGGTGGATTTCCAGAGTTTTCTCTTCAAGTTCATGCTTGTGAACTTGAATTCAATCTAGGTTTAGTGCTTGCTATTCCTAGGGTTTTCCGACTGCGTCAAGTGGTATCAGAGCAGGCTTTCTCCTGTCTCTTTTTCGAGCTTGAACAGCTATGGGAGATCAACCATTGACCAAAGCAGATTTTCAGGGTTTTACCGTGGCTCTAACCTCGGCCCTAACTGCTTTGACTAATCAGATGAAAGTTTTAACCAATCAGACGGAAGCTTTAACCAACAAGGTTATCAAAGCCGGACAAAGAGAAAGGAGAGGAGAACGAATTAGGGTTCTACATGTTCAAGACAATAGTGTCGAATTTAGCAATCACATGAACATGCTAATCGATAGATTGAAGATAGCCGGCAAAAGTCAGAAAATAGACAAAGAAGGAGATTCAATTAGGGTTCCAAGAGATGAAAACAATTGTGTTGTTGTTATTGAAAACCCTAGTTCTCTTGAAGAAGACTTTGTAGAGAAAGAGATTGATCAACAGAATCTGCATGATAATAATGCTTTTCACACTAAGGCAGATATTTCATTATCCTATGAAATCCCAGAAGTGGAGAAGACAGAAGTTCCAGAAGGAGTGCTAGTGATCTACAAAGATTTTAAGAAACTGATTGCAGATGAACAAGGGAAGAAAAAGATTGATGTTGGCAAGCAGAAGGGAACCAAAGTTTTCAAAGAGGATGATGATTTAATTGTGTTCCTCCATAACAAGAAGTTTCAAGTTGTTACATACAACAAAGCACAACCTAGCAACTATGGTCAACCTTTTAAAGAAGATGTGATTATATATCCAGAAAAGAATTGAGGAATAATAAGCTTCAACCTAGCAAATATGGTCCTTTCAAGGTGTTGCGGAAAATCAATGATGATGTTTATGTAGTGGCTCTCCAGTTTCTAAGACATTCAATGTGGTTGGCATTCATGAGTACCATTCATATGAGATTCTTAATCTAGAAGAGAACTCGAGGTCGAGTTCTTTAGAGGTGGAGGAGACTGATGTAGGAGATATTTAGGAGATTTTCACAAATTTCCTTTTTCTCTAATTATGTTTTTCCTTTTGGGTTTTGGATATTTTCTAGGGTTTTGTTTTCTATATAAACACTTTTAAGTTGTAGCCATGAGGCATATCATATCTTATTATTCTAATTAATCAAAGCAGAGAGCTTTTCTCTAATCTGGTGGATTTCCAGAGTTTTCTCTTCAAGTTCATGCTTGTGAACTTGAATTCAATCTAGGTTTAGTGCTTGCTATTCTAGGGTTTTCCGACTGCGTCATCTTCAAGTCTCGTTCTCTCACATCTCCACTCATCACCATCGTTCAATCCTCCACCACACTTCCAAGCTTTGGCCATTTGAAGCTTCTCGTCCTACTCCTCGCCGGCGAAGGGACATCGGGATCTTGGATTCCCGTCAACGTCAATTTGCATATTTTGGTCCGGTGTTGTATAATTTTGGACTTCGTCCATGTCCTGTCCACTGGAGCTCTGTTCTGAAGAAGTCTATATCAAGGAAGCTCCCTTCAACGTGTTTCAAAGCTAGTCCAACTGATGTTGCGGCTCATTTTGACAGTAAGGTCTCAAAGCTTCGTGAAATTGTCCGAAGACTCATTGCCGGAATGTTTCCAATTCTTCTTGTTTGGGAGTTGTTTAACATTTCAACCTCCTCCGTTGGCATGGAGAGATCGCTCCCACCTTCCTCTCTTTACAGAGAGAGAAATTCTCCACCTCTTCCCTTCTCCATGAGAAGCGGATACTTCTCGGAATCACACCCGAGTAAGCTCTACAACCTTCTTACCTTTTTGTCATCTTGCATTTCTGTCTACATGGAACTTGAAGATGCAACCAGATTTGATTCATCAAATCTCGGAGGAAGAAATTGTTTTTCAACGTCACCTTTGATCTCAATGATTGTGACTAGGCTACAAAAATCCGGCCAGGCCGTGATGTATCTTCCGACGCGTTTAAGCTTTGCTTATAACCTGCTGTCATTTGAAGATTTATCTTCTTATGCTTTAATTTTCTTATGTTGTATGGTAGTATTCAAAGAGGATGTTTAATTCCCTCTTCATTGTGTAACACCCAAGCTTAATTAATAGAATTAAGAGTTTGAACAAAAAAAAAGACTAGTAAAGTTTTGGATTTATGGCTATATATTTATTTTACTGTATGTGCTTCGGACATAACAGGTTAATCTTCATATGCCAGCGGATGAAACCTTTAATGATCTAACAAGAATAGATATGATAAATATTGAGTGAAGAAGAATATTCCAAGTCGAAGGAGCACATGCACATTAAAAGGTCCAAAAAGAAAGAGTCTGTAAACAAGAGGGTATATCCCAAGGGCACTGGAACATGGTATGTTTCTTCATTTTCTCATAACCATTTATTGTTATTGCGTCTTTTGAGTAAATTGATTTTGCGTCCAGATTCAAACGAAGGAAACAGTAGAATCGAATTAAATAGCTGAATTATGGTTATTCCTTGTGTTGGTCTGACGATACCTTGATGATGCTGATGTCTCTTCAATTAATATTCTGTTTCTTACGAATTTAATTTAATACATATATTCGTCGAAATAGTTTTCTATGGCTTAAATAAATTAGGCTGAGTATGTGGAGCGAGTCAGCATAAGTCGGGAGAATTTTGTCGTCTTCCTTGTAAATAATTAAGCGGTGATGTGCATATTCAACTAATTTGTAATTAAATGTGTGTTTTTCTATCATGTAGTTTATAATCTTCATAAAATACAAAACATATGACAAGGCTTACGCACTAATTGATCGGCATATTGCTTATTATTAATAATAAACATGTAAGTAAGTTTAAGTAGATCAGAATTTTCATACGTACCAAAGTCCCACGTATGGTTATGTAAGCGTGAATTGCAATAATACAATAATGAAAATGGTCCAAGTTCAAGCTATACTACAAGTCTACAACCCATAAACGAGAAAAAAAAATTAACATAACAATCAAGCAACACAGAAATATACTAAAAACTAGCGAGATTTCATTTATTCATTTTTTAATGTAATACACTCGAGCGTTATATCAAATTCAGTAAGGGATGAGTCATGAGTGTCTGTCCTCCTCTGTAAAAAGTTAGTCTCCTTTGGTAGTTTTTGCTCTCTGTTTGTTTTCATACTCTTTACATTGGCTCCGTGATTGTAGATGAGTAGATCGGAGTCATCGGACTCTCTCGTTATACTACACGATTACACACACATACTCTTCCCCGTTCGTGATAGATGGACCACAAGAAAAAACCCCGTTTCCTGACAATCTTTGGGCCAAACAAGATATAGGCCCATTAATCATATTCGAGAATTTGGTTAGTATCTACAAGAGAGCCCAACTTATAAAAAGGTCATCCGTGTAGCGTGCCAGCGAAGCCCCACGTGGACGAATAAGATTCTGGGCTTTTTCTGCATTGTTTGATTTACATCACGCTTCTTTAGGAACCTGTAACACACACTCTCTCTCTCTCTCTTTGACATTTTCGATACTTTACACAAATTACCATAATGTTTAAACTGCTATTGTCACCAATTCACCATTGTACACATTAAATATTAGTGCTAAGTTTATACGAATATTGAATAGAAAAGTGTCAGTGTCAAATGTCAATGTAATTAGGGGAATAGAGAGGCGAACACAATCTAACACAAAATCAATAAAAATGGAGAGAGCATCTCACTCTCTCCTCTTTTTATTTTTTGTCAAGTATGTGGACCCGACACAAGCACTCTCTCTCCCTTTATATTCAATTCTTTCGACTCTCACTCTCTTTTCATCACCAAAGAGGATCTTGTTTGTTCCTCAGAATCAATCAGGCGGGTGATGGGTAATAGTTATCGGTTTAGGCTATCGGAGTTGATCCCTAACGCATGGTTCTACAAACTGAGAGACATAGGGAGGTCACGGAAACAACAAAACAGCACGCTTTCTCATGCTTCCCTCAACAAACACCACGCACTTCCTACTCCCAGTCTTAGGCCTCCTCCTCCTCGACGCTCTTCTCACTATTCAACACCTCCCAAAACGTCGCCTTCCGATACGCCCAGAAAGTCCGCCGGGAACCGGTTTCGTCACCGAGCCACCGTGTCCTCTGCCCAATGCTGCCGTTCTAACCCACGGTTTGATTTCTCGACGACTTCAGGTGAAAGCACTGCCACCGGTACGGGATCATTCTCGCCGGACCTTCGTTCCGACCAAGTGCTCATCCCTGACGAGTCATTAGAGAGCTCCTCGCGCAGCCCTTTCAGCTCCAAATTGCCCAAAGCCCCAACCTTTACGCCGCCGCCGGAACTTGATCTCCGGCCGATCATCACCAAACCAAGGAGTAAGCAAACCACCGTGCGGAAAACGGCGGGGCTGAGACTTAGACTGCGCTCGCCGCGGATTTCGACGAGGAAATCGGTGAGAAGCAGGGCGGTGGTGAAGGCGTCGGTGGACCCGAGGAGAGATTTCAAGGAATCGATGGAGGAGATGATCGCGGAGAACAACATCAGAGCGTCCAAGGATCTCGAGGAGCTTCTAGCTTGCTATCTCTGTCTCAATTCTGACGAGTATCACCACATTATCATCACTGTCTTCAAGCAAATCTGGCTTGACCTTAAGCTCCCACCAGATTACCATCGTTCCAATTCCAAATCATAAAGAGACAAGAGATCACTACACACTCTACACATGTTTTTATATTTACTATATAGTCCTCGATTAATTAAGATATAATCTATGTTATAGCTAATCTGTGTATGTGTAATTAATTATGCTATTTATATGCATGGTTATAAAACAGAGCTATATTTAGCCTAGATCTGGTCATGTACTTGTATCATGGGTGTCAATGTGTCATTCGTTAAAAACTCTCAAGTACAAGTACCCATTTCTAACCAAATTGGTACCTCTTCTATGATTCTTACTGCACGGACAAACCTCAAAAGTGACCCTAACTTCAAACTAATGTTGACGTTTATTAATCACGTTTAAGTTCTACTTTTTCCTTGCGAATCATTATTATCTCTGTCACGACGTACCTCTGCCTCATTCATCTAAATGAAAAGAGCTTTCGAAATTATATTATTGGAAACCGATTATTCCTTTTTATTTATATGTATATGTTTTGAAAATCACACTTCAGTGTTACTCACATCACATGTTCATGTTATGTGACTAATTTAAAAAAAAAAAAAAAGACTAAATACATTTTAGTAGTTCATTCAAACAATCAAACCGCATCTGCCGTATCTTTAATTAAATAAATGTGTGTGTGTGTGCGTGTGCATTTCTCAATTTTTACGTTTATATTTTATTTTATGGATGTGTATTCTTTTATTTGACCTCCACGTATTAATTTGAATATACTTTTATGTGCATGCATACACACTCGAGTGCGACAAGGAAGAAGAAAACAAAACAATTTTGCTTTTAGGCATGTATGTAAGTGCCAAATAAAACAAATACAGTATTCAATTGTGCCAACTTTATTTTATTTATTTTAGTGATGGGTGACAAATGACAAGAATAAAAAGGAAAATAAAAAGGAAAATAAAAAAAATAAATAGGAAGAAACAGATATGGACAAAAAACAAAAATAAAAACAGTAAAATTAACAAAAATCAATGAATGGTTCGTACAGAATAAATTTTGGCTACTGTTTTCTAGTTGTATCATTTTCATGTTATTTATGTTATTTTGTTTTACGCAATCTTCGGTGGTCAGTGTTGTAAGTTGTAACTTGGTAAATGGTTTATTAGACTTATTAGTGGAATTTGTGAAATTTAAAATCTATACTGCAAAGGAACCGCACGCGACTCCTGCTCTTAGTTTTTTAGTAGTATTTAAGGTTTTGGTTCCCATATGATAATTTTTACTGATTTGAATAAGTTTGAAGAACACGTACTGTGTTTATCACCTATGGATAAATAATATTAAAAACAATACATGACTTTCATATTGAAATCTTTAAAACACGAATATGTACAAAATATTATACTCCGTGGCCGGAGTAAAACAAAAGTTAAAGTATCAAAGTTGTGAGATAACCAAAATTATTGTGATTTGTGAGACAGGATAAACATATATTTATGTGTCCGGAATAACGTAGTTGCACAAAAGTGACTATTACACTGAAGTTTAAACTTTAAAGCAAGGACCAAATCAAAAGTGGATTAAAAGGTACCCAAAATCCACCTATCTTTTTCAATATGAGAAGACACAAAAAAGGAGATTCATAAGCTTTTGTCGGGCACGCGGGCCATGTACTACTTCTAGTCTACAACGAATTGTTTTTTTTTTCCAATTTAAAAATAACTAAATTAAACATTTTTTCTTTTATGTGTTCAAAGTTGTATAAGTATAACAAAACTTTTAAATTAGCGGACAAAAAAAAAACTTCTAAATTAACATTGACGAACACATCATCCCAACTCTCGCGCTGTAGTGCACAACTACACATTAATTACTACCTTTATTTGCATTTTGCAACTTGATCATACATACAGTACTTAAGTTCGATTAGAATCAGTATATAAAAAACATTTGGGAAATTAATAATATTGCATGAATAAATTATAACGTGTTTCTTTACTGGTGGTAGGCCAGTGATATCTCCGTGCGATATACCCTACCGACCATTATGAATTTTAAAAAATTAGCACTTGAAGATTCAATATGATATTATTAGTTTAATGATTTGAATTTGCACTGTGTCGCTAACATATCAAATCCAATTAATTACTAGATTCTTGGTGAATAATAGTAGCAGATTTCATAATTATATCACGCAATAGCAAAATCTGTGGACACTCATTTGGACATTATGATCCCTTGTAGTAAAATTTAATCAAGAAGAGTATTTTGATAGAACTGCGACGTATCACAGACGCGTTTTCTGTTTGAAATAAAATAATATACAAAAGTCGTTTTTATTCGGCTGTCTCTCGTTACTTATCACAAGCTCCTTTTAAGATAAAGTTGCAAATGATCCACAAGGCACGACTTTCCTTTTCCATGAAAATTGTAGAAAGTAGGGTCGTCTCATAATTACACAAGATAGAGTAGTACATCTCAACAGATTTATTATTTCCAGAGAGATATATACTCCACAGTTCGATAACGGAGGAGAACTTAATTTTAAGGATAGATGGCAATAGCAATCAAAATTAAGAGCTAATCGATATATTTTAGTTTGAGATCTAGAAGGTATAGTCACAGTTCTATATATGTCATATATTATTTGATGTTATCATCTTATTTTAGTTTTTGTCGTCTAAGAAGTAGGTCGAGTGCGAATACGTAACGTAATGACGAGGGAGACTTGTCGGTGAGCCGCAAGTGGAGACTCGGTCAACGACCATTTAACCGAACTTGTCATCCGATCCGACATTATCACCGGAGATTCTGCAGCTTGTGACCTTGTCCTTCCGCCGTCTAATTTACATTTTTTCCACAGTTTATTAATGTTTTGAATGAATAATCAGAACAATAAAAAACAAAAGAAAAAACGAGTGCATTGATTGTATATAACATTTATGAAAACCAATAAACTAGTATGATGATATAGTAGTACCTAATTTTATTTGGATTTGTTATCATCAGAATTCAGAAAAACCATTTCTTCGTTCTCAGTGAATTATATATAATGGAGCGGTTTTATTGGCTATTAATGATACCACTGATGTGGTGGTTTACTGTAGTGAATAGTTCCGCGTCACTTGTGATAACTCTAGCATCGCCGCGTCACTTGTCAAATCTTTTTGGGATTTGATTCTTGTATGAAAGTATCACGTTTTATTAATATTTTTCGTATCTACTTTAGATAAAGACAATTACACAAGCTTCCATGAAATGTTGTCCCCGTTTGTTTGCACGCTTTCATGGCCTTAGCTTGAAGGTTGTTGGGAATATGCAGCTCCTAAAAGTGTGAAAGTTGTAGATTTTCGTCAAACTCTGGCGTTTTAAAAATAAGGCTCGAAGACTTGATCCGTTATCGGGTATCGGGTCAAAAATCCCAACGATGGATGTAATATTGGATCAGCGTCAGATTAATTTATGATGGTAACATTTAGTTTGCAGTTTCCGACTCATAGCAGATATTTTTGATTCTCCTTTCGATTCCCCAATTTCTCTTGTCCATTCTCACTGCCAAAAACATTTTCGAAATAAAATAACAAACACACGTGTGCCGAATTTACACGTGTATATTTCATGAAGATGATGGGCCATGAAACACAAGTCAAATGGGCCCTGATCTGTTAAAACAAATGTAGGAGCCTTAATAAAAGTCATAGAAACAAGAAGAGTGGAGGAGTTGGGAGAAATTCGCTTCGTCTACATGGCACCCACTCGACCTGCCAATTCTGGACACGTGGCATTCATAATTTTGGAGAAGAAGAAAAATGTCTCAGTTCTGGACCTTTATGTTTATCAATTGAAATTGGACCCCACCAAATGACAAAATTACAAAAGCAATTAAATTCGACAAAACTGTATTTTTCAACTCATTAAGTAAGGACAAGTTATTAGATGTTCTATGTAAATAATACGTACGTTGTCGCTACATGACATACGAGTTGGTCCATGCTGCAAACAATTGCTACCTAAGTTATCAGGAAGGAATAATCAAGCGTGACTTGAAGGAATTGTGGTGATCAACGTTTGAGTAGTTTATTTTTTACTGAAAACTAAAATCCCATTGTTCGACCGTATTATAAAGAAGAATATTTGAAACGAAAAAGAAAAAGTCGTTTTTCCAAGAAACAAGAAACAAAAACGTGCATGAATTGCAAAGGAAAGCAAGCAAGCACGACTAATAACTAATTAGCCACAAAGACCGTATTTAGCCGACTTTTAAACTGGAGCCGAGCGGAGCCGATCTGATCTATTCTTATAGCGCCTTCTTTCCCTGTACCGTACAAGTCTCGAGTCGAGAAGGAATTCGGCTGGTGTCCACGTGTCATTTGATAAGTCGTTGACTGAAAACATCACTCCCTCCAATTTGCTTTTATTGAAAAAGAAAAGAAAAAAGAAAAAGAAAAGGATATTTGGGTAATGCGTCTTCTTCATTGGCTTCGTCTCTACTCTTTACCCTTTTTTCTTCTTCTCCTTTTTGTTTGGTGTGAAGAAGATAAACATTCATCGCCGGAAGGGAAGGGAAGGGAAGGGAAGGGAAGGGAAGGGAAGGGAAGGTCAGACTCAGACAAGTTCCTACATATTTGTCTCCGCACGGCACCGATCCGACTTGTACTCTCTCTCTCTCTCTCTCTCTCTCTCTCTCTCTCTCTCTCTCTCTCTCTCTCTCCCTGTGGGTTTATATGGTTTCCCCTGCTTTGTTTCGTGTGGGAATTACTTTAATTGAGCAACTCGACCTTTGCCTCTCTCACTGGATTTAGAGAGAAAGCCATCTTTGACGATAACGGAGGTTAAAGGAGAGGCAAATTCTGGAATTCAGTTTTATAATCGGTTGAGTCCGTGAGTGAATGGCGCGACTAGTCGCCATGGAATTAGGGTTGAGATAGATATCGAACGCATCAGATGGATTTATGGTGTTGAAAGGAGTGATTTTGAGTGGAAGATGAGTAGCGAGGAGACGGGATTGAGGATCGACGAGAGTTTGCTGGTGGATCCCAAAATGTTGTTCATCGGCTCCAAGATTGGGGAAGGCGCTCACGGCAAAGTCTATCAAGGAAGGTATGGCACCCGGATTGTCGCCATCAAAGTTGTGCACCGCGGGGTCAGGCCCGATGAGAAATGTTCCCTCGAGAGCCGTTTCATCCGTGAAGTCAATATGATGTCCCGCGTCAAACACCACAATCTTGTCAAGGTATCCAAAGTTGCTCCTCGAGTTTACCACGTCTTGTTGTTGTGCCTTCTCATATATTATTCGATATTTTTGGCAGTTTATTGGAGCCTGCAAAGATCCTTTGATGGTGATTGTAACAGAGTTGCTCCCAGGGATGTCCCTGCGTAAATATCTGACGCGCATCCGCCCTCAGCTGCTTGATCTCCGTCTCGCTTTGAGCTTTGCCCTTGACATCGCCAGGGCCTTGGACTGCTTGCACGCCAACGGAATCATACACAGAGACCTCAAGCCTGGTATGTCTCTCTATCACTCTTCTTCTCTTCTTCTACGAGCATCAGCATGGGGATTAGATAACAGACTTGCCCTGATGCACGCAGACAACTTATTGCTGACCGAGAACCACAAATCCGTCAAGCTTGCTGATTTTGGGCTTGCTAGGGAAGAAACCGTGACCGAGATGATGACCGCAGAGACTGGCACATACCGCTGGATGGCTCCTGAGGTTTGTTATGCCTCCTGATCTCTCTCGTTTGTGCACATTTAGATTCTCATTTTTGTTCTTGTACATATATATATTCGTAGCTCTACAGTACAGTGACGCTGCGTCAGGGAGAGAAGAAGCATTACAACAACAAAGTAGATGTCTACAGCTTTGGGATCGTCCTTTGGGAGCTTCTTACCAACCGGATGCCCTTTGAAGGCATGTCTAACCTGCAAGCCGCCTATGCAGCAGCTTTCAAGGTTTCATTCATAATCTTCTTCTTCTTCGATTGAGCTATCTATCTCTATTATTATTATAATTGACTGGAAATCAAATTCTTGTTCTTGCAGCAGGAGAGGCCCGGAATGCCAGAGGGGATATCGCCGAGCCTGGCCTTCATTGTGCAATCGTGTTGGGTGGAGGACCCAAACATGAGGCCAAGCTTCAGCCAGATCATCAGATTGCTCCACGAGTTCCAACTTACCCTCTCTCCTCCTCCACCTCCTCCTCTGCCTGAGGCTGAGCCCAACAAGACCAACGGCGGAGCCATCACTGAGTTCTCCAGCCGTGCCAAAGGGAAGTTTGCATTCATTCGCCAGCTTTTTGCTGCCAAGAGGAACACACACTCTTAGAAACAAACCAGAATCTGCCACACATGCTTCTCTGGTGAATAAAACAAGACACAAGTAGAAAGTTAGACTTACGTTAAGTCAGTCAGTCTATAGAGTATTATTGTTTAGTCACTTAGCCATTTTCTTCTTCTTTGTCAAATGATCGACCAACCTGTAGTTAGTATCACATGCTCACCTTAATCTGGTCACCACCTTCCAACTTTGTAATATATCCCACTAAATATCTAATTTGATAAATTCTTTTTCAAGTTTATACGAAACTCTTTTGCACCAAATCTCTGATGTTTTATAGATCCCTACTCGAACTTTAAAAGCCCACAAAATGGTCCACTTGGTTGAAAATGGAACAAAAAGATTGAAAGATTTTTCCATTTCAATAAAAATCCATCTAAGTAAGATGCAGAAAAGTAAGTGTAACGGATCCTTGAATACAGAAATAAAACTGAAATTTCTATTTTTGAATTCAAAACAAAAAAGATCAGTAAATGCAACTTGCTTAATCTTGGCTTAATACAGATTCACGAACAACTAAGCAGTGGACCTATGCATGTTTCCTAACTAAATATGACATATACCTCATTTTCATATGTTAAATAAAGAAAGTGTAAATTGAAACGGACAGTATTTAAGAAAATATTACCAAATAAAAGAGATTAATTGATAATCTGAAAGTAGAGAGAAAAGGAATATAAAGAAGTGTAGGAATGAAAATGGGAAGAAAGAAAGGTGATGGGGCATAAATCTTGAGGAAGATATTTAAAGAATCGAAGGCAAAAGGCAAAAAAATAGTCTCAATAAGCCGTTTGCTTGAATATTACTTGCTAAACTTGGGATTATATACCATAATTATGAAGATTTTTAGACAATAAATGATTAGACCTACTGATCAATATGATAAATAGATGCAACTCGTGTTCCTCTCTGATCTCATTATTCACGCACAAAACCCAAAATCTACAGTTCCTTTGACCATGGAACTCAACCTCGGTACATCGTGTTCTTCCAGCAGTATCTCATCATCTTCGCATGAGGTCATCCCCAGGACCGGTTTTATAACCGATACCATGGGGAAAATGAAAGAGAAGATGGCGTCCGAGCCAGCGACTGAGACTCCGAGGCTAGAGTTTCGCTTCTTGTTCAACGACAACGTAAGAAACTCTGGTTTTGGAGGGTTGGACGAGGCAGAAGGGACGAAGAACGAGGCTAAGCCGAGGGTGTTTGCTTGCACCTTCTGCAAGAAAGAGTTCTCGACCTCGCAGGCCCTGGGAGGGCATCAGAACGCTCACAAGCAAGAGCGATCGTTGGCTAAAAGGCGTAAAGAGATCGAGATTAACTACCCTGGACTCTCCTTTTACAGTCAGTACCCACCCAGTGGCGCTTCCTACAACAGCAGCTCGCCGTATGATCTTGGTGTTCGTTACAATCCTAACATTGCTAAGTCTAAGGCCAATCCGTTCAACATCTTCAGATGTCGTTTAGGATACAGAGGGCTTGGTCTAAATTCCCACATCCCTCTCCTCTCTCATCTCTCTTGCCAAAAGGCCGACGATTTGTCCAAAAATTTGATTTCAAACCTAGAGGGCAGCATTCATACGAATAACGAGCAAGCCGAGAATCAAGTTCAGTCGGAGTCTGATGATACTTGCGAGGATTCTGATATAGACTTGTCTCTGAAGCTGTAGATTTTTTCCCTATTATTGGGTTAAAATTTTAGTAGTTGTTTTTTGAATCTGCATTTCTTTTCTTTTGTGTTTCTCTTATCGTAATGTATAATTTCTTTTTATATATATATAAAAAAACAGACTTTGATATCCCTGGTCTGGTAATCTATTTTGATACGAGAAAAGTGTTCTTTTTGGGTGTGTTAACTTATAAATTTCAAAAGTAGAAAACGTTTTTGTGGGGATAACAGCTTACTTGGTACTTAATGATAACTAAAGACTAGAATATATGGGAGAAGAGGATTCCTTTGAAGATTTGAAATTGAACCATGAATATCATTAATTAATATGATTGTGTTACTATTCTTAGCAAATATGCAGAAGAAAAAAAAACCCGACACTCTTTGCTATTAAAATTCAAACTTTCAAATATTAAACTTAAGAGTTATAGGTTGTGGATATGTAGAGAAGTACCTGTTAAATACAAAAGCATATGATGTAGTCATGTAGAGAGAAGAATTGCAAGCTAGAGATGAGCATACGAAGTTGTAGTATAGATTGAGATAAATTCTATGTGATGTGTGTGTGTGATAGAACTTTGATAAGCGCCTGTAAGAAAAGGTTTGTTATTATTGTTTATTAATTGTTATTATCCTAGTTCACTTCAGTCTTGACATAACTCTATAATTATTAATATTTGTCTAAGGAAATAAAGAAATCGGGATCGATAATTGGAATGACGCAGGGTATGTGTAAGTGTAGTGGGCGTTGTTATGATTCACCAAATAGTTTGTTGCCACTTCTGATTGATCCTTAAAAGATTGCTTGTTTCTTCTCAGTGCTTGTATTATTCACCTCTCCTTGCATTTTTCCTTTAATATACTACACGCTACTCACTAATCTTCCTCTCTTTTTGTTTGATATATTAATTACATGTACAATCCTGATTCGAGGGACCCAATAGAGTTAGACTTGATACCAAGTCATCTTATATATATATATATATATGTGTGTACGTATGTATCTTGTCTTGGAGACAAAATATCTGGCAAAGTGCCAAGAAGGGAGAGTTTCTCCAATTATCCTGATATTCTTTTTCCGTAATTATCTGCTGAGCAAGGCTTTGTTCATCCCCAAACTTAAATACAAAAAATAAATAAAAGGTCCCCACTTTGCCTTGCTTAATAGATAACCACAAACCAAAGCGGTTAACTTGGTAGAATCCGAATCCATTCCTCATCACCAAAAATTGACTCGTGAATCCTCCTGAGAATGCATCGACTGCTACTGGAGTCCCACGCCGGAGGGAACGAGACAAGCGGCGGCGGCGGAGCTGGTTACCTGAGAGAAATGAACTTGGACGCAAACATGGTGATCATACTGGCGGCTCTCCTCTGCGCTTTGGTACTCGCGCTTGGGCTGAACTCGATCCTCCGGTGCGCGATCCGGTGCGGGTGCGGCGTGGCGACGCCGGCGGAGGGGGAGAGGAGCGGGTTGAAGAAGCGGGAGCTGAAGAGGTTTCCGGTGGCGGAGTACGGGAGGAGCGGGGTAGAGATAGCGGCGACGGAGTGCGCGATATGCCTGGGAGAGTTCGCGGAGGGGGAGAGAGTCCGAGTGCTTCCGGCGTGTAATCACAGCTTCCACATGTCCTGCATCGACACGTGGCTTGTCTCTCACTCTTCATGTCCCAATTGTCGGCATTCGCTCATCGACATCCACGTGGCAGCAATCGATCGACATTGAGTAGTAGTTTATGGCCCATCAATTCTTAGTACATAGAGTTATATATAGTGATAGAGAGAGGATCCAGTTACAGACTTACAGTAGTAGTAGACGTTTGTAATCACCGTTTTAATAAAACCCACATATTTGGGCCTTTTCATTGGTTTTAAAACATTAACAGGCCCATTAACATGGGCTAGGGTTAACTATTGTCTCGAGTGGGAAACTCAAGTGGGAGTGATGACTGATGATGGGTGAGGAAGAAGAGCAGAGGATTGTGTGGAAGCTTAAAGTTGGTGTGAGGGTCAGAAGTTTCAGTTTGAAGCTCTTTCTTCTCCACAACCAACGACTCTCTTCTTGGAAGCTTCATCGATTGTCATTCCTCCTCAGATTCCGAAAGCATCTCCTCAAAATCGATTCTCATTCCAAACCCGATCCCATACACAAGCCCAACTCCAGGTTCAGATTCAGATTCGGATTCCTAAGGAGTCTTGCTTTCCTCCGGAGACGGAAACAGAGACAAGTGGAGCTGCAGGGAGATTCAAAGAACAAATCGGTGTGGAACTGGAATCGATCCTCAATTTCATGCGCTCTTTATAGTTATAGAGGAGGCGTGGGTGTGGCGATTCTCATCATCATCATCCTCATTATCCTCAATTTTCATTTGCGGTCTAGTTGATTTCAGATTTCATGGGCTGCTTGTAGTAGATTGATTCTTGTTCTTTTTTTTTTTTTTTTTTTTTTTTTTTCGCTAGTTATCATAAATCAATTCATGAAGATGTTGGGACAGACTTCGAAATTCAGGGTTTAACAAATCGAAAACTAGCAAGTGTTGTTGTTTCACCTTGTCATTTTATTGCAAAATCCAAATAAAAGAAAAGGTGTAGGTTGCTCTCACTCTCAGCACAGACATCAATGAGAATAGTTATGTTCACAGCAGCACACAGTGGCATTTGGTTGAGATTCTATGTGAATACGCTGCAACCGTAAGATCTTGTGACGCAAGTAAATCCACGGCTAGGAACAGATCTGTATAATCGTGGCCCATTTAGAAGAAAACCCTCTGTTGATTCGGCCCACTTTTGTTACCAATTGAACCGGGTTTAGGGTCCGGTACGATGTTGACTCGAAAATGAATCCTTCCTTCCTTCCTTATCCGAAGCCGAAACATTTCCTCACTCTTCTCTGCTCGCCGGCGAAACTGACAGAGATGGCCGGAATATCCACTTCTTTTGTATCTTCTTTGTGCATTTCTTCTTCTTCATTGCTTGCGCCGTCTTTCTCGAAGCAATCGGTGCGGATTTCTCCCAGAAGCAACAGATTTTCCAGTTAAGAATTAAGATATCTCTCTCTCTCTCTTCTTTTCATAATCATGATTTTTTGGGGTCTCTAAATAGTTGTGGATTTGAAGGGATTTATGCTTTGTCTAGCAACGACATCAAAGTTGGGACCAGCATCGAAGTTGATGGTGCTCCCTGGCGTGTTCTCGGTAATTCCACTTCCATCTGCTTCTTCTTCTTCTTCTTCTTTTTGGGTGGAGTGAGTGTGAGTGTGATTGTGATTGAGAGAAATGGTTTGGGCAGAGTTTCTTCATGTGAAGCCTGGAAAAGGAGCTGCTTTCGTCAGAACCAAAATCAGGAACTATGTCAATGGTAGCACCGTCGAGAGAACCTTTCGTGCTGGAATCACTGTAACCCTCTCTTCCCTTTTCTTCTTCCTCCTTCTACTCTAATCATCCATTTCCATGAATTTTGCACCCTTTTATTGATTCTTTGTTTGTTTGTTTTCACTTTTCAATTTTCAATTTTCATCAGATGGAAGAGGCAAATGTGTTCAAGGAGACAAAGCAATTCACATACAAAGACGGCTCTCAGTTTGTTTTCATGGACTTGGTATGTCTGATTATTATGCTCCGCATTGCCTCGTCTTCATGTAATCATCATATCTATCTATGTATGTTTCAATATTCAAATGGCTGGCTATTAATTAACCTTGTTCTTGCTCTTGTTCTTGTTGTTTGGTGCGCAGAGCAGTTATGAAGAGACACGTTTAAACGAGGCAGATATGGGTGAAAAGACCATATGGCTCAAAGAGGGAATGGACTGCAATCTGCTCTACTGGAAGGACAAGGTACCACACTAGCAGACTAGCACTAGCTCCACTTTTGTCTTGTCTTGCTATATTAACTGCTCTTGCTCCTCTCACTCTCTGTCTTCCAGGTCATCGACTTTGAGTTGCCCATTACAGTGCAGCTCAAAATAGTTGACGTGGATCCTGGTCTTCGAGGTGACACTGCACAAGGTAATGCATGTATAACCTTTACCTTATATAGTCCCAAGTAGAAGAACACATAGTAACCTGTGGGAGTGGGAGGATGCAGGTGGAACCAAGCCGGCCACACTGGAGACAGGTGCAGTTGTAAATGTGCCTCTCTTTGTAAACCTAGGTGAAGCCATAATGGTGGACACCAGAACCGGTACGTACATGAGCCGGGTCTGAGACTCTGGGAAGGTGAAAGATTTACATTGTGATGCATTGGTTTTTTGTTAGTTGAGTGTACGCTGCGAATTGTTATGGAAATGAGGGAAATGGATATAATATGATACCAAGCACCATTTGGATTCTTCTCTACTTTCTCTCCGCAAGACGACTGTTGACTCTGTGAGATCACTTTGCAATGCCAACTAAATTACAATTTATAGTATTACTGTTTGTTCTGATTTCGGATATGATACTGGTCCATCACAGCCCAAGTCTTGGTCTAAATTAGCCCAGTTCCATACAATATACTGTACATTTTTGTTTTTTTTTCTTATAAAAGATGAACCCAAGGAGATAGTCCAGTAACATACATTTTTGTTCTCAATGAGCGTGGGAGCCAAAAAAATAAGTTGAAAAATAAATGGGGTTTACATTTGAACGTAAATTCAGAAGAAGAAACAAGAAAGAGAAGAAAGGGGTAAGGAATATAAAGTTACGAAATGTGCTTTTTAGTGTTTAACGAGGAGAATAAAGGGTAGACAAGACATAATGATATTACAATTTAATTATGATTGTAAAGCTTTTGGGAGTAATAATAATGACAAGTGAGTAATTGTGTGTGGTAGGGGCACTCTGTAACTATACAATAATGAAAACGTTACAGATAAAGCTCATGCTTGGACCCTTTTGAGACTTTCACTTCACTATCACAATGGTGGACTTCTCTTTTCCCATTATTTTCTTGTTTGCTTTATCGTTTCATTTTTATGGAAAAGAACAATCAAAAAGCGAAAAGAATGATAAACAAAACTTGGTGACAGTGTGCGACCTCGAGTCTCGAGCAAGGCTTAGTGCGCCTGCCTGACTTTATTCTTTATACCCCCTTCAAATGATCAAATGCATGTCCATTTTCTTTACATCATGCTTACTTCTGAATATGGTAACAGAACTGTCCACATAACAAAACAGGGAGTAACCTTAAAACAAAGGCTTCAAGGAGTCAGTCACATGTGGAATAAAGAGTTCCTTTGACCAACATACATACTTTTACGAACCAACCTTCAACTTTTTGAATGCAATTTGAATGCTCGTGAATTCACAAGAAAACAGAACCATTTTTTCAGAATGAATTGAACTATATTTTTGATATATATAATGAGGACGATCATATGAAAACTGAAGAAGGAATAAAGAAATACAAACAAAGATTGTTCAATTTGTCACTCCGAGTCGTCAGAAGGACACTGTATGAGCTCTAAAATCTTCACCACTTCTTCCATCTCCGGCCTATTTGACGGCACTTGGGACCCACATACCAACCCTAGTTTTATCACTGGTACTGCCTCCTCCACCGGAAAATTCCCTCTCAGCCTACCGTCAACGCACTCCTCCACCCTCCCTTCCTCTAACCCTTCTCTCACCGTCTCACACAGCACCACCACGTCGTCCTCCGCGTACTCCACCGGCCTCTTCCCCGTCACCACCTCCAGCAATAAGATCCCAAACCCGTACACATCGCACTTGTCGGTTATCTTGACCGTCCTACAAGCGAACTCCGGGGCTGTGTACCCCAAGGCGCTCTGTACCTTGCCGCTCAAGACGCACCTGTCCAGCGCCGAGGCCAAGAGCCTGGCCAGCCCAAAGTCAGAGACTTTCGCCTCCCCTGTGGCGTCTATAAGCACATTCGTTGCTTTCAGATTGTAGTGAGTCATGTTAGTGGCGTGCAGATAAGCCAGACCTCTAGCAATCCCCAGAATGATGCTGAATCTTTGACGCCACGTTAGACAAACATTATCGTCCCCGTGTAGATGTCTGTACAAGCTTCCCCCAGAGACAAACTCGTGGATCAGGAGCTGCAGCGATTGAGTCCAGTAGTACCCTTTGATCTCCACCACATTCCTGTGTCTCAGCTTCCCGAGTTGTCTCATCTCTCTCTCGAACTCCTCCTGCGACTTTATCAGACCTGCCACCGTCAGTTTCTTGACTGCCAGTGGACGCCCATCCTGGAGATTCGTCTTGTAGACCACTCCGAAGCCGCCACGGCCCAGCTCGCAGTCCTTGTTGAGCAACGCATTTGCGCCTGTGGTGTCAAACACGTCAGCTTCGCCTGAGAACATGACCAGCTTCCCGAACTCTTGATCTTTACTTGGCGAACAGCTGAATGTTTCTCCCACCGACATAGCGAGAGCGGCAGCAGCTGCTGCTGCATCGTGACGAGATACACTAGATCGGGCGTGCACGTTGAGCAGCGTGACGACGACCACCCCGATGGCAATGAAGGCCGCTGCGCCAATGGCAATGAGCGCGGATATGCTCAAAACGCTCTTCCTAATCTGACCGCCGAGAGGTGGACCATTGGCTGGGTTGGAGGAGTTGGGATTGAGGACGATTGGTTTGGGGTGGACAGAGAGACATGAGCGGTTCACGACGGATCCGCAGAGTGATGGGTTACCCGTGACGGCAGAGAGAGGGATGGTGTTGAAGAAACCTCCAGCTGGAAGCTCCCCAGTGATGCTGTTGTAAGAGATGTTAAAGGTGACCAGATGAGAAAGCTTCTCTATTTCTTTGGGTAAGCTTCCGGAGAGATTGTTTGTGGACAAGTCTATGTACTCGAGGTTGCTCAAACTGCCTATGCTCCCCGGAATCCCACCAGATAGATTATTCTCCGACAGGTCTCTGCACAGCCACATAGAGAGATAACAACTTGTCAATGCCATTGCTTGAGAAGAAATGTGACAAGTAAATGCCATTGAGATTTACTTACATTGCGGTTAAAGCCGAGCAGTTTGAGATTTGAGCCGGAATCTGGCCGGCGAGGCGGTTTCTCTGCAGATGAAGTTGTTTCAGGGAGGCGGCTCCTCCGATCTCACAAGGCACGGTTCCGTTGAGAAGATTGCTACTCAGATCAAGAATCTCTGCGACTTTCAATCCTCCAATGCCGGTTGGTATGGAACCGAAGAAAGCGTTGGTGGACAAATTGAGAAGCACCAAACTTGTGAGGGTCCAAATGTTAGACGGAATCTCACCGGAAAAACCATTAGAGGACAAATCTAGGAGCCGAAGACCATGAAGAAACCCGACCATGGAGAGAAGAGTGTCGTTCCCTGATCTAGAAAGCGAGGAGCTTTCTGAATATCCGTTGAACATCCACTTGAGCACATGCCCGGAGAATGAATTCTTGCTCACGTCAATGGAGATCAAGTTGGAGCAGTTGGAGATGGTCTCGGGGATCTCCCCAGCGAGCAAGTTTGTGGAGAGATTCAGTTCCTTGAGAAACTCGAGATTGCCGAGGGAGAAAGGGGCATGGCCTGACAAGTTGTTGGCGGAGAGATCCAGAGACTCGAGGCTGGCGATTTCGCCGATCCATTCAGGGATGTCTCCGATGAGGGAGTTTCCTCGCAGGCGAATAGAGCTGCACGAGCCGAGGGTTTTCATAGAATCGGGAAGATAGCCGGACAAGTAGTTCTCACTGAAATCAAGCGATTTCAAGGAAGAACAGGTTCCAACGTCGGAAGGGAGATGACCAGAAAACCAGTTATTGGATAAGTTAATTTCATGGAGATCAAAGAGACCGCCAATCCCATCGGGGATCTCTCCTTGGAGGAAGTTGTGAGATAGATCAAGAGACTTTAAGCTCTTGAGGAACCAGATTTCTCGAGGTAGTCTCCCGGAAAGCTGATTGGCAGAGAGGTTAAGATGGGTGAGAGTAGAACAGTAGGTGAGGGAGACTGGAAGAGGACCGGTGAGTTTGTTGTTGGCGAAAGAGACGGACCTCAAGGACCCGCATTGCTCGAAGAACCCTTTCGGGATCCGACCCGACAGATTATTGCCGCTGAAATCGACGAGTTGGAGGTGAGTGAACTCGGGGTTTAGGGCTCCGGTGAGGTTGTTGTTGGAGAGGACTAAGGTGTGGAGGAACTGGAGACGGAGAAGGCCACGGCCGATGTGGCCGGAGAGAGAGAAGGCGTCGAGCCGGAGCTCCGTGACACGACTGGTGGCCGGGTCGCACACGCATCCGACCCAGTTGCAGGGATCGTAGTCTTCCGAGTTCCAAGAGGCGAGCTTGGAGAGTGGGTCGTGGAGGCCAGACTTGAAAACGATGAGACCCAAAACGTCGTCGTTGAATGTCGGCTCTGAAACGGCTATGAAGAGGAAGAGAAAGAGAAAGAAGCCGACTGAAACGGTGTCGTTGTTCAACATTTTGTGAAAATTAAAAAAAAAAATAAACAAAGAGGAAAGTTAGGAAAGTTAGTCCGCCATGGATGGTAACCAAAGAGCTTCCCTTAACCGGAGATTAGGCAAACTAGGGAAAATAGACAGCTCAGACAAGTGTGGTGGTGGTGTCTGTAGACTGTAGTTTAAACTTTTAACATGAGCAGGAGAAACTGAAACTATTCCCGGAGGAAAAGAAGACGGCTACCTCAAGAAGAAGAGACAGAGTTTGAGAAGAGAAGGAGAGAAAACAAAACAAGGAGTAAAACGGAAGGTAGGAGAGCATTAATGGCGGAATCAAGACCCCAAACCAAACCAAACCCAAAAGTGAATGAGCGCTCAGAGAGAGAGAGTTGAAAAAGAAAAAGGGAAAAGAGAGAGAGAGAGAGAGAGAGAGAGAGAGAGAGAGAGAAGAGAAGAGAAGAGGTGGCTTTAAGACTTGAATTCAGGGGAACAATCTTCTCCCCGCTTTTAATACTATACTACTTTTATTTCAAAAAAATACAGTAGATAATAAAAAGACTAGTCACGCTTATGAGTAGTTATGATGATCATTCATAGTAATATAAAATCGAGAGATATGAAAAAAGAATGTGAAGCAGCAAAGAACAAAGAGGATGGAGTAGAAGACAAGGGATCTCCCAAAAGCCGCTCTTGTCCCTTAGCATGCATATTGCATAATGCATAATGCATTGTTACGCCATCATTTTTTCTTCAATGATTTACAGGAAAAGAGAGCTTCCCTTCCACACCTTAAGCACTACCACTCTCGCATGTGTTTTACTAATCTTCTATTAATAAAACTCTTTACGTTTTTACCCTTTAATTAATATCACTTCAATGCACCACCTAGTGGAGAAGTCGCGTAAACGGTGCTCACTCCATCTCAGGATCTTCCCGTTGACTTCAATTGTTTTTTTATTCTTTAAAACAAAATTAAATTGGATACTACACAGTTGAATGGCAGATAACTCTTCTTTACTCTTAATTGAATCTGGGAAATTTAAATCATTATTCATCAAAAGGGAAAAAAAAAAAAACAGGGATGATGACTTGATATGTGATATGATGAGGATAAAAACATGCCTACCAAACGATCTCAATACTCTACCTTTGTTTCATTCCCAAGCAACATTTCAACACTACTTGACATTATTTTCGTCTTAACACTTAGCATTGAAAGAGTATGATACTCTTCAAAAACCAATACTATTATGCACCTTGTTCAATCTAGGTATCTACAAGGATAAGTATCAATTTTCATCTTTTTGTTGAATGTCTAGATGTGCTGTGAATGTGAATCAAGATTGACGTGAGCATCTTCTCTTGAAAGTTGAAAGATGAATTGTTTGTTTAACCCATTGTTAGGTGTAGAACAAGTTAAAAGAAAACAAATTATGTAAAGGACCAAACTAACGGATGGACCCTGACCAGCAGTATGGTTGTTTTATAGTGGCCTCGAATATCTATTGATTAATGATATATAAAATCCAAAATGGCTAATTAAAAGTGTACGTAGAACCCTATCATATAACTCGTCCAGACTTTCTTCTTACAACTCAAGCTGAGAAGAAGCTTGAGAGTTGGGATTATTATCGAGAGGCATGTACTGCGCCATGATCGCTCTTATCTCTGAGTCCATGTATGTCTGAGAAACCCCCACATTCAATTAGTACATATCCAAAGGGATCCAAGCAAATATATATATATATATATATATTGAATTGACTAGTAACGTATTGATAGATCATAGTTACCCGGATTCTGTATTTATAAACAGTGTAAGCTCCCAAAGCAGCAGCTCCCAATCCCATTAATATAATCCATATCACCCCCCAACTCACATCTCCTCTTGCATCCTTACCTGTGCACCATCCCTTCGTTGCTTTAGTAGATGATTTTATTTAAAAAAAAAAAAAAACAAGTTTAGGATGATAATACTGATGCAAATGTCATGCTCTCTGATGTAAAGCAGGCTTCCGCTGCAGCTACAATCATAGCTTCCCCATGTGTTCTTGCATTTGCAGTCACGACACTGGCACGCTGTTTTCTCCTCACACTCATTCACATCTGCGTTTATTCACAGCACATACGTATGGGTGATCATTTAGTTACTCTTATATAGTACTAGTTTGCTTACCTTGGCAGTCTTTGAGCCCATCTCCCTTGAATCCTGGAGGACATTTGCAGCCTTTGGAATGATCATCCTGATAACCACCAAGAAAGGGAAATGTTAAAACAGAGGATCCATGTAAGTTAGTTAGTTGAGGCATGTCAGATGATTACACGGCAAGCTGAATATGTTCTGCCCATTTGAGTTTGTTTCCAGCATCCTCCATTGTTTATTCCACAGCGTAGTGCCCCCGATGCTTCAATATCCCAATCTTAACACGTCAATATCTTTTACGTACGAATCAACTCTCATGACAGACTCTACATAGTTGTGCTTTTTTTTTTACCTTCACAATGTGTATAACCGTCACCCAAGAACTTGACACCCTGAACAATGGGACACTGACATACTCTTCCTCTGAAAGTGTCCTGCAACATGTCTACTACATTTGTAACATAACTATTATAACCCCAAAAAACATAAAAAGGAAGGACCGATTCTTTAAGATCCCACGCACCCTGCAAGCTGTAATGTTGGTTGTCTTATCCTCCCAACACCCTACATTGCTATGTAAACACTCATTCGTTTCTATGTCTGCCCAAAACACAGAATCCACAACCAGACGTTACAGGTAGTGAATATCCCAAACAGAGGAATCAATGGAGAAATAATCTATAGAGAGAGGGACCTTCGGTTAAGCAGATGGGTGGCTCAGTCGTCTCTTGAAACCCTGAGCAAAGCGCCTTTAGCACCGCCGATCTCTCCAACTTCCCTGAGATATTTTGAAATTAATTCTAGCAAACTCATAAAATTAGGTCTACAACATTATTAATTGTAGAATTTGCTTGCTTCTGCTTCTACTTCTGACCTCTGTATTGCCTGTTGTTTATTACAATAGTTGGTAGTATTGTCACATCTCCACGCGACCCTTTCCCAACCTGACGGATTTAGGAATCAATAGGGGTTTAGTATATAGTTTCAAGGGCTAGCTTACGTTTCTGAGAAAGAAAAGAAGCTAACTTGTTCTTCTTGTTCATCTTTAAGGACAGGATTCTCAGCATCTGCTTCTATGTCTCCCATGCATTTGTCTACTTTCTTCACATCGACTCCTACTCGAAAGAATGAGACATAGAATAAGATCTCGAGAGTAGATGGAAAAGAGAGAGAGAGAGAGAGAGACAAGTTGGGGGTTACCAAGAGAACGAATGACTTGATCGGCACATTGCTTGTTGTACTTGTCCTCTTTCATGGGACAACGGATGGCGAAGTCGGTGACATAATCCCACCAAAGCCAAGGCTTCCCAGTTTCATTGGTCACTCGAAAGAAGCAAGCTTGGCGTAGATTCTGAACAATCACGTCTTTCCCATTGTATCCTCGGGAGAAGTCTTGCTCAGGGTCGGGAGCACAGTACCTTCCTCCGTTGATGCATTGCGTTTTGCATTGTCTACTTGCCAGAAACGCTTCAGGGCAATACCAGGTGATGTAATGGGGAGTGAAGCGAGTGTAGCCTCCTTTCTCAAGAATCTGAGCTGCTCCTTTGAACCTCTTGAGAAACCGGATTTGTGCATCGCATTTGGCTCCGCATTCATCATTGCTGTTCGTCCATAGCTCGTAGGCCACTCGGTCGTTCGGGTGTGGAAGAGCCTCCCGCCAGTCCAGGCTTATGTGAACAGGTTCCCCGTGAGCTATGGCCGTTTTGATGGCGCTCCCTAGAGATCTGCTCAACAGCGCCGAAGGAATCGTGATGTTCTGCAGGTAATCCGCGTCTGCTGTCTCGTCCTCTGGCGCGTCCATGGTGATTAGTGGCTCGGGTCTGTTATCTGCCACCAAGATGGTTGCAGCACCAGCTCTTTGCGCGTTCCAGGCCTTCAAGGTGAAGTAACAATCTGAGACAAACCAATAACAAGAACATCACTATCATTAGGCGCCTTGATTGTCTCACAAGACATCTTTTCTTGTGCAGCAAGTCATACCCGTTTACTTGTGAAACAGAGAAAGAAAGAGAGTGTGTGTGTTTCTGTGTGGTTAACGAGGAAGAAGAGAAAAAGTGGGACCTCCTCGGTCGACGAGAACGAATGTGGGCAATCCAGCGACTCTGGATCGGAAAGAGATTTCAAAATCGTCAAAGTTCTTGCATGCCTTCTGATTAGCTTTTGGGTAAACCACCGCGCCGGACATGCTTCCGCCGTACTGAGGGACGCCGAAGTTACCGAGGGCGCATTCGTAGATTCCTCTGATGGACTCCGGCGAAGTCACTCGCAGGTTGTTCTTCTCCACCACGAACCTCCCCGAGCAAGAACCCCACCACACCATCACCAATGCCACTACAACTAACCCTACCTTCTCCAGCCTCGTCGTCATGATTGCACCGATGATAATCTTTCCAAGTTATTTTTCTCCGATCGAATTCTAAAAATGGGCACCGACAAAGCATGAAACCATAAAAGAATTGAAACTGTCAAACAGACTCGCCACCACTGACCAAATATATTTCCGCTTCTACTGGTTGACGTGGCACCAAACGACTTGAAAATATTTGGGCCTAACCATCTACTAACTGGGCTTAGTCATCTACTTATTGGGCTGTTATACTAGACCCAATGCTCAAGTTAAAAGCCTTTTCCTTGCAAGCCTTCTCCATGCATCATTTAATTTCCATGTACTAGTTCAAACTTCAAACTTTTCACATTTTAAAAGTGATACTGGGATTGACATCACTAGAAGAACGATCGATAGGGATGCATCATATTAACTATTTTGAATTTTATCATGTTTTTCAGCCTACAATTTCTAGGATGAAATAATAATACGTATATTTCAATTAATTAGAATGGTAAATAAGGAGGTCAATCTAAGAAATTAGAGGCTACGCTGACCGACCAGAAAAGTGGAGACGATTTTGACCAGAAAAGTGTGAAAATCGCAGTGTGTTTATACGCAACCAACCAAACAATTTAATCAAGAAAAAAGACTTTACATTTTTTCCACACGGACGTTGCTTTCACTCTCACCTCTCTCGTTAACATATGCTTTTGGAGTCATCTCATGAGTAATATTTATATTTAAATAATAATCTATATTATACTTGCGGGAGATTTCCAATATGAAAGTAGAGAAAATGCATTACACGTTTATAACAAGAACTTTAACCCTAGATTCTCCGAAGTATCAGAGCTAACTAGTTTCATATTTTCTACGAGGCCATTCAAATATATTTTTTAGGTACATGTCTTTTTATACATACATGTGCACATGGTCATGCATTATGGCATACAATACATACACAGAACATGATGTTGGGCATACACCAGCGCTTGGAAAAAGAATCTTTGACGCATATTTTAGGAAGAAAGATTCGTGTCCGTTTATCCGATTAATCACTCCTACCTAGATTTATCATATTATATACAATATATATGCGTTTAGTTTAAAATTAGGTGTGCCATGAATCATGCATACACCTTGGATGATTAAGGTACCAAACAGTATTCGTCATCTTAACTTGGTTTACATCATATGGTATAAACTCACGCTTAACAAAAAAAAGGGGGGGGGGGGACCATGAAATGTTAAATGCTATATAACTGAATAAAACAAAAGGAGATGCATATATTAAAGGAGAACTATTATCGATCTTTTAATGTTGTTTTAAGAGCATACACATATTAAAAAGGAGAACTATATATATTCTTGGCTCATGGGAATGATGGAGAGGTTCTATATAAAGAGCCTTTATAAATTAGTCAATAGAAAATCCCTTTAACCCAAAAGGAAATATATATAGTTTGAATTTTTTCTGATTATATATGTGATTAGTATTAATAATCTAGTTAGTGGGTACTTAGGGCACAAGGGTCAAGAAGGTCTCTTTGTCTTTCCTCTTTCCGATCTGCTTCAATGGCAAGTTCATTGACCGGACCAACCATTTCTTGTCTCCCCACTTTTTGACTCTCGTGTTGGAATTTTATGTACGATTTGATCGAATTCGCATGAGCGAGTCCAGTCTTAGTTTAATTTATGAGAATATCTAATATTTCTGTTCTGACATACAGACAAAAGAAAACTATTGATAAATATGAGTTTTCTTAGTAAAACCAGTAAACCGATAACACATGATAACATACAAACTACAAAGTATCATCGTTATGAGTTATGATGGAAGAAGGAACATTCTGTTATGCGGATGGTATAGAAAACCTCGGAAAATTTGTGCGAAACATAAACCCTAGCTAGCTAGCAGGTTTTATGTTTTCATAAGTTTGTAGCAACGGTGGTGTGGCAGAACTCCGGCGACTGAAAACAGTAGTCAGAAGAAATCTTGGCGAGCAAAAAACCTAGCTGGAAGAAAATTGAGTGTTTCTGTGGAATCCAACATTGGGTGCTAGCACTTGAATGTAGAATAAATCCACCAAGTCTAGCTATATCCGATTCAGCGTAACCTTTTTTAATTTGCCGCTTGATTGTTCAAAAGAAGAAGCTGATAAGTGGTAACAGTGCAAAAATCAGTCTTGTATTTTTAGAGGTCGATATAAACTCAAAACAAGGTATGCAAGTTTATATAGATGCATAACACACAAAAAAAAAAAAAAAAAAAAAGTAACAGGAGGAGATGCTAGAGTATATATATAAAGGACTTAGTAGAAAACTTATAATTAAAGAAGAGCTAGCTATATACATGTATGAGAGGATAGAGAGGGGAATGATACAAGGTCATGATAAGTCAGTTGATGTCCTAATAAAAGGATTAAACCCAAAAGCCTCCACCGCGTGGGCAACCTCGGAGGACATCCAGTGAGATGGAGACCAATCTTCTGCTTTCTCGGGTGACGACATGTATTCATCTTTGGGATGAATCTGATTATGATTCTGATTCTGGTCATGTACTTGGTGGGGGGAGGGATTGGGGTGATCAAACCGGATCATGTGAGAATCTTGGGGATCAGATGTGTCAACGGGAAAAGTTGCATAAGCCTGATGAAGCTGGCATGTGTGGTGGCCGAAGTAAGTGGTTGAGTAGAGTGGAGGGCTGTGCTGGATCTGTTGGACCTGCTTCTTAGCTTCACAGTTCTGGTCCTTTGTGTACGCACACTTGTAGTAACTCCTGTCATATGATTTTTTATTATAACATAAAAAACCAGCAAGTATATATATATATCTATATATGACTATGAGTGTAGTAAATGTGAATGTGAGCGATTGATATATATGAATATACATACCTTTGGTGATGAGATTCTTTGATCTGCTTTTGTCCGTATTTCCTCCAAAGAAAGCCGTCGTGGTATATCGGATTTGGGGATTCATGTCGACGGTAGTCGGAGCTCTCTGCCATCGATGTCTTTCTGCAACCACCAAGCTCATGGTGATGATGAGTGAAGAGAACATATACACATACCATCCAATTTCTTATTTGATTCAACTTCAAGCGGGATATATAGATCTATACCTTCCCCTCTTGTGAAGTGGCTTCTCAAGAACAGGAGAAGAGTCGTGCGGGGAGGAGTTATTGGATTGATCATCGTCTTCGTGATTAGTATCGATCAAGATGGAGAGAGCATCCGAGAAACAATGGAGGACGGAGTTGGCCAAATCCTCCCTTTCCATGGACGAGTCTGACTCGGAGTGGTCCATGATGTGCTTGAGCTGGTTGGCATAGCCATGGCCGTGAAGCAGCGTCTCCATAGCCTTTTGTTGGCAAGACTTCATCTTCTTTAGACTAATAGTGTATGTTCTCTGGGTTTTGTGAGAGATTATTATTAAAGTTGGAGATGTGATGTGCCTCTTCTTATATATTGATGAGGTCTAGCTTCTCCCTGTTAGGAAGTTTCGTATATGTGTTAATTACCATACACTCCTTGATTAACTTCTCTATCTTAGTAGTACTAGCTAGTACTTAATTATGTAATTCGAATTTAGCAATGTGCGGATTAATGAGTGGCCCCTTCCCACTAGTATTGTTACTACAGTTGACTTAACCAACAGCTCTCTATAATAGTATTAATTAGTATAAGGTAAATTAGTTTAATAATTATGTGTAAACTCATATCTAGGCATCATGACTCAGTTTCCCTGTGTGGGCTTAGATTCCCTGTGTGGGCTTAGTTTCCGGTGTTTTATTTTCACCGGCTTTCTTCCGGAGTATCTTCGTTTCGTCCGGTTTAGTATTTTATCGTGATTCTCCTGGTTATGTAAGGTTGGATGGTGTCTAACACCTTGTATCTCTCTCATTTCAATATAATTCTAGACGACAGCAAAATTCTATTATAACCGCATGATTGGAATTTAGATAAATCTTATTGGCCCGTTTGATCAGCAAGAGTGCATATTTATTTTATATAATATGATTTCTTCACGATTTAAAATAATAATATTAACATTTGTTGATAAGAAGTTGAGTTAACTATATCACAAGGATGGGTGAGAGTGAAGTTAAAAATCTCATTACTAACAAAAGTGAGTCATGTGGCACGGCACCTGAGACGATGGAACGGCAACGCCGAATAAACGGGCGTAGAAAACGGAGGAGGAGGAGGAGGAGCCAATCTAAACGGCGTTAGTGAGTTCTCTGTCAAAAGTGACGTAGCTTGCGTGACTCATCCTACCGTACGTCATCTAGGTTTGTATTATGGATGACAGATCCTTTAATGCATTAATCTCATCTTTTTATCAATCCAACGACGGAGATCAACTGCTGCTAAAGGTTTGGCTAGCGCGTAGGTCTCATAGCTACTGAGTGATCCTGAGGTCGAGAGTTCGAGCCTCTCTCACCCCAATAGTTGTTTTGTTTTGTCTGAATTTAAACAACCACGCTCTAAAAATGACTGCCTTCTTTTTATCATGATTAAATTAAAAACTATATGAATTGAGGATTTTAACATGTGAGAAGCATCACTAATTCACTATGCGTCACAGCGTAAGTCGAGGCAAGACTAAAGAGTTCGTCACAGATGAAGATAGATCATTAGCTTATGTATTGGTGTAGATGCTTATGCTATAGTCATCGATCATGAGTAATAGGAATATAGGATTGAAAAGAAATACAATTACAGTTACAGAACAGAGTAAAAATGAAAAAATACAAAGCTTCTTGGATAAGCTTTGTAAAAGTTCTGAAAAAATTATGACGACACCAAAAGATATTGTCTGGATTCAAAATCTGTAGGTTGTTTTTTACTTCATTTTCTACTCTAGATTCTAGAACCACGTGACTGTCCTTTCAAATATTTGTTACTGTAAAATTATAATTATACCTCTGTATTTATCAACATTACTTTATCATGTTCATAATATACAATAAATCTAGAATTATAGATTCTTTTGCCCGTATATCTATAGTTGGAATGATAAAAATGTGATAATTGAATTTAAAATTTATGTATAGTTAGATTAATAAGTGTAAGAACTCAATTTATTTTGATGTAGTTGGATTGATAAATATAAGAATTTCTTTTTTACATCTATAAAGAAAATAAAAATAAAAGAATTTAGCTGTAAACTTTATGTGTAATTAGATTAATAGAGAATTAATTTAAATTTTTGTGTAGTTATATATTGATAAATGTGCTCATTTAATTTATAATTTATAATAAAACGTGAAAATTTATACTTCCTCTGTTTTTTATGATATGATGTTTCAGTTTTTTCACATTAATTAAAAAATATTTAATATTGCATTATTTTTTCCACACCAACTGCTCTGAAAATAATCTAACAGTAATTCAAAAATATAATATTTCAAAAGTTTGTAATTTATTAATATTAATTAAAAATATCTCCAAAAATTTAGTAAAACACTACTATTTGTGTGGAGCAGAGATAAACTAAAATATCATGTATTTTTTTTTTAACAACTTATAGAGGAAGAAAGAGTATGAGTCCGTCTATAAATACAATTGTTCTTATCTAATCTCTATTCATAATATTTCCACTAACAAATTTCAGTGAACGGAAATGGCAAACAAACACTTCTTTGAGCGTCTCCTTCCCGGTTTTGAAAGCCACCTCGTATGCAATCTCTCTATCTTTGTCTCTGATCTCTCTCAACTTTAAGTTTGTTTTAGTCTTAATATTAATATGATCTCTCTGAACCTGTAGTCTCATGCATGTCACGGTTCTATTTGTCTGTTGCAGAAAATTCCTGCGAAATTCTTCTCCGACCACATAGAGGGAAAACACGAGGGCGAGACTGTAAGTTTGAGATCAGATGCGTCGGAGACAAAATGGAAAGTGAAGATGGAAGGCCAAAGATTCACCCAAGGTTGGAAAGAGTTCGTCAAGGCACATGATCTTCGAATCGGTGACATTGTCGTCTTCAGACACAGAGGGGACATGAAGTTCCACGTCACTGCTTTAGGACCCGGTGGCTGTGAGATAACGCCTGGTGACCGCCTCAAAGTCGAAGACGAAGAAGAGCGTGTGGACAGATCTGAGGAGGAAGAAGATGATGAGAATGAGAATCTGACCGCAAAATCTAATCACTCTTCACCTGATCTCAACTTATCCGTGACAGCCTCGAACATATCAGCTAATAGAGTGGTTAGTTATTTTAGCGGTTTCTTTATTATTACTATGTTACATAAATCTGTTTTAGTGTATGTTTGAGTGTATGTATAAGTATAATCCACTATATATGCATTTTGATGATTGATGCAGACTGTGCCCATAGCTTTCGCTAAGCAAAACGGATTGGACAAAGGAAGTCAGGAGATACTTTTGATGAACGAACAAGGGGAGTCATGGGAATCCGAAGTAAAGAGTATGAATTCTGGTCAGCTTTTCATAGTTCGAGGTTGGAAAAGTTTCTGCACCGCAAATAATCTAGAAGTTGGAGAATCTTGCCCATTTACACTGCTCCAAATCGCCACAAAGCCTGTGTTTCGGCTCTCCAGACCCACAAAGGAGGGGCAAAACGAGAAGTCTCGGTCCCCGGAAGAGAATGAACCTGACAAAACCCGAGAAACCCGGTTTGTGAAGTTAACTCCTTCAGTGAACAGCCTTGCGGTTGGTAAACAGGTAACTTTTTGGGAAACTCTCTCTCGGGTCTCTACAACGCGTTGGTTTTTGTTTTATTTAATTCTGAATCTTTTGCAGCATCTACCCGTAAGTTTCACGAGAGTGAACGGACTCGACAAGCCGACGAAAACAATTCTGGTGGACAAAAAGGGAACCGAGTGGTCGATGAAGCTTAACGTTGACAAGAGAGGAGCGATGTATATTGGGAGCTGTACTTGGAAAAGTTTCTGCGCAGCGAATGAAGTAGGCCCAGGGGAGTCTCTAACTTTGGAGTTGATCCCAGGAGGCGCAAATCCTTTGTTCAAGTTCTTCTCCAAGGTCAGTTGAGCACCATATGACTTGCAATTCACGTTATATAGGTTTTACTTAAACGAAGTTACTAAACTTGATTTGTACGCAGGTGGAACAATCACCATCTGAAGCAGAGGCTCCGGCACACAAGCGATCTCGATTCCAGAAAAGGAGTGGGGAGACTAAGACACCTGCAGAAGGAGAGTCCTCTCGTCGCACTAGAGCATCTAACAAATCCAGTGCTGATCAAGGAAACTTGGAGCACACGGAACCTGGCTCTGTCTCAGATCAGGTGTCTACGGTGAAAAAGAGTGTTGTAGATACTTTAACTAGTATTAGACGGTTTCAGACCGAGCTCAAGACAATGGAAAAGAAACTTGAAGATTCATTGCCTGGAATCGGCAACTTAGGTAACAAATGTGTGATTTGATTGTTCTATCGATCCATCTTTAGTTCTTTAGTTTAGCTTTAGTCAATTCCTAACAATTTCATGTTGGCACAACAGAGAGGAGAGTATAATGGGAATAAAACAACAACCTCAACATCAAGTAATAATCAAGTTGAAATGTGGAACTGAAGATCATCCGGACTTTTGTAACCTCCATTTTATCTTTAAGACTTTGTTTGAAGATGGAGTTTAATTATGTTTTTCTCTCTATTTCTCTTTTCTCTTTCGTTCTGACATGTTGTGTTAATCTGCTGATGGTTAAAACGTTCCTTTGTTAAGGGAGACTTGAGACTTTATATTTGGTTTTCAATTGGACATCATTCATATGAATTTAGCTTTGTAAGAAGAAAAGCCAAAAACAGAAATATATTGCGAGATTTGGTAATAATAATAAGACAAAAAAATGCGTAAAGGTCCAATCTTGTTATACAGAAGAGGCCCAATCCAACATAGAACACTACTGTCTTCTCTACTAAGCAACAAAATCAGCGAAGCGGCAACACAAGACAAAAAAAGACAAAAACTGATTTCTTCAAGTAAAAATATACAGAAGAAACTCGAAAGAAGAGCTAGAGGATATCGATGATTACGGAAACGGAGATTATTTACAAATCAAATGCATGAAGTTGGATTTCCGGTGGACATTTCCGTCTGCACTCGCCTGGTACCGACTCTGTTCTTCCTCCTTGTCGGTGTCTTTTACTTTCTCAGAAACACCTTCGCTAAGTACTTCGACATCGGAGCCACCGCCGCCGACTCGGAATGTTTCGACAGGGAATTCGCGGCGGAGGATTGCTCTGTCTTCGAGAAATGCTCCCGCTGCAAATTTCTCGGATACTGGTATGCCCTCAATCTCTATATGGCTCTCCGATAATCCTTAACCGGGGTTTTTCGCTTTACTGTGGAGAATTGGATTAGCAATATTACTGTTTGCTGTGAGTTTGGGAGATGTAACTGTGTCAAAGTCTTGAGCTTTTTGACTGTAGAATTGTGGGTTCGAAGTTGTTTTGGATCAGCTGTGATTTTTAAGTTGGATTTGAGTGCATGTTCTAAATGAGTTCCTTAATCACTGTGGTCTTTGCTATCAGCTCAGCGGAGTGGAGACGAGACAAGATTAGCCTTAAGCCAAGAGAAGTAATGTGTTTTCTTCTTCTTCTTCTTGTGTTGACACTCTTATGATTGAATGATTGTGAAAACTCTAACTTGTACTTTTTGTTTTGCATTTTCTGCAGGTTCTTTTCCCATATGACGAGTTTGTTGATTATTTTAAGTGGGACAATCAAGAATTGGCTCCATGTGGGCTCATGAATTGTGGAAACAGGTTTGTGCTCATCTGGTTTCTAGTGGTAGCTTTAAAGCATCAACTGAATGATTAATGACTTTATTTAATCCTCTTTCAGCTGTTTTGCGAATGTGATTCTGCAATGCCTTTCCTGGACTCGTCCTCTTGTTGCATACCTTCTCGTGAACGGCCACAGGAGTGAATGTAAAGTTATAAAAAAAAATTCAAACTCTCTTTCATTTGGTTTTCACTAAAGCTTTGAATCTGTGTTTTGAGTGATAGGTATGCGCTACAACGATTGGTGCTTCTTCTGTGAATTTCAAACCCATGTCGAGAGAGCGAGTCAAAGTCGGTTCCCTTTTTCACCAATGAACATCATTTCACGGTTAACTAATATTGGTGGAACTCTTGGTTATGGGAGACAAGAGGATGCTCATGAGTTTATGAGGTCTGTATCTATTACTCATGAATATAGCTGGTGTAGTCTGTGAATCTCCAAACTGATGGATTTAGAATTTCACATACTACTTACAGGTATGCGATTGATACGATGCAATCTGTTTGCCTTGACGAATTCGGTGGAGAAAAAATGGTGCCTCCTTGCTCTCAAGAAACAACACTGATTCAGTATATATTTGGAGGTCTCCTCCAATCACAGGTGATCTTTCTTGATCTCACCATCAGAATGTAGAGTCATATGGAACTTTGTCTTCAGTTGATAAACTTAAGTAAGTTTCTAAGTTTCCTCTCTTTCTTGAGCTTTTTTTTCTTCCAGGTCCAATGTACTGTATGCAGTAACGTTTCTGATCAATATGAGAATATGATGGATCTAACCGTTGAGATTCATGGGGATGCTGTGTCTTTGGAGGAATGTCTTGATCAGTTTACAGCCAGAGAGTGGCTTCATGGAGATAACATGTACAAATGTGATAGGTACTTCATTAAATCCAAAAAGCCATTAGAGAGTGTTAGTTGATTATTTGAGAAATCAACTATATGTTTGGTTGCATTCTCCCAGGTGTAGTGACTATGTAAAGGCATGTAAGCGTCTTACGATTCGGCGCGCTCCAAACGTTCTTACGATTGCCTTAAAGAGATTTCAGGTATTTTTTGCATTCCTTTCTTTTTAGCTAAAGTTTTTCTAGGATAAGTTTTTTTATAATGTATC